TGCCACGAAATTTTCTCGTGTGTCGATCTGTTAATTAAGGAGCGTTCGGCTTGCGCGAGGCTGAGTTACGTGACGAACAGAGCGGAGGGAATTCTGAGATGCGTTTTAAGCAGAACGGGAATATTTCGAGCTACTTCGTAGCTGCGAAGAGTTGGATTCGAATTTTCGTCTTGAGGTCTCTCACGCTCGTCAAGATCAAGTCTTATCGTGGAAATCACAGAAAATGAGTCAGATTGACCGTGCACGATGAAAAATTTTGTATTAAAAACAGTCCACCGAAACTTTTGTGCTACCTTGATAAGGTGAATATGTTGATTTAACGTGTATTTGCGTACTTATTAATATATTCTCCATGTTAAGGTAACACAAAAATTTCAATGAACTCTTTTTAACACAAAATTTTTAGCGGTGCATTAATTATCTGTCATGTATTATGTAGCCGTAAACTCTATTATTCTTTATTGAAAAGAATAACGTGTCTTCGATTGAAAAGTTCCACGCAACAATCAAATTTTAAATGCGCCAGAAAATTAATTGAAATTTAATCCTCACACACACACACACACACACACATTTTGTATTCGCAACGATACTTTTTTATGTCATGGAAACTTAAAAGAAACTTAAGTATCTTCTACAAATAACGTGTTGACTTTCTTCCGATTTCGATAGTCACGGAATAAGTCACGCGACACCGAATTTCTTCTCTTGTTTAGCGACGCGCCCCTTTCTCTCCTATTAGCTGGGACTTGTCTCGAACTTCTTCATCAGTTGCGCCAGGAGTGGTCGCATTTTTGGGCAACCGCGAGATGCCTGAAAACCGAAACGGCTGTCTCTAATAAAGAAAAGAGAGAGAGAGAGAGAGAGAGAGAGAGAGAGAGAGAGAGAGAGAACCACGCGTCTGTGTGTGCAGCGTGAGGGCCGGCTTCAAGCTGCACTCCCACGCTCATCGTCCATGAAACGGGGTGCGAGGTGGTGCAGCTACACGCGAGCCTTGCAGGTGTACTTAGAATATGCAGGGTCTGTCCCTACAGCCCTATTAACGATGCCACGGTCGCCACATGGACACACGGGAGTATGGGAAAACGAGGGCTTCGCAAGTAATTATTTCTATGGGGAATCTAAGACGCTGACGTAATAATCGTCAGACTGTGACATCAATGGTGCGATGGTGCGATTGAATGTACTTAACTGTCAATCTTTATATGTAGCTGTGTACGATATAATACCAATTGTAATTTTTGTCATTCTTGTACGATTTCGGATAGTGTGAGATTCATTCTAAGAATTAAAATCGGTGAGAAAAAGAGAGAGTGAGAAAGGGAGAGGGGAGTTATTTGTAGGAGATCGTGGAGTCTCACCAATCTTACGTCATAATGAACATTATTCTACTTTTACTAACAGTGAAATATGAAGGAGAAAATCTTGGACAGACAAATTGGTACAAATGAATTCTCTCACCAAGTTTTTAATTAAAGTCTTCTCAGATGAGAAGTCGTGTGTGTGGATTTAACGCGAGAATACGACTCGGTTTATTATTTGTTTATTCTGAAGGCGAACTATGCACCGAGGATACCTGATGACCGATGCGACACTCTCGTAGCGTACCATCTGTTTCACTTGTTCGTTATTAAAATTTAAGTGTGGGAATGTGGGGTGTTCACGCGTCGCAGGCATAATAAGTTTCGAAATGTAAAGATCGGTGAATTATGGTAATCCGTCTAAGGCATCGCCCCTCTCTCCCCCTATATTTATGGGGTATCATCAAACGAAGACTGCGGACTTGAAGAAGCTTCGTTGGTCGCGCGAATTAAGCTGATTACACTCGAAAAAAAGTCTGATAGTCATAGCGAAAATTATCTAGATACAAGAAATTAGCCGAAATGGATAAATGACTGGCAAACATTTCAATGTCACCTATGTGTTATATCTGATCAATATAGGTGACAGAGACAGAATCTTTATTTGAACTATTTGCCTAATTTAGTAAAGTCTCTTTGTGAAGCCCATCTAGATTCAAGCCAGTTGTCTTTCTTATTAAAAATTCGTAACAGGACTACATTTTTCTGCATATATTGCTAGAATGCTGCTGCTGTAAATTGTATATACTACAATTTTCTAGCAGATACAGAAAACAGCGATACATTTTATCTGCGACATTTTGAAAATTCTAGCTGAACCAACAGAACATTTCTCTGAATATAGACCATGCAAATGAGAGAGATATAATAAACACAACGAGACCTGATAATAATCCTCGCGAGCCACCTGGTTTCTCGCCTTAACAGTTACAACATGCAACATGAGTATCACCTGCTCCTTGTTGACCCTCCTAGCTAACCTGCAGTTAATAACGCGCCCCCTCTCTTTCTTAAATTGCAGTTTTGCATACAATATATATGAGTAAACGGAGAATTTGTCTAATCTTTAATACGTAATAAATTTAATGACAAAAGAATAAACGATCAAAAAATCGTAAAATGGATTTTAAGTCGAGAACTTGTTAACTTATTAAAATTTATTTCATTTTTCCCCGATACATAGCAAGAAAATTCTTTAAATGTAAATTCTTATTTTTATTTTCTCATTAAAAGGAATGAGCAGATAATTTCAATCTATCTTCATTTATCCTGTTATTGCACTGATCATAGGTAAAGTATCTTCTTTTCCTAATGTGCAATTTCTTAATTCGTAGTAAAGATTCTTTCCTCTGTGGGACGATACTCGCTTTTGTCGAGGCCGCAAATTAAATTGAATTATTATCTGAATTATTATTATTAGAGATTGAGATGTTGTCTTCATGTTGTGATAAATAGAGCCGTTTCGAGTGACTATAATAGAAAATGCATTAAAAGCCGAACAATTTATGCAAAATGTAAGGTAGTTTTAGAGGTTTCATAGTAAACGTCAAGCCTGAGATAAGATTAGGCGAGTCTGCCGACTTCCGACCACAAACCACGCTACTGAAAGCATCCGATTATTAACACGAAGTCTTTCTTATCTTTCTTAGTTCGATAAAAGTGTAAATATTTAAGTTTCTTAAGGAAAATTACCTCGATAATCTTGTACGCACTGATTATAAGCGATGCACCCAAAAATACATGTAAATTAAAATACATCCCGAAGAAATGTCAATTCTTATTATTTAATCGCAGATGACTGCTGTGCGAATAACATCTTGAGACACTGCGTGTACACTGAAATTCGCATATTCATCTCATGCAGTTAATTGCATTAAAACCGGCTTATATACTTGTTATTTATCTGTAGATATATACAATATGTATTTTAGGACAAAGTAAACGAGAATTATAAAGGGTGTTCCGGATCAGCATGGACGAACTTCACGAAGAGAACGGATTGAAGTGAACAAGAATGGTCTTGCACTATTTTGCGAACAATATGCAAAATTTCGAAGCTCTTTTAATTAATGATTTAAAAAACTTGCGTGTTATTTGCAAAATGGCACAAAACTTTTTTGTTCAAAGTGGTCTAATCCATAAGTATATAACAGCTGTTGTAGCTAGCGACAAGTTCAAGGTTCGAAATTCAAGGTTCAATATACTGTCGCTAGGTACAACAATTGTCGTACACTTGTAGACTCTCAGCTAGTACATATTTGTTTCATATACGTTCTTTAAACTATGTAAGTAACTATGTATGTTTTATAATCGTATTATATATATTTAAAGAACGTGTATGAAACTGACTGTGCTTCGTGTGTAGATCAGAGACTCTGAACAAAAAAAAACCTTTACCATTTTGCAAATAACACGCAAATTTTTTAGCGACCTTCAGTAATTAATAACTCAAAATTTTGCGTATTGTTTGCAAAATCGAGGATTTTCTTGTTCGCTTCAATCCGTCCTACGTCCTCACGAAGTTTATCCCTGTTAATCTGGAACACCCTGTATAGACTAGCTTTGTTCCTTACATAAAATGAAGTTAACTCAAGCCTTACAAAAATTTCGAGACTTAAATAGTCCGAAATATATTCGAAGAGAGTCGAGAGTCTCAAAAAATTCGTAAACTCGGGAATCTTAGAGTTGTTGAATCCAAGTTGTTGCGGTGTGCAATTCAACGTCGAACGATTCATACGTGACAGAGCTGATGTGCGTCACAACATTTCATTAATTTAACGATCGCGACATTGCTTCGTTGCTAAGTATACACTGTGTGGCGATTCGAAGGCTCCTCATTTACCGAACGTGCGCGCAGCCTCTGCAACCTCCGCGATGGAACCTCGGCGGCTCCCCGCGGCCGGCGGCTCGCTTGGGTTCTCTCTTCGCGATCGTAGAGCGGAAGTCGAGGATAGGCGGAGTTGGTTCGGGCCAATCGTCGAGATACGCGCCGCCCACGTGTCAGCGGTTCCTCCATTGCAGAGTGTCGCACGCTGCGGCGAAGAGACGTGCAGCATTGTCCTTTCTTCCGTGATCCTTAGTTTGATTTAACGACGACGGAGACGTAACTAAGTACTGTACTATGAGGACTTTTTATGATAAAATGTCGAATATTAGAGAGGGGAATTTTTATATGTGAAATTGTGAAGAAATCATGTTGAAACTATTATTCAAAATATTAAGATCACTCAAAATATCACTCAAATCGGAAGAAATTTCAATATTTAAAGATGGGATAAAATATGACGAATTATTTACAACTCTTTTATGACAGAAATTTGTCTCTTTAGGCTTCTCCTCTTCTTCATTCTGAGTAATAATGAGCATATCCGATATTTATACCGATTATATTTAACATATGGATTATAATAATATCGCTAAGCATTTGTCGAGTATTATCTTTATCAGTTTGTAATTTATACTTATTTTATAAATACACATAGATAAGTGTATTTTCACATTAGTAAATGTGCTTTCATGAATCGGATCAGTATTTAAAAATAAAGCGTCTTCTGCACACACCCGCCTAATATCCAACGAGAACACGGTATACCGTTGAAGAAAGCCGGCGAAGTAAAATGCTTCTCCTTCTATTTTCAGGCGGTTACAATCATCTTCGCAGTCCCGTGTGCCAAGACGAGAGTCAAAGAGACGAAACGTCGCCACCGCCCCACAGCCATAGCACCCAACCACCGACCTCTCACTCTAGTACTCCTAACAGTAATAACAATAATAATAACAACAACAATGCTAACAACGCGTACATCCATCTACGAAATTTAAATCAGCTCAAAACGGAATGTAAGTACTCCGCTTACATATGTCTCTTTATCCTATTCTCTCATATATTTTTAACATATATTGTTAAGTCAAATACTTCATTCTTCGAATTTCTATTCGCACAGTTTATCAGCCAAGTGGCTCACTGAACATCTTTAGTGTATACACACTTGGTTGCTTCAAATAGTTTGAATCATAACGGCAAAGATGAGAGTGTACTAATTTGCGACAATGAACTTCCAGCGAACTACAGCAATCATCACATAGCAGAGCATCTTCAAGGAGGAGGAGGTGGCGGACTGGGCAGCGGGGGTGATCTCGCTGGTACAGGGAATAACGAGAGCGAGTTGAGAGTCAGCGCGACCGCCACGGAGAGTTACATGACGCCGGCGCACTATTCCGGATACGACGATACCTCCGAGTATCACAGCTTGCCGCAGGACCACCAGACGCCGCATTCTTACAATTTGGACAGTTCGCCGGAGTTCTACAGCACCAGCGGGATCCACATCGAGTCGAAGTATCAGCCTTCACCGTTCAAGAATTATCCCCGAGGTACGTAGTCACGAGAAGTCAGAATAAGCCGAAGAAGAGAATCGAACTACTCTGATGACTGTGACGATGAAATTAACTTATCAAGATCAAATCGAGCCTGTCGTTTGACTTCCTACGCGTGTGTATGTTCGAAGGAATCGATTCCTACAACTCTGAGAGTCGTTAAGGCTCTTGATCCCGCGCTGCAGCAGTCTCGTTTGATGACGTCAGAAGCGATAAAACGTATATCGTGAAATTCTCACGAAATACGTTGGAATAAAAAGATATGTTCGTAGAATGACAGTTGCAATCAACTTGCAGATCTGTAAAACGGTCCGAAAACATTCCTTTTGTTCTAGCAGTTGATAAATAACCGTAAAATTAACGTGACATGCAACCTATATATTTCTTCATGATTTTGTCACGTTAATTTTATAACTACTTATTACTTGTCGAAGTGAAAGGAAAGTTTTCGGTATATCTTACAAATAGGTTCAATCGAGATCATAAAGTATCATTTTATGGACACATTTTCTCGCTTCTGACGTCATTAATTAAGAATGGCCGCGGTTGAAGGAGCAAAAGTACTCAAGAAGAATGTTTAATCTCGTATTTTAGAGAGAGAGAGAGAGAGACACTTGTTCTTTCGACATAAAGAACGTGATATTAAAATAACATCTTGCTTCTTACATACTTCTCTGCAATTTTTGCAGTGAAAAGATTATGTTCTCAAGTCATTCTATCTCTTCACAGCATATGTATTCAATTATAATTCTAACTTAACGGGATGCTCGAATGCGACTCGCGAGCGCTGATAACGTTACCGACACAACGCCTATCCGACAGGTCGCTATCACGAAGGTTACAGCGAGGGCGGATACGGATACGATGCAGCGCCGTTTCAAACGGTTCCCGGAAGCGGGAGCGGTGCTGGAGGCGGCGGCGTTGGCGGTGATCAATGGGGTGTCGGACTCGGTGAACATCCTCTGCCCCATCCCGCGTTTCTATCAGGGCTTGGACCACGAGACTCCTCCAATCCCCATCATCCTACGTCTATTGCCAATAACGCGGACCAAAAGCCATTGCTGCAAAGCACCATGCTCCCCGGTTATGCAGGTAAATCCATGGCTCAACTTGACGCGTATCGATCTTAGAATTTGGTCAACGAACTCTTTTTTTTTTGCGTATAAATGAAATCATGACGAGCGGTAGTATAAACATAAGTTGTATCGTTAAATAAAGCAAATATAAAACTAAAACTAAAATAGTTGAAATTGAACGTAGTTTATAAATATATAAAATATATGAGTAATTATTTGAAATTATATTTGAAATAAACGGAAATATTGTTTCCAGGTGGCGGACCATGTTTCACTGGATCAGGTCCGATACAACTGTGGCAATTTCTGCTGGAGCTTTTAACTGACAAATCGTGTCAGGGTTTCATCTCGTGGACCGGCGACGGCTGGGAATTCAAGCTGACCGACCCGGACGAGGTTGCGCGCCGTTGGGGCATTCGCAAAAATAAACCCAAGATGAATTACGAGAAGCTGAGCCGAGGTTTACGCTATTACTACGACAAGAATATCATACACAAAACTGCTGGGAAGCGATACGTGTACCGCTTTGTATGCGACTTACAAAGTCTACTAGGGTACGTATAATATACGCAGCCAGCTTAGATCTCAAGTAAATTTCACGTATCGTGCACACTATGTCAGAATTCTATAAAATGCGCTTGTTCAATTAATTGATATAAATTTCCTAATAATATAATATAATGGTCAAATTTACATTGCCATTGCAGATACAGTCCTGAGGAGTTACATGCAATGGTAGACTTGAAACCCGAGAAGAAGGAAGAAGACTGAGTTTTTGTTAATGAACATGCTTTTAGGACTGTGTCACACCGATAAATGAAACACAATTTCTTCGCGCCGTGCAAAGAACAGAGAGAGAGAGAGAGAGAGAGAGAGAGAGAGAGAGAGAGAGAGAGAGAGAGAACGGCGGGACAAAGTATCCGTTACTAAGAAATCACTATAAGATAACTATTCAGCAGAAGACTGTGATAGTGCGTCTTCTTTGTTCAGATGTAACAAAATCGAATCGGTCGTATGTACCAAAGACAGGGTCTGCATACCATTGGTGCCTAAAGTTAATGAATCGTGAATTTGTTTCTAAGTGATTAATTTGTCACAGCAGATTTTAGAGGATATTTATAGGAATAACTCGTCAATTTATACATATATAAATATATATATTTTTAATGTTAAATGATTTTTCAACAACTATTAAGCACATCAGATCATCTGATGGTGCCCCTAAATTATTTATGACTCATTTTAACATGTGTGTTATATCTCGTTGATACAATGATAGATGACACGATATGTGATTGTTATTACTATAATTTTACTATAATAAACTCATACAATATACTATTGTAGCGAGCTTCAATCCGATATTTTCATGCTTTTCTATGTATAGATTAATTAAGATTACAACACTACTTTTCTATCTTCCAAGCTCGCTTCTCACCAAGAGAAAAAAGAAAACGACGTATTTTATATTATTTCTTAATTCTTAAATATATTTCGTATGTGCTCGATATAGTAAAACATATCTAATATCCACTTCGCAATAAAAGCCGTTGCAAAGTGTAATCCGAGTTGGAAAAGTGCGTTATAAGTGAAAAGAGTATGCTGTTAATTTATCTAGTTCTCCTTAAAAGTAACGTTTGTATTATGAAATTGGCTTTCGTTCGCTAAGATATTTTTCTATACTGAGACATTGATTTAAAAAATCAATTTCAAATGAATATTTACACGTAAAAGAAAGAGGGCCATGTGCAACCAGTATTCCACAATATGGACGGAAGTATTACGAAATTTATAAACAAGATTACATGACAAATGTATTGCGGCACATAAAAAGGGTTTCATTTTTACTTCAAATTATTTATAATTGACTGAAACAGTATCTGACGATTTTCAATGTTTATCTATTGCACGGTTTATAATTTTCTTGTTTAAAACATAAATTTACTATCCTTGGATATATAAGTAGCTGAATATAGAACAAGTTTTCTTCGCTCTTGTAACGCGTGGAACATTGAATAATGCAATTAGATCAAATTTTAAGCGATATATACGTAGCTACTTTAATTTCATAATTTGACAAGCGTAATTTTTTTATGCGTAAACGACCAGTGTTTTAATCAGGGAAAATGTTACATCGAATTGCTTGAATGTAAATGACACCGCAGATATACAGCGATGCCACGAAAGTCGAAAAATCGGAAAACGAGCAATATACTTCGTGTTTTTTTCTTTACACGTGTCGTATATCGTATATATATATAATATATATACATACATATAAATATCTAGGAAATTACATATACACGAGTATGTATATGACTTAAACTATTTTTCTATTCGCTGTGTTTGTTAAGTTTCCACGTACCAAAATACTTTGAAGCCTGTTTGAGACGATCTGTAATTCGCGACAGAACTCGCTAGGGAGTGTTATTTGTGTTTTTACATGCCGTATAATACAGAGAGCACTTGAGAATTTATAAGTGTATATGTATACATGTGTATATGCATACTTTTATGAATGTAATTGGGACCCTTCAATTGCTCTCTGTATTCTAAGCCCACTTTAGGCAATTTAATTGGCGACAAAATTTTATCTGTAATGCTATGCGCTGCATACATAAGATGGGACATTGAAAACAAAAAACGTTGAAATTTACACATGTACAATGAGTTTCAAAACGGTTGAACATTTTTTTTCGATACAGTTCGGAATACAAATGATGGTCCAATAACAGAACTCGTTTTCGAAAAATAAGTTCTCTCATTGGACCGTCAGGACCGTTGCATTTCGAATTGCATCGTAAAGTAAGTTCAAACCGTTTTGGAAATGCATAATCTGTTTCTAAACGGTTAGAACACTGTTTTCCGATGCAGCTTGGAGTACAGCCAATAGATCAATGAGAGAATTTATTATTCGAAAACGAATTCTCTCATTGGATCATTGTTTGCGTTCTGAACTGCATCGTTCAAAAGAAGTTCAAACCGTTTAGAAACCAACTAACATGTATATATATATATAAACATATATAATGTACTCAATGTGCTCACAGTTGCGAATTTATTTCTGATTCTTTCAATGTTATGCTATGTTGCACAGCACATTGCAATGGAATGTTAGAGAAACTGCAAGAGAGCTCGCGAAATTATGTTTCTAAACTTCTCTGAAAGTCCTGAAATTTTCTAAATTGCAAATAACTTTCTATCCATCCTGTTGAATTGTGAATCGTCTAAGATGGGCGGCACGTGAAATTACAAAATTAAAGTAGCGAACAACAGATCATCCGGAATCAGTTTTACACCACGTGCTAATGAGCGACGATGAACGCTGTGGTATCTTCGCGTGTATAATTAACAGTATACTAATTTCAGAGATCGTTCGCGAGTTTATTACGTTAATCGAGGATTGTTGAGGAGAAGCGAAAGTCGGTAGCGATTCTATTAAGGTCTCTTGTTATCGAAACAGCCACCAGGATCCTTTTAGCGCGGTAATCGTTACAATTAAAGTTTCTCCTAGTTGTATCGCGCGGTCGACCCGCGGACATTAATAAATTATATTAAATACTCTTAGCCTCACGAGTACACACAAACACACACGCACATACATATACACACGTACACACACACACGCACACACACACACACACACAGAGAATGCAATGTATAAAGAGCTACTCGAATGTTAATATTAAGTTATCGCGGTTTTGGCACTTGTTACTCAAAGAGAGCCATACTTCTTTCCCAGAATTATTATAGCATTTCAAAAGAGACACGCGAATGCGGAAACTTTTTAGTAGATGCAATAAAAAAAGAATAAAGAGATTTTTATAAATACATACGTTCGACTGATCGCTGTTGCTGATTTGTCTCCCGCTTGACCTCGTTGTTGCAGCGAATAACAGGGAGACGAGATCCGTTAACTTTTCTCACACAACACACGTGTCTCAAGAAGACATCTTAAGACATTGTCACCGACAAGGTAATATTAAAGACCCCCTCCCCTGTTGAAAAAAAATCAGGTGGATTCCATGATTGCTTCCAAGGTTTTGAGCTGAAACCCAGATCCTATCAGGATTTCTATATGAATTTTGAATATCCTATTCATATGAGTTCTCCAGGATTTCTGTGGGAATCCAACTGAAAATTTTCAACAGGGTCAGCCTGCATAAATTTTCGTGCGGACAAAGGAACTCCCAAGTAGTTGAAGAAGGATGATGTTGGATACGTCCCACTTAACACTCGTAACGATCGCAAGCATCATCCCATCCTTGTTTCTCTTGGATGTCAAACAAAGTCGGAACGATGCTCGCGACCGTTAATTAAGTGGAACCTGCTCATTATCGATCAATATTAATCATTCGATATAAAACACCTGGATGTTCAATGTGTAATAAAGAATTAATTTTACAATTTACATCTGATATTTTATCGCTATCGATACAGACGTATAACGAAGTGTATTAGGTATTTTTGTGAAACTGCATTTCTGCAGTTTATCCACGCTGATTTAACGCAAACTTATCTGCTGATTGCGTTGTTAAATGTAATTTTCCTGTACGCTAAATCCCGCAAGATAAATCCCATATAGCACACTTTATCCGATGGACGTCCTCTAGACATCTTTATGGCGTCACTTGGAGGTTTGTGCTGTACAGGGAATGGTTTTTAGCATTACCTCGTCGACAAAAACACTTTATAGACGTCTTTTGGTCAATAATGGCTGAAGCAGGAGCTCCTGTCCATGTTACCGCGTCAGTTACGTGAAACGTTCACTTTTTCTGCGATTATTTTATAGAATCTTGCCATTACGGGCGCGTGAAACTTACTTTCGACACTCCCGACACGATTCACGCGAGACTCACCTAAACGGCGAGTCGAAATCGCGAGAAATACAGAACGGCTTCAACGAATCCGCGCCATGATCCGTTCCGTAACTGAAGCTATGATGAACTATTATTTGAAAAGCATCACGTGACCATGCCAGACCGCGCTAGTTCGCGTCGTTTCTAAAAAAGCGTATCGCAATCGTCGCGGCTGCTCGGCTAGATGGCGCCCTTTTCGACGCGTCGAAAATGAATTCCGCATGCAGATGGGACGAAAATGTGCAATTATGTGACAGACAATTTTTTGAACGAATCAATCGTGTCGTGCGAAGAAGTTCAAGCCTCGCCATGTCTCTCGATACTCGATGAAAATATGGAGCTAGGACGAGGAAAATGGAGGTAATGCATTCGCTTTTATTTACTTAGACAAAAAAACACAAGTGCTACGAAATTTGTAGTACTTCGAAACTTTTGAGTGTAGTAAGAGTGCAGAGAGTGCAGAAAAACCGAATATTTGACAAACGCCGATGGTGATTGGCTCGTTTTAAATGCGTGCCATGATGGAGATATCGTGGAGGAATGTAACCTGTTGCATTCGTATGTTTAATAACTTCGCGTCTTGATCTACAGCTTCAACATTTTGAGAACAATGGCAAGCAACTCAGAATTAAAACTGGAAACGTTGACGAAGTCAAACGTCACATCTTTCGTGCAGTGCGTCTTGGAGTTGGTATGTTACTATACATTGCAATCGGTTTAATTTTCAGTACTTTAATCAATATTAATGCTATAATGATTGCCTATGATTATTTCAATTTTCTCGGAAATGAAATTTCACGTAAATTTACTTCGCGGAATTTTATCTTGCATATTTTACGTAGTTTTCCATGAAGAATCATTTCACTCGTAATATCTTGAGGGATCTCCTGTACGTTAAGTGTTACGTAACATAATGAAGCTAAATATATATTTTTTTATCGACTTAGAACTTTATCATATATTTTGTAATATGAGACTTATTTAATTATAAAAAAAATTGCAGGTCGCGAATTCTTTGGCTGCACACGCTGCAGCAATTGCGATAAGAATACATACAGAGAAACGCGAAATTCAAGTTATCGATAACGGCAACGGAATCCGGCAAGATACTTTAGAAAGTATCGGAGAATGTAACGCAAAAACTATGAACAATCAGCAAGGGACCTACGATCTATCTGAGTCAAATAATCGTATGTTAATAAGTATTCGTCACTTGTCTGATTCCTTTACCATAGCTTCAAAGTACAGAAATTCGATGGAAACATTTATGAAGGTATCATCTATAGTCATTGGAATTCAAATGAACGTGTATTATTTACTGTATGAAATGAGCAGCATGCAATTTTTGTCAGTGTTTGATGTTTATTCTCAAAAATTTTAGAGGATAGGTATATTCTTGCATGTTTTGTTCAAGGTATACAAAGTAGGCTGTGCGCCGACTTTAACACAAATAGAACAGAGACCTTCACATGGTACGACTGTGTCTATTTATGGTTTCCACGGAATGAGGGAAAACTCAGACGTAAAGACTATTTGTTATTTTATCGCAGCTCTGGCTGTTGCAGAATTAAAAGTAAGATATAATTTGTAACATAATATTATATAATATTAACAGGAATGTTTATTCAAAGAGAAATTTAAAACCGATATAATTTCGATGAGTCACTTACAAACAGGCGAAAAAAATATTCAATGTTAAATGGCCAAGTTTTACTTATTCGCGAACAAACGCGAGAATCATAGTCATGTATTGAAATTTACGCTTAGTGAAATTGTATCGATGTCGATCTCTGATTCGAAACATTGAAGACAGTTTTGCATCCTTTGTGGGAAATGATTAAATTGGTCAGTGATTTTCTGTGAAAAGTGTCATAATACTTTTACATTGATTCAATCAGGTATCATTCTCAATTAGAGACGAAGAACAAAGGAGGGTTGCATTGAGAATCGCTAAGCCACACTGCCCAATTGACATCTTACGAGCATTGTTCGGAAAGAACTTACCACTGAATCGTATATGGTCGATTCGATGCAGTGCAAAATATAACACGAAATATCACGGCTATATCGGACTGTCGGAGAAAAACGCGATGCAGTGCATATTTCTAAATCACAGACTTATCAGTTGTTCCTTTATTCTGAAACTGATTATAGACGATTTCAAAAAATGCCTCGATGTATCATTCCGCTCGAAATTTAACGATAAAAATATCTTCATTCTGTTCTTTCTTACGCTTAAAAAACATGAATTTACATTTACTACTGAAAATGGCAAAAAGCTCTTAATGTTTCATGATATGCAAAAAATATTAAATAGCATTAAAGCTTGTGCGTTTAAATGTACTACGGAAGGAATCACGGTTTGCGCTGGTATGAATTGTTTATATGACACACAGTTAATGAAACAAATAGGTTTAAAGTCAGAAAAATCTATCTCTGACGATATTGATGGACGTATTAGAAATATTACACCTTTGACGAGAAAATATAAAGTCGTCATAACTGGTATTAAAAGAAAAATTTCTACCACGTCAAATGTTGTAACTACTTATGTCAACAAACGACAGAATAAAAGTGACGATATTAAAATCATCGATCGTCGATCCAACCAACTAAATGTTGTTTGTGCAAAATATAAAAAATCGTATGAAGATGAAGTTTACAAAAAATCTCACAATAGTGTTAATATGATACAAACGCACGATAATTTTGCGATAACAAACGATTTCGCTGATAAAATAGGCGATTATCGTAATAGTAAAAATGACGGTTTTGTGAATGATATCTCTCTTGGTTCTGAGTGGTCCGATTGGTCTTACTGTTCAAATAATAAGAAACGCAGCTCTATGAAAAATGCACAGGACACATTGCCTACACATGACGCACGTTACCAACGGCTGCTCGAATGCACTAGACAATTCGATTTTCTGCCTCAAAAGTTGTACGGTCTCTTACAATATCGTCAGGACAAAATGACAAACGTAAATTATCTTAATGGTTCCAATAGTACAATCTCGGGTGAGTAACTTTCAAATTTTATTAGCAGATCAAGTCAACAATATTACGTATAATGTAATTAAACAGATGCATTGCCATTTTCATAGTGCAAGGAAATTGGCAACACGAAAAAATACAGGTACATCCGTGCAATTTGAAAGACAGATTATGTGAGCTTAGATTGTCGCATGCTTCATTAAAGTGCATTAAGGTACGTAACTACTCGAAGTCATAAATCATCTTGGACGATGACGGGCCACTTTAGTGAATGTTTCTTCCTTCCGTTAGGTCATTAATCAAATTAACAACGAATTCATCGCCGCCTGGATGATGTACGATCAAATGAAAATATTACTAATGATAGATCAACATGCCGTCCACGAGAGAATACGTTACGAGAATTTACTTCGCAGTAAGTAATTATAATATTTTCTAACGGAAAATATATAGCGCTTATATTAATAATATTTAATAAATTTATTACACGAACATTAAATTTTACACACAAATAAGAATTAATATAATTTTTATTTCTTTGTTTGTTATTTAATTCAAAAGAATTTTAATTTGACTTAATTTTTTCCATTTATGATTTATCACCGTCTATATTTTATTCAACAAATATGAAATTATTATAATTTTGGCAACTCGGAAAAAATCGATTTTTTTCTCCCACTTTTCTGCGAATTTTTTCGGTCTCTTATTTTCATTAAAGAAAAAATAAATGTGGCAAGTTTTAACTAAATGGACGTGAATTTTTCTAAACGAAATTTTCTATCCTTGGAACAGAAATCGAAGAAATCCGAGAAAAAAATGGGAAAAACCACGTTTTTTAAGCTTTTAAAACTCTAGAAAAATATATTACACTATTATATATTATATACTATGTAATATTCTAGATTTATATAATATTCATTAATATATACATATATATGTATATATTTGTTTCTATAGGATACAAAGCACAGAACGAGGGCGGACTACTCTCTGTAAACTTACGTAATCCTTTAGCCGTGGAATTTCCTACACAGATGTGCAATTTACTCTTATGCCATAAGATGTTATTAAGGAAATACGGAATCAGCTTAGGATCGTTAAGGAAAAATACATTGTTAATACGTGCAATACCGCAATGCTTGGTTACAAGAAATGATTACTGTAAAAGCGAGAAGATATTGCCGAGAATTTATAGCCTGTTAAATGACATATTGGCGAACCGTAATGCAGCCAATCATACGAGCATATTACCATTAACTATTCGCAATGCCATAGCGTCGGAGGCTTGTCATGGTAATCATCAATGGCAAACACACAAATATTATTTTCTAAAAGTATACACATAGTTGCGTAATGCGGAAATCGTTCGCAGGCGCCATCAAGTTCGGCGACAAACTAACTTTCGAGCAGTGCAAGTCCCTAATGAAGTTACTAAGATATACAAAATCTCCTAATCGATGTGCACACGGACGACCGACTGTGATACCGGTGATGGAGCTCTCGGAACTAGAGAAAAGGAGCACCAGGATGCGCGAGGTATGCATTGCATATTTATATTATATTTTCTAATTTTATTATAGACATATAAACTTTTGTGTGTGTGTGTGTGTGTGTGTGTGTGTGTGTGTGTGTGTGTGTGTGTGTGTGTGTGGATAATTAATGGAAATTCCCCCGCGTCATTTTCTCCTGTTAATCTTGATTTATACATATTTAAACATACACACTTATTTATCTAAGTGTAAATGGATAAAAAAGTATGATGTTTTAATACATCATACTGGATAGACATGTATTAAATTCTGAAAACAGTAGGTACCTACATAAATACTTTTTATTCTGAGTTGTTTTAACGTATAAGATCCAATTGAATTGTATCTTTTCCAAGAGAAAGCGAGAGAGAGAAAGGAAGAGAAAGTGTCTACTTGAATATTTAAACGTCAAAGTTATGTAGAATCAGAATAACTCGAATTTAAACTGAAATTCATCCCGCGATGAAGCCGGCGATCAAGATATCTTTGCCAAAGTAGTTGAATCTGGTCGAGACTAACAGAACTTCCTTCCCGCCCAATGAAACCGGGCAAACGTCGTTCGGGCGAAGATAGAAACATACAGTATAAAGTGCCATCTCTAACTCAGGCGAGAGACCCACGAGGAGGGTTGTGACCGAGTGCTTCGTGTCAGGTATGTTAAACGCAGTTCGTATCTTGATGGCCTCTCCCTTCTGCAAAGTGTAAAAAGAACTATTAATTATACGTACAGGACAAATTATTAATGCTTAAACATTCAAGGTTTAATTGTGTCTAAATATCATTTCTAAATATCAATTCTATGTTAATACTTTGACGCCTTAGTTATAAGAATTTCCGACTCATTTTCATACTCCCGCGTGTCTTTTTTTTTGCGATAACACTGTCTTGAAATACTCCACACTTACGTCTCCAAGTTTGACGTCCTTGATGTATCCGCGATAGTCGATATTCTTTTGCGCTTCCTGTTTGGCGTAGTAAATCCAACTCTGTGGTCCGATCATATAAGAGTCGAGTTTCTCCGCCAAGAATATCGCCTCAAAGCCGGAACTGGACGGCTCACCCTCGACTCGTTGGAACTGCGAGAACCACATACGTCTCAGGGTGTCCTTGAACTCGTACTCGTCATTCGGAATGAATTCCTTGTCGACCAAAAACTTCATTGCTGTCTTAAACACGTCGGTCTCCACAAATTTGTCGAGCAGCTCGGACTCCTCCTTACGTTCTTCGGGCGTGACGGTTTCCTTTTTCTTGACATCCAACTCATAGTTATCGTATAACGCCAACACGTTCTTAATCGTCGGAATTTCATAAGCTTCAGATGCGACGGTTAGCAAGCTAGAGTAGTAAAATTAATAAGACTCAGAAAGTTAAATTATCTTTGTATTAAGCAGGACTGAGTGATCGATTGAAAGTTAAATTAGAAAGTTAATAACTTTTAAGTTAACTTAGTTAATTTTAAACGTGTTAAATTTTAATTAAAATTATTTAAAATGCATCAATCTTAACTTAATAATTTTTCTTATGCAAGTTGAAATAATTCATCAATGTTAAATCATTACGAACTGTCGACAATAGAGAATAAGAAAAACAAAAAAGTCAGCAGAATTTTTTTCATCTATGTCTCTCTCTCTCTCTCTCTCTTTCTCTAAACGCTAATGCTCTTTTTTTATGTGGAATCCTGAATACAAAATAGTCGATGTTTTCTTAAAACAGACTATATTTTTATTGTTTCACATAAATTTCATCTACGATGAAAAGATTTTATTTGTGCAAAAATCATATATATATATACATATACATATACATAATTTTGCATAACTAATTTTTTATTTTGACAAGTTCATTCAATTCTAACTTTTAATCAAGTTAGTTTTTGCTCAGGTAGGCTTCCAACTTGACTAAGTTAATTTCATAGGCCATTAACTTTTAATTTAACTTGGTCAGAAGTAGTTAAACGCAAAAATTAACTTACCCAACCCTATATATAAGATAGACCGCTCTCTAACGATACTCTAACGGATAGCGTGGGTCAATCGGGTTACTTACGGCAACATAGCGTCGTCCGTGGTGCTGTCCTCCTTCGTCTCGCCTTGCAGGTTCACAGTGATGTACTTGTACGCGTTGTTCTTGTCCATCTCGAAAAGATTCTCCGTCAGCTTCTTAATATCGTCATTAGAAATTGGATAATTCGGCGGACTCGGCCCGTTCGGCGGGTTAGGCGGAGCGGCGTTGTTAGGCGCGCTAGCTTCGGTTTTCTTCTCTGGCTCCGCCACGGCCTGTGGCTGGGCCGCTGGCTGGGCCGGTGCTGCAGGACTAGGCGCGGCAGCATTAGGCGCCGCGGCGTTATTCACGGCAGCCGCTTCCCCGCTCGCCGGAGTCGATTGATTGTAATAGTAATTGTTGTAGGTAATTTCGGTGTGACGGTCGCCGCCGCCGCTGCTGCCGCCGCCGCCGTGACTGCTTCCCGAACTTCCACCGTAGATTCCACCTGGCAGCAGTCTGTTCACAGCTGCGCTTACTCCAGCGCTCACGCTGGAGTAGACCAACGCTTCCTTGGCCAGTTGGCCGATACCCGGTCGGCTCGGCTGGAGAACGGTGAGCGCCGGCGCTTGTGCGATAGCTGGCTGAACGTACGTCGGATTGGCGGCTGGCTGTCCGAAACCGCCGAAAGATTGTCCGCCGTAAGGATGTCCTCCGTAAGACTGCCCACCGTAAGGATGCCCGCCGTAAGATTGCCCGCCGTAAGATTGCCCGCCGTAAGGTTGCCCGCCGTAAGGCGGACTGTAGGCTGGTGGCGCATTATGATGCATAGACGGGTTGTAAGCTTGGCCATACGGCGCATGGCCTCCAGGATACGAGGGATTGTTGGGCGACGGGTATCCTTGATTGTAGCCTGAGCCTCCGTAAGGATTATTAGCCGGCTTAGAATATCCACCTGGAGACAATTATCATAAGAATTATCGTGGAAAATTTGACTTCTCATCGTGATATTGTTAGGAGATTTACAAATTGAGCTCGGAGGAAATATCATATTTGTGTAATCTTCGCACGGAAAAAAGGTTCGGTTGAATTTAGACTAGACAGTGGCAGGTCAAACGCGTTTTGGTTAAAGGAAACAGAATTTCTGGCTGTAAAAACCAAATTTGGGTCATTAGAACCGGAAATTCTGTTCCCTTCAGCAAAAACGCGATTTGTTCACTATCTGGTTAATTCAATCCAACTTTTTCCATATAGTATAAGTCCAATTTTCTACGCTGCAAATGTAGAGAAGTGTACACGAAATGTCGCCGTTTCATTGCTACCACTAAGCACAGTTTATTTTTGCATATTCGCAGCGTAGAAACTGAATTAGCCGATGTTATATTGACAATTCTCGCTTTATTAATGCGTAGTAAAGATGAGTTAAATACCCGACGGGCTATACGGTGGCGGGTTATTCGCTGACGGATTGTATCCTGATTGCGCATTCGTCGCACTGGTTTTTGAGGCGTGTTCAGATACTGGAGCCGAAGGCTTAACATTGGTACTAGCCGCCTTATTATTGTTACTTGACGGTACGTTCCATCCTATATTTCTCGCCGTTGAACCTGCAAACGTATGAGATTCGTTGTGTATTACCGGAGGTACGAAATCCAATGAAGAACATGTAAGACGTGCGAAGCCATAGAAGGCCATTGTCTATACGGAGAAGCGTGACTCATCGGATTTGGTAAGAGATCTACCGCATAGATACATAAACATTTGTAAACCACGGCGGCGCAATTCCTCGCGGGATAATAATGAAAAGAAGCTTAACTCGAATACCTATTGATTTCGGTATGAAACCTTCTCTCTCTCTCTCTCTCTCTCTCTCTCTCTCTCTCTCTCTCTCTCTCTCATTGCAAATAATATAAAATAATAGCATCTAATATATAATAGAAGATGAGTAAAATCTGCACAGCGAAAAAAATGTCTTTGGATTTAATAAAATTTCTTTAACTGAAACAAATTTGTTTTTTCGAATGAAGCAAACAAATGAATGTTTGATTAAATAAAAAAGATTGATTCCTCAAACAAGAAATATCTCACTACGTCAAATAATATCATATTTCTTTTATATCTTTATCTAAACATTACAATAGTTGTCACAAGTAATAAATTATTTGAAAGAGTAACGCTATGTCAGAAAAATATTAAAGAACTTCTTTGTTTCAGTAGAACAATATTTAATATATAATAAAATAACCCTAGTAGAGTTAAATATATAAAAAATATATAATATTACAATAACATTAAATAACATTATTAGAATATCATTAGAATATTATGTCTAATATTCTAAGAATATGCCCAGAATATTACTTAATATTAAATAATATTATGCGCTTATAGAGCTTTTTCTCTGTGTATAGAAAATGACTAAGATGATGATAACAAATGTTTATGCATGAACAAAATATCGATTTAGACCGATTTAGATCATCACTTACTACTCGTCTGTGTATTTCGAGGTCGTTGCGTCGTTCTCGTATTAGATCCTCCACCTCCACCTCGGTTTCGAGAAGTCCATGTTGATCCTCCACTTCTGCGTCCACCACCGGATGTTTTACGTCCATCGGTATTCGCTATATACGGTAGTAAATTAGAATATAGAATATACTAGAACTTATTTATTATTTAGCACACTAGAGCTTATATTAATAATTGTCACTTAAAACTTGTCTCATGCGAGATAATCAAATTTTAATTCAATGTTAGATCTGAAGTTAGATCTCTTTTAGTTGAATCATACGATATATTTGACAATGCATCTGCAAACACTATTCAACTAGAAAAACTCACATCTAACTCTTATTTCAAATCTGAGTACTACACATAAAACAAGTTTCAAATAACAATTATTAATACGAGTCTAAAACTCTGATTTATTCAGAATTCAAACCCGTTGGATACCGAACCAATACCTTTTCATTCATACACAATTTATACAACCGAATCATTATATACACAGATCATTTAAAAGAGGAACCGAGGCATATAGAAAAAATAACAAAGACCATGCTCTGTTGCGCAAATATAAAAGGTATTTTCAATTCTTACTGAGCTTAGAATGGTGTTAGAGGCTGAGTCGAAGTGTTACGATCTCCGCTCTGCCTCGCAAAACGCGTTGATTGAGTAACTATCTATCAAGCTATCTAAGCCTGGTGTCCTCTTTTATTTCTCGCGATTCGACACCGGTGCAAATTATCAGGCCTATTGTTCTCCAACGGATTATTATATAATCTAGTGACAATTGCCTGTTCGTGATTGTGAACTTAATATTATATCATCTCGGATATGCGAGATCGTGTCTATGAAAAGCATGACTGTATGTATAATATATTCAGGGTCGAATTCATATATTTCAAAATCGTTTTGCAATTTATATACTCTGCATCCGTAGAGACCGGGTTTAGCAAGTGCTGTAACCCCAGATCGTTCAAAATCAAATTGAGTTTCTCTCAATGCATCGAGCAGCTAATTATCGCGAAGCGATTGCGGTGCGTAATGATGCCGTCATGAGAACGCAATTTTCTTTGGTAAATATATATAGGAGCACACATTGTAGTCGACGTAATAAGTGCACGATTCGTAGTAAACCGTTGCAGCTTTGTAATTGTTTCGAACGAACAAAGCAGTTTTACGCATGAAGCATTTCGGGCGATGGAAAATTTTACAGATGCATCTGAAACTGTTCTTACTATATGATTTGATGCACGACGTGCGTGTGTATGTGTGTGTGTGTGCGGTTTTTCATGAGAATGATGTGTATGATACTACGCGTGTGTGCGTAGTAACACAATTATAATAAATGCCGACAAGTGAATAATACTGTCTGAAGAGCATACGTTGGCGTATCTGAGTAACATGAAAGAGCAATTTATGCTCTGGTGATTTCATCTATTACGCACTCTAGATTTGTCAGTCGATATATCATCATTCCAGGTAGACCGTATTATTATTTTTTAAATCCTGCTTACGTGAGCGCATCCGCAAATTTTATATCGCAAGAAGAAAGGCACCCCGAAGCTAGCGTTTCGCGTATTTCGTTACTTTAAATTCGTATTTTGTCTCAGAAATGTCTCTTTGATTTCCATTCAATTAACGGGCAATTGCACCAATTCCGTATTCGCGGTAACGACTCTCGTGTCTTGCCACGTGCAGCATGACAGACTTGAGTACGTTAGGATTTAAGTACGACATCGTAAAAATGCAATGTGCCTTTGAATGACTTTCACACGTTTCCATGACGTTTTGAACGTGATGTAATTCGACACATTCGTTAACGAAGAAATTGTACCCGCATCATCTTTTGAATAAATGCGATAACCGGTTCCACACATAACGCCTCCTCAATTGACGTCCGTACTTCACGTAACCAGCTGGTTCTCCGATCTAAAGCCGATCTTTCCTCAACGAAACTGCTTCTTGAATCGTGAACAGTTGAAAGTGAAGGGGTTCCCGCGAGCAAAGTTTCCATTATGCATACATAACACAAACTGGATGTTGACTCGGTCCCCAACAACAAACTCCGCGTTGAAGCAGGATTTCAACTTGAGATATATTCGTTTCATTACGTATTTACATTTATTTAATTCACTGTTTGTGAATTAAACAAACGTAAATCGTGAGAGAAATGGAGAGAGAACACGATAAGATTTTCGTTAAAAAGCAATTAGCTCAGAAGTTTTTAAAGAAGAATTTAAAAATATCTTGTTATGGAGATCGTTTGTTAAAAATTATTGTAAATTTAATATTCAAGCACACAAGATCCAATATATTGTTCATGTGCAAGTGTTACGCATTGTGATCGTCGATTCATAGTTTCGTTAATTACAGTTCACCACTCAATTTATACAATTACCGAAGATAAGCAGAATCACAATCACTGTGATCAGGAATGTCCTGATTCTCATATCTGTCGTCGTTGATCTTCTGTCGGATTGATTTATCGATCAGGTAAAAATCCGAACCGCGCCTGACACGCACTGTTTGCTCACGCAGAGTCGACACGATACTATTCGCGACCTTACGTCGGCGGACGGCCTAGACGCCGGTGTGACCATCGTCCGTAACATTGAATGATTCATACTTTATAAGGCTTTCTCCTGCCGCTGATCCTCCTTGTATTTACTGGAGCTGGAACCCGCCAATCCGCACAATAGCTTTGCACACAAAGGAAAATGTTTCTTCAGATTTAGTATTTCTATTTGACTAAAATTTGTTTCATGGAAACAACACATACGAAATATTCTTTGTTCGAGTAAAAATGTTAATATCTCGTTCAAGAAAATTCTGTTATTTAACAGGAAAAATGCTATTATTTGAAATAAAACCTTTAGCCAAATAAAATATTATTTGATTACAATATGTAAATATGTAAAATGAAACAAATAAATAAAAATAAAACGTAAACGTAAAATAAAACAAATATGTAAAATGAAACAAATAATTTCTTTATAAGAAAGTTATTTCTAATTTAAACAAATTTTTTTGTTTAAGGTAAAAATACATATTCGTTGAAAAGTTTAACAATTGTACTTATTAATCGAAACATTAGTTTCTTTGGAGCATGCCAATGATGAAATTTGTTTGGATGCAATAAAATTTATTAAATTCGGAGAAATTTTTTTCTCAGTGTATCAACCAGCAATTATTTATGTTTGATAATGCCGAAAAAACCTATTCCGATGCTCGTTTCGATTTTCTGCATATCTCAATGACATTTTGAATATGTTTGACATGTTGGATATACTTTAGCGTCTTACCAGATTTGTTGAAGTATCGGTTAGGAAATACTCTAACAGTACGCGAGCTTTGTCAGACTTCTCGCACTTTCTTCGATCTATTTATTTTTTTCACCACACATAACTACTTTTTCACAAGAAAAGCAGGATTATCATCCTTTATATTGTTTTTGATATTTAATCAATCATATTATTGTGTTCATTTTCAATACTTTTGTAATAAACGCTCGAACGAATTCTTCTATGAGCATGTAAATATTTTTTGCAGACCTGAGATACGTTAAAATGCCTTAGGATATATTTTTTCATAAATTATAATATAAATTGTGTTATTAATATTTCACAATTAATATTTTGTTACAGAAAAAACTGAATTTTGCATCCTTGAGAAGACGGCATTAAAGTGAGATACGCCCGTGCAAAATTACAAGTTGTTTAAACAAATGGTGATATAATCACGAATCATGTTAAAAAAAAATTTTTTTTTATTTTGATTAAATGTTAATACATTACACGTTTCTAACTATAATCTAATGACTAATACTACCATCTTCACTCAAAAACATAAAAATATTTTTTTGTTAAATTAAGTTACAACACATACGGATTATTTACGTTTATTTTATTGTAATTAAACTTATTACGTTATCAAACAAGATTAATTTCATTAGAAATTAATCACATTCTACAATATAATTTTTCAGATATATTTAATCAGAATTCTTACTAAAATTACACTCACGTATATTACACTCAATACTTTCACATGTTGCAACATTTATTTATGCGATAATAAGATTAGAAAATGGGAAGTGCGAGATCTATCAGGTCTTTCCCGTAATATCTAAACGAATGTGTGTAAATATTGAATTTCTTGCCACCAAGAGAGACAGGACACAAATCGTTGGGTCTAGCGAAAAAGCATATTGTGTACAGGGACATTTCAAGCTCTGGAAGCGTACCCATGAATATCGTCGCATTCGGCCTGATAACATCATCCATTTGGAAGTTGAGCTTCACTAACGAGGTGCTCTGGAAAGTAAATATACTCCGTAAAATACGATCTATCAATTTAAAATATTTTATATCTGTATCTTGGAAGAAATAAAATCAATGTCCATTTCTTCAGTCTTCAGTCTTTATGAAGATCTTAGAACATTTAAACATTTTTAAATGACACAAAACTAACTACATATTAAATAGCTAATTTTAATTACAAAGTAACGAAATTTATGACTAAACTTGAAAAATTTTCAGGTCTTTAAAGGAAGGATGATTTATATAATTGAAAATATTGAAGAGATATGGACATATTGGCTTTCTTTTCCCATATTATAATATAATGACTCACATCTCCTAGTTTTAAGATGTCGACGTATCCCTTGTAATCGATACGATTCTTGGATTCCTGATATTCGAAGTAAATCCAGTCCGTCACACCGAGAAGGTCGTGACCGTACCTTTCGGACGTGAAGACACGCTCGAATCCTGAAGTGGAGCTGTCAAATTGGCTGAACCAAATATGCCGCAGAGTGTCTTTCCTCTCGAAATCGTCCGGATCGATGAAACCTCGAATCGACAACCATTTCATAGCTCTATCCATCACATTCGTGTTCAGAAACACATCCAGCAGAAGGTCTTCTTCCTTTCGCTCTGCGATAGTACGGTTCTCTTTCACGGTGGAATTATGTTCGTAATTGTCATAGAGTGCTCGAATGGCCAAAATTGGCGGATATTCGTACATATCTGGTTGCACGGAAATTAATCTAAAAATAACAAATATATAAATGTAGCACGAATGTGAAAAGTGGCAATAGTTAAATAATTATATTTGTCGCTCGAGGAAGAAAAAAGAATCAAGTCGTTTACATCTTCAGTTTTTATCTGGTAATCTGTCTAATGGAGAATTTGTAGTTGCGTTCGAATTTTTTAGAATTTTCGAAGATCGAGCGTAAATTTTATCTTTTAAACATTAGAATATATTTCTTAAGTTAATTCACATAATTAAAAACTGAAGAGATAAATAAACCATCTTTCTTTCAGAAATCTGAAAATGTTCCATGTTCAGTCATAAATTTCATTATTTGTAATTAAAATATTAGCTATTTAATACATAGTTAATTTTAGTAGTCGTTTTAAAATGTTTAAAAGTTCTAAGACCTTTGTAGAAACTGAAGACTGAAGAAACGGACAATGATTTTATCTCTTCCAAGAAATATACACTTATTCTTTTTCCTTCCAAGATCCAAATATCCAGGTAAAGATACTTACGGGTTTTTAGCTTCATCAGTGACATTCGGGGATCTAGATAGACTTTGCAGATCCAACGTCAAGTATTTGGACGTGTCGAATTCCTGGCTGTCGAACAACTCTTCGGTTAACGTTCGCAATTCTTCATCCGATATCCTGTATCGCGACATGGCCCATTGATCCGACATTCTTTGATTGTTCATCGTATTGGAGGGATGTCCGTTTGGAGCAACAGCTCGATGAGCTCCTACGGTTGTGCTCGTCGAAGAACCACCAGTTGAATTCATGACGTTACCGTTGTTCCCGACGATCGTAGGGATCGATACTCCCGGAGTGATAGCTGGATTAGACACTGGACTTGGATAACTGGCAGGATAATAGCTGACACTCCCCTGACTCGGTGAGGGCGGTATTGCGGGTGTGTTATCCGTAGGAACGCCATTGAAATAATGATTGTTATAAGTAATATGCGTTTCGCTCGTAGTACTGCTGCTCGCTGGTCTGCTGCTGTCGGATACAAAGTGTTGGTGATGAGGAGATGGATTTAGTAGCCTGTTCACGCCAGCGTTGATAGTGGAGAACACAAGAGCCTCCTTCACCATCTGACCGAAGCCTCTGCCGTTGTCTTGCTGACCGGGCACCATGATCACCGTTTGTCCAGGTATGTACGGTTGCGCGGCTGGCTGTGCCAGCATGTATTGCTGCTGAGGATAGCTATGTCCTGTGTACGCGTTGCCAACTGGGTGTGTAGCGTAAGGATTGCCGAACGTGCCTGGCATAGGCGGTGGAATGTGTGCCGGATAACTGGCGGGGTGTCCGATTGGTTGGCTAGGAAAAGGATGGCTGGGATTGTTCGTGGAGTGAGGTTGATAACCGGACGGTTGAACGGGATAAGGTGGAGGACGCTGATTAAAACTGGAAGGAGGATAAGAATTATGCAGATGAGGCGCGGAAGGGACATGGGAGGGAACGGGCATCGACGTGGGTCGCAAATGATCCTTAAATCCGATATTGGTTGAGACCGGGCCTGGCGGATGAGTGTAACTCGGATTGCTCCAGGCAGGAATACTCGGAGGTACTGCTCCATGCGACGGGTTGAAAGGCGTACTTGGTTGGCCGAAGGAAGTTGGGGCTGCAAAAAGTTCGGGTGATGATTACCAATTAATTATCTCGTATTTGTTATATAATATAACTGTGATAATTATTTTGAGTACAGTTGTGTACAGTAATTATAATTAGTATGCGTATTTTTATAATAGATTCAAAGATTGAAGCGAAAGTTTTATTTATAAAAAAAACTTCAGGCGGCAAACTTCTTTGAGGAGAAAATGTAAATCGATAAATTGTTTCGGGTGAAAAATATACGCACCATGGCTTTGCGAAGGTACCACAGTGGATTTCGATAAATGATGACTTATCGGCGGTGCCGAGGGATTATTAGGATTATTAAGGGGAGAAGCTTGCTTGTTGTCCGTCGTGAAACCTATTTTTCCTGCTTGACTTCCAGTGTATGTTCCTAATATAAAAAACAAAAAATAAAATATAGAAGTTATGTTTTATAGAGAAAGAATACATATAACAGAGGAAGTGGGAGTATTTCGCAAAACAAGAATATAAATTATAAAAACGTCTAGCAGCCTATAACACATTTCATTATTTTATTAAAAATGATAAAAAGATCAGAGGATCGTCTATGTAAAATATATGCTCACGTTAATACCTGTGTTGCCAAACGGTGCCGACGGCGGACCAAAGGAAGTGTGTATAGGATTAGTTTGAGCTACGGGACAAAAGAATACATTAAATGTAGTGTAACAAGAAATACGTGCAAAATCTTAACATCCTTATCGCTTTACAGAAATTGACCTTTGCTACCACATTATACTCACATGGTCGAGTAGCGCCTCCCCCTTCACTCTGTATGAACGACGTGCTCGAATCTTTATTTTGCTGATGCGAAGCTTGACCTGCGATTTTTAACGACCTTTATGATAATCCTACTGCGACGTCAGAAGATTGGGACAAACTCGATTTCTTTTGATTCTCGCGTGTCTTCACCTGATGAACTTCCATGTCCAGCCGAGCTTGATCCTGTCATGTGCCCACTTGGTGAACTTCCATGCGCAATCGGGCTTGATCCTGTCCTGTGCCTACCTGATGAACCCCCTCTTGAGCCACCTCCTCCTCGCGAGCCCCATGAGCCACCTCCTCCTCGCGAGCCCCATGAGCCACCTCCTCCTCGCGAGCCCCATGAGCCACCTCCTCCTCGCGAGCCCCATGAGCCACCTCCTCCTCGCGAGCCCCATGAGCCACCTCCTCCTCGCGAGCCCCATGAGCCACCTCCTCCTCGCGAGCCCCATGAGCCACCTCCTCCTCGCGAGCCCCATGAGCCACCTCCTCCTCGCGAGCCCCATGAGCCACCTCCTCCTCGCGAGCCCCATGAGCCACCTCCTCCTCGCGAGCCCCATGAGCCACCTCCTCCTCGCGAGCCCCATGAGCCACCTCCTCCTCGCGAGCCCCATGAGCCACCTCCTCCTCGCGAGCCCCATGAGCCACCTCCTCCTCGCGAGCCCCATGAGCCACCTCCTCCTCGCGAGCCCCATGAGCCACCTCCTCCTCGCGAGCCCCATGAGCCACCTCCTCCTCGCGAGCCCCATGAGCCACCTCCTCCTCGCGAGCCCCATGAGCCACCTCCTCCTCGCGAGCCCCATGAGCCACCTCCTCCTCGCGAGCCCCATGAGCCACCTCCTCCTCGCGAGCCCCATGAGCCACCTCCTCCTCGCGAGCCCCATGAGCCACCTCTTCCTCGAAAACTGAATTTTCCCGCGTTTACGTCATCTAAAAATGGAAAGCAGATTTATGCTTACCAGACAAATACACGATAATTACCACTATTACTTTCATATATTATCTATTTATTAATTAATTTATTAATTTATTGCTCATCAGTTTACTAGTGTTATACTACGCCAGTTACCACCCGTACAGACCTCTAAGGGTCGTCATGAAAACGTCCACAGGACGTCCCTCGGATAAACTGTGTGAGTATTATTAAAACTTTATTATATTACTAAAAAAAAATAACAAATATTGTGGAATTAATACGTATCGACTATCGATCGTTAATTATAATATAAATAACACTGCTAAAAACTTTAATTCGCTTTAGAGAAAAATATATCAACACTCTATAAGCGCGTAATATTATTTAATATTAAGTACTATTCTGAAATATTAATAGATGGTTATATGTGCATCCACTAATATGAATAATATTGAATAATATATAATATATAATAATATTATGAATAATAATATTCATATAATATTCTAAGAATATTACGTGCTTATAGGGCATCCGTGTATAAATTCAGAATTTGTATAAATATAAACACGAAATTATATTTTATATGTAACGATATATAAGAATATTATATGTAAGTCACTTACTTGTTAGGGCAGTTAGAGCAAAGAGAAATAGCAAAATTTGGATCTTCATCACTGTTGTATCGAAGTGATAATAGTACTACGACACTTGAGAAAACTGACTGACTACTTGGTTGATGACTATGAAATAATGAATATAAACACGTCTTCCTTTCGTACTTATCAGTTTTCCTTCTTGATATGTGTACTACGCTTTCTTGGAATGCAAGCATGTGTTAGATTACGCTATTGACCTATTGACCGTTCACTGATACAAATAAATGCTTTCAATACGATTAAAGCTGATTAATGCCGGAGTCACAAAAAGTACTATCGCATATCTAAGAACGTTAATAGCTCCCATTTCAATGAAGTGATTACGTAAAATTACATTTTCGTCATAAACCTTCGTCACGGATTTTCCATTCCGGCCGCATTAAATTTCAACGCCACAATTCTGCACAATTAAATCGAATTTAATTCATTTCGTTCATATAGAAATATATAAATATAGAAATATACAGATATAATTTGTTTAATTTTTTGTACAATTTGTTACAAAAGAACAGAGTTCCTCCAGGATAATGCTTTTTATTTGCATATCTACACTTTTTCATTGTGGTATTTTGCATTACTTGAGTATTAGATTCTTTGATATTAACATCCCATCACCACTAGCATTTTATATATGTATGCAGAATATTTGTAAATTTAACTCTTTCGTGAAATGCTTACTCATCCATTTAACGAAATGCTACCTTTTATGTACACAAGTCATTTTACGAAACAAAATCGGTTAAAATTAGAATGATAATTATATACAATATGTATATATTTATAGTATATTTAATTTAAAAAATAATATTTCGATAAGAAAATGAGTAATTGTTTATGCATCATCTACTACAGCAGATGCCTCTTTCTTGATATATCTATTTAGAATTGCTTCACTTGGATAATCGGGAACCGATAGTTGCCTAAATCCTTCATCATCTACAAAACAGATTTCATGCCCGTCCTAGAAACAAACCAGTTATTAACGTACAGAAGCATATTTTACGAATCAATGTTTAAGTTATCAAACATTATATATTTACTGGATCAGCAAGAATGATGACTCTGACAGAAGCTTTTCCCGGTGTATCTAAAGTTATAAGGTCAGTCAAGATTTTATTTCCGCTTTCTTTAATAGCTTTCTGAATGTTCGGTTGTTCCGAAAACGGTACCGAGAAAGCAATACGTCCGTATGCTTTTGCATGATTAACTGCAGTACCTATATTACAATACATAATAAAAGCAATAGATAATAAGTAATACAGTTTAGATATTTGAATGAAATAATTTAATTTGTATGTAAGAAAGTAAAATAATTGAAATATTATATAAAAACTCACCTATGTCTTCAAACTCAAGCTTGGCTTGATCCTCACTGTAGCCCATCAGGACACTTTTATCCTTTTGATCAAATATCTTCAATCCCAAAATATCTTTCCAATAAGCAATGGTTTTATCTAAATTGGAACTGGATAAAGTGACTTTTTCCACAGGATCTATTTAAAATATCAATATATTTAAAAAAGTTACTAATAATATTACAAGCCAATTTATATTTTAATTTTCCAATATTAAAATTATAGAATTCGACAATCTATTTTATATTTACCGCTATCGGCAGGATGTTGTTCATTAATGATGTGATACTTGTATCCACCTGGTGCTTGCATCACAAATTTTCCATTTTCTTCTTGCACTGGCCAATTATTAGCACGGGCTCTTTCAATAATGTCTTTTGAACGAATTGTGATGGCTTTAAAATCATTTCCTACTTCATATTCCTTAATGCCATAATTATATGTCAGCTCGATTACAAAATGTGTATCCTCAGGACCATATCCTATCATTGTCTTGCTCCAACGATTTCCATATGGTCTGCAAATATAACATCAGTTATATAAAAAATAAGGTGAAATAGTGTATAATTGTAAATAATGTTATAAGTGATGATAATTAATTGTATAAGTAGATAATTGAATGCATCAATAGGTTGTATACAATCATTAGATAAAATATATATACATATATTTATTAAAAATAGAATAAATATAATCATAATGTAACAATTAATAAACAACACAATAAAAAATGGAAAAATTCCGTTTTCTTTGAGTCATTCTGTGTAAGTGGTATTACACAGAAATTATTGTTACATGACTAATGACAGATTACTCACCCATTGCATTCAGCCTCGCATCCTTCTGCGAATTCCTCGTGTCTCAGTACCTGCAGAGAAAAAAGAATTCGATAATTCATTGAAAATAAATTTAATTGCTCGGAAAACGAAAAAAATTACCTTCATTCCAAGAATTTCGCGATAGAATTTCGCTGTCAATCCACGATCAGGTATCTTGAAAACAAAATGCAACGCACGTCCAGCGACCATTTTTCTCAGAAATTTTGCCGTATTTGTCCTTCCAATGTAATCAAGAAGACTGGAATTTGATTGAATTGGTTAAAACGAGCAGATGCAATTCTCACGGAATAGTAAGAGGAAGAATGAAACGGAGGAATCTGGCTTATTAGCTGCACTGTTTGTATTATACTCCTACCCAATTTTTTCCCTTCCTTCCCTCCAATATCCAAAAATACAGGTCTGTTCTTTTTAACTACGCTCTTTGCCTCACAGCTAGCGAGTAAAATTCACCGAGTTACTCACCTGTGATTCACTTTGTTTATGATCCCATCTACCTTTTCAGCGTTTCTGTATCTGGAGAGAAATGTTTTATGGCGTAAATGAGGCCATCGTGCAACAAGCAGACGACAGGAACAGTGGAAGCAGACGGAAGTGTCAAAAGTCGCATATATGATCGGTTTATTTACACCGCCCGGCGGACTATCAATCGAAACTTTCTTCGAACGTAAATTACTCACATATTAATTCTCTAACGAATATAATGGAGAATCTTGCAGCAAAACTATGCTCACTCTTAATAGAAAACGCTGAAACAGGTAACCATCATAGTTATCATAAGCAAATATATTGAACGTATCAACTAATATCAAAACTATTCTGTTAAGTATACCGAATTTGATATTAGGTGAATGATCCTTTTTGTTTTTTCAGCGGAACAATGGAAATTATTGGGACAAGAGAAAGATGGGTCGATACTTGTTGGATGGGTGCAAGAATCGAAAGGAAACGACGTGTATACATCGTGTAGTGTTATTGCCCGTTACGACCAGTTGGACAATAAATTACAGGTAATAAATATATACTGTAAGTGTTCTTCCTCCACACAGGTGCCTTTAATATTGCTTTAATATTCAATGTTTCAATCGTTTAGATATTACACCGTTTTCCGGAGGTATTAAATATCGTTCAAGCTACAATAAACCAAAGCCACACGTTAATAGGATATGTAACGAAAGAGAAGAGTTCTTCAGAGACAAATGATTCCCCTAAAAAGCACAGTTCAAGTGATAATAATGCAGCCTGTGAAGCAGAGTTTTACAGAGCATTTATTGTTGAATTGTCAACCGATGATACCAAAGTGCATAATTTAGGTATTGAGAAGTCCAAGCAGGTACGATTGCAATTCTTGTACAGAGAAAAGGAGCAACTTGGTGTAGACAAGTTCCTAATGTTGATACATCATGAATGTAAGTAAATTCTACTTATGAATAAGAATTTACTAGAATCATTACATTCACAATATTATGTATAGATTTGAGAATAAAGTGATCGTTTAAGGCAAAGAGAATAAAGTTGTGTTAGAACATAAAGTTAAGTACTTATGAATATCAATTTTGTGTAATTTAAACCGCGCATTGTTTCTAGGTGTCCTGACATACACGGTTCAATTTGACACAAGCGTGAATGAATCGAGGCCGATAAATGAGCTGAAATCGGAGGTGCTTGTAAAAACATTCATATGGGCTCAGTGGGACATGATCAATCAAGTTCTCTACCACATACATCATCGGCAAATCCCCGCGAGCTTAGTCTCCGAGGACGAGAACAATTCCAAGTCTTCGCGGCCCACGCTCAGCGGTCTTCAATTTCACGACGACCTGCCTCACGAAACGGTGGTAAGAATTCAGCGAGATAACAATACTTATATCCACCTGGCGCCTGCGACACGAATCTTCCATTTTCTCGCACTGATCAAGCAATAAGTTTCGTATAAACGTGACTTTTTAAAGTAAAAAAATCGCAAGCCCGAGCTCCAATTCCCACCGGGTCCTTCCAGCTGAATATCCCGTTGAACTTGCCACAACTGCTGACGTCCTCGAACTGCGGCACTTACGAGGACGACGTGATACCGCTGCGAGTCCACGACTGTTCTCTCGATCTCATTATGGTGTCGGACTCGAAAGGGATGGTCTGCGTCTGCCACCATTACCTGTACCGGCCCGTCCAGCCGCCGCAGCACGTGCTGAACTCGCTCAACGACTCCAACACGGTGCACTTCGCGTACTCGGTGACCCTGCTGCACCACAGCTGCGTGATCCACTGCGTGATACCGGGTATACCGTGGTCGCGCGCGAAACTCATGAGACCGACCTTCGCGATATACGAGAACCACCACATGGCGGTGTTCGTGCCGGGGCTGTTTCTGCACTTCCTCGAGATCGGGCTGAACCACGAGCCCTGCTGCCACATACTGTGCGGCCCGCCACCGTCGGTGTCGTCTCGCGCTTCCTACTTGGTGCCGTTATTCGACCTGGAGAACGCCGGCAAGGGGACGAGGAGGAACTCCCATCATAACAGTAACAACACGGACGGGAGTAATTCGCTGCCGAGCTCCGGTTCGAGCGTGTTGACGATAGACCTGCCCACCTTGGACCTCGTCCGACTGACGATCCCCACGGACTTCCTCGTCGGAGTCTTCCGCAAAGAGACCTCGGTGGAGACTCGGCTGGGGATACTGCATTATTTTCTCTGCCACAGGAACGACATGGAGATCGTCGCCGAGTTGGTGTCCGTGCTCGCGGAAAAGCCGCGCTCCCTGGACATCGTGCGTTTCATGCAGGAGTTCCTCATAGGCAGCTCCTACGCATTGGTGCAGAAGAATCTTCTTACGGACACCGTCCCCTTGCTGGCCTTCTTGCCGGTTACCACTATAGGGGATTATCAGACCTTCGACATCAAGGTGAACGAGCTGAGTGTCACGCTGAGCCACGAGAAACTTTGGAACACGTCGGTGATGCTTCTCTCGCCGCAACAGAGGCTCGTACCGTACCGTAGCGATTTGTGGACCAGACTGTGGGATCAGCTGAGCAGAAACGGCGGCGACAAGCAGAGATTCAACCCCGGCCGTATCGCGGAGAAACTGCTGGTTTCTCTAGCCTGCTATCAACCAGAGGCGCTGTCCAGGTGTAGCACTCCGATGTCGCCGAGTGGAGGGTAACTTTTCTCCTCGAATTACCCGATGTGGAATCGGTCGCACACCCGGTGAACACCAACTAACGTTGAGAACTATATATTTCAACACATTGTGTGTTATAAAAATATCATTGTGTATATTATAACGTTGTGGTAATGATTTTTTTGTTTTACCTTTTGTTTTACCTAACCGATTTCGAAAATTCACATACACACACATACACGAAATAACTCGAAATAATCTTAATATTCAAGGACTAAATCATATCGTATAAATCGTACGATACAATGAATTAATGTGCATTTGTATTCGCTTGTAAAATGCCTCACCGAGGAATGTATCTCATCCACGCATTGCCTAACACAACTTAAACAATATTGTCACATGTTCGAACAGTCATGTATTCGCCGTTACGTATGTATAATATTTATTATTCATGCATGATATTTATTTGACATTTATTCATTGTATATTACAATATGATTTTTGCATGACCGTGTGATACTTATTGCTTTACGAACGACGTTGCAGATTCGTTGCAGTGCCGCTCGGAGACCTGATAGTGAATCGCGGCATCAAGTTGGACTCGAATCTGCCGTTTAACGAGACGGAAAGCTGCACCGCCTCGAAGCAGGAGCACATCGTGTCGGTGAATTTGCGCGAACTCTCCATGTATCTCCTGAAGAACGGCACGCACACGTCGACTATGCTCACCCGAGGCTCCTGCACCGCGTTGCACGTTCACGCCATGGCCACGAGGCACGTGGCGGCCCAATTGGAAGCCTCGCGTACGCTCTGTCAGATACTCTGCCGAGCAGCCGGCGTCGATCCAAGGATTGAGCAAGAACGTGGCTTTGGTCTTATGTGAGCCCGATCGTTGCAACATTTCATTTGCCTGCTGATATATAATTACCCGTTAAACAAGAAACATTAAATCAATTTGAAATATGAATTTTATGCGGATTTTATAAACATTTTGTCAGAATATTTTATGTTTCTAAATCGTTACTCGATGATACAATATTCCTAAATATTAAAATCATAGCGCGTAGAAATGTTATTTCTCATGTTTGGCTTAAATATCGTTAACAATGATGTTATACACAACATTAAGGACTACATGTTTGAAAAAAACGTTACATGTTATAAAATATCATTGTGATAACGTTGTTAATTGATTTCTTACTTACTGGTTGCAACGTTGCAGCAATATTGCCGCAAGCTTTCGCGCTATATGGAAGAGAACTTCTTTCCAGACGGTCTGAAATTCATATTTAACAAAATAGAAATTGTGTCGCGAAGATGAAGAAAAAATTGATTTAATTCATCACATCGAACTCTTTATCTAATACTGTTACGTTTTACAGAGACAAATTGGACAAAGCCAGACGGTGGTTGCTGTTCACGCTTTTGCAGCGATACAGGTATTCCATAGAGAGTATCGCTTACCCGGCACCGCAGGGGTTCGCGTCGTTTTTCACTTACCTCGGCTATCGCACTCTCGATTACTCCATGTTTCTGCAGTACATTCAGCGCTCGGTGTTCGAACTGCAGGTCGACGTCGGCAAAGCTATTCTAGCCGGTACGTCCTTGCGATAAAAAGTATCGTATTCGCGTATTGCGAGTGTTCATAAATGTCAAGTATAATAAGACATCCCAGGAAGCGTGAGACCTAAAACCGGGACAAAAGGTATCTTAAAGAAATCTTACTTAGCTTTTGTCTACAACCTTGCGTTAAGACGTAAACCGCAAGTGAATTAACCAACCATGGTCGATTATTCTCCTAATGAACGACTGTGACTGATCAACTTGCTTACTGTTTACGTTTTAAAGCAGGATTGTAGGGCTTGTTGACAAGGACTCACAGACGGCTTTAAGATGTCTTGAAGAGTCTTCTGTCTTAAGTCAGGCCTGTGTTGTCTGGGATAAGACGCGTTGACCTATTTATTTTTATTGTGACTTATTTGTATAGATATGAGCGATGCAAAAAAGGATGTCATTCAGAAGCTGGGCTTGCTGTCCTTAATGCCAAGATCTCGCGCCAAGAGACTGCTTAACCAGTGGCTGCACCCGGTCAGTTTAATGCTGCGGGCCAGGGAACACGCCGCTAATATCCTGTGCGGCGAAGAAAGTCAAAATCGAGTCGGCAGTCGACCCTTGCAACATCGTAATCATCATAACAGTGAGTGGGATATGGGTCAAGTGTATCGACGAAACTGAAATTGCATAACCATACTTGTTAATCGCTTCTAGGTTTAGCGGCGTTCCCTTCGGAGGATCGTCTGTCGCCGTTAGACACCTTCTTAGATCTGCTCACCGCGAAAGGTGAGGGTCAATTTTGCAGAGAATTAATAACGCGATCGATTACATTACAAATTAAAAGGATTCTTAATAATATGTAACTTTTCTTTTTGCACACACACATACATACACAGCCAGTCTCACCGAACTGGATTTCGGATTGCTGATAGAAGCAACAGTCACATCCACAGAAGACTTCCTTTAATTGGTATTAAATTTAACAGGGAACTTCGTCGGGTGTTTTGTCGGTATAACTGGTGCTGGCAACTACCAAAGAACGTCTCCTTGAGTAAGAGGATTTATTTAGCAAATAAATAACGAATCATTCGAGCGAATTTATGCATAATTTTTATATGTACTTGCGTGCGATACCGCCTACTTTATACTTTTATAATTTTGTTATCGAATCTTTCATGTATATTTTGTTAAGTCCGGTATGCTGCAGAGAGTTGTGGAAAACAGAGTTGTAAAATGTACTTACAATTACGGATATTGTTATTTCGGCAGAAATCTCGAAAACAACAAGTGCCATCAAAACTTAGTTACCATTGCCGATCGTAACACTTACCATTAATAAGCAAGGATAATGAAAGTTTAATTGTTTAAGAATTATGTATTATATATTGCAAGAATTTCTGAAATTTGAGAAATCTACGTCCTTTATGCGGAAAATGCCCACCCAGGAATGACCAAAGAGCAATAGAGCGATCACTGTTACATTACTAGAATATTGTATGATCACGCACTGTAATGTCATGCATATCGCTATCGTGTATTTGAGTGAAGCTAAAAATTTGCATATCGCTAAATTTATAACAGTTATCTTCGCTTTTAATTAGATTTTAATGAGAGTAAAGTACACATGGAATGAAGAGTGTCTATGTTATTACTATTACTTCGCGTTTTCTACGATTCTATTAATATATATATTCCTGGGTGACTGTGTCAAATATAAAAAATAGGAAAATTTAAATAATTATTAAGTATATAGTAATATTATATTGATATTCTACTGGTGCTTGTATAAGTTGGTATTATATTCAGTATTCTTAAGATCATGTGATACAATGAATTAATTATGAAAATTAATATTTGCAACTGATGTACTTATAATATATTATCAGTTATAGCATGTTGTATGTACATGTACATTAGAATGTATAATGTATTGTTTTCGACGGTCTTAGTCATCGTAATTATTACATGAAGTACGTTGTAATAATATTTCTCCTATGTTGTAAACTGTGATTATTTTCTTTTGAGAAATAGAGGAAGTAAGATAATACTAGATTTTTATACATATGTATATCTTAAACGGTATTTTAATTGTGTAACATTTAGATAAGGGGTATCCTAATTTTTTGTGTACGGGACAAGTGATTTTTAAAGCAAACCTTGTAAAATAAAAGTTTTAGAAACATTTTATTTATGTGTTTTTTAATTGTAATGTAATAAGAGAAATCTTAAAGCTATCTAAAAGGCGTTATATATTTTTTTTAAGATATCTTTCAGACATCTTTAAGAGATCTTTCAAAAATTTGTTCTATTTGGGCAGTGATGAAACGAGAGTAAAACTAAAATTGAACGATGTAGCACAGACACGAACCAAGCGACTTAATCGATAACAGTAATTAGTGTGTTTTATATCTATTTCTTCAAAAGGCGCTGCAAACGAAGTATCAACTAAAGCCGGCAGTACACTTTTGCATTTGCTTGTTAAATGGAAATAATGCGTTTTGATTGGTGTCTGATTTCCATCCATTGGAAATGTACCAATCAGAACGCGGTATTTCCATCCAGCAAATCCAGCATGAACAAACATTGTGTGCTATCGCCTTTACAGCATGGCCACTTTCAAGCTTCTCTCTGAATATGATTGAACGCCACTGGTCAGTAATTCTGTGAAGAGAATAACCAATATTTCGTGTGTCGTGTGTGTGAAATATTATATATTTTACAGATATAATTTCTTATAAAAGCATCAGAGTAAGAGAATTAATCATTGAAGAAGATTCTACAATACACGTTTAACTGTAAGTTATTGTGACACTTTTTTTATGCATCATTTATATTAGTTCTATATAATATATACATTATAAAATAGTAATATACGTTATATATATAAACATACTTTAAAAAATTGCTATAATTGTAAGTGGTGATTTATTACATCGTATAATCATAAATATGATAAATCCTATGTCAATTTCAGATTTAATAATATTACATTATGGGGGATACTACCTTAACCAGCGAACAGAAGGAATTCTTAGCAGAATGCGAAGAAGAATATAAAGATCGCTATACGGAGAAGGATAGCAGTTTCATGGAGATGAAGGACCAAGTACCCAAGAAACCACCGATTGTGGATCCTTGGTATAATAAACCGCGTAGAGCTTATGACTGGACGCGTCAAAATCAAAATAGACGTAATCATCATTGGGATCGTCGAAATAATGAGAGGAATGAAAGATGGGATCGTCATGCTGGCAAACATCACACACATCATCGACAAAGAATATATTAGTGCGTAGTGACTATGAATACAAGTGTATAACCGTTCTGCGACCAAGTGTACGATATTCGTTAACAAACACGTAAAAAATTAAAAATTTTCTCTTTAAAACGTTTATATCATATTTTCGAATAAATTAATTTTTCGCTCTGAATATTCAACTGTGAGACGAAGAACTTGGAAATTGAGCAATTGCCATTTTTTGTTTAACTAGAAATATCTTGACGAAAATTAACGACAACATTAATATAGCTAATGTGGTTAAAAACTAGAGATTTCAAGTTTTAAAGTGCTTTATGAACGGTCTCGATAGCATCATTATTGTAAAAGTTACAGCTTGTTGAATTTCGCCTGTTTTATTACGATGCAAAGTACGTCTGACCAGTCCTTGAGTCATATTACTTGAGAAATACAAGTACGTCTGACTCCACCATTTAGTCATATCACGACCTCATTTTTTTTTTTATTGAAAGTAAATGGCGTACAAAAGGTATGTACATGGTCTAGGATCTAATCACGACCTTATTTTTTTTTTATTGCAAGTAAAGGGTGTACAAAAAGGAGTACAAGGTCTAGGAACTTAGTCTATCCGACCCGCATCACGACTTCAGTCGCTCGTTAAGTACTACATGGGCTGAAAAGTCCCGGGATTTTTCAGTAGGTGGCGTCATTAGAAAATGAACATGATTTATTTCGAGAAGTTCATCTGTCACTAGTTTATGTGTGAAGTTTCATGACATTTCGTTCATTCGTTTACAAGCTACAGTCGTTTAAGTGTCGCTACCTTCGCCTTCGTAAAAAAAATGGAAAAACAGGAATATCGCATATTGATCAAACATTGTTTTTTGATGGGAAAAACTCCTGAACATTCAATGAAATGGTTGAAGAAATGTTATCCCACATCTGCTCCTTCGAGAACAACAGTTTATCGATGGTTAAGTGAATTTAAAATGGGTCGTACAAGCACCGAAGACGCACCTCGCTCTGGAAGACCAAAAGAGGCTACGAATGCGGAAATCGTAAAGCAAGTGCATCGAATCGTTTTGAGTGATCGTACAGTGAAGTTGCGCGAGTTAGCTGAGGCCGTTGGTATCTCAAAAGAACGGGTGGGATACATTTTGCACGATGTTTTGGATATGAAAAAGCTATTTGCGCGATGGGTGCCGCGTTTGCTGACCGCCGACCAAAAACAGCAGCGCGTTGATGATTCAACGGCCGGTTTGGCGTTGTTGCAGCGTAATCGAGCGGACTTTTTTCGACGTTTTGTGACGATGGATGAAACGTGGATTCATTACCATACGCCTGAGTCCAATAGGCAGTCTGCAGAGCGGCTGAAAAGCTACGAAAGCCCACCAAAGCGGCCAAAAGACCAACGCTCGGCCGGGAAGGTTTTGGCCTCCGTTTTTTGGGATGCACATGGCATAATCTTCATCGATTACCTGCAGAAGGGAAGAACAGTTACGGGAGAGTATTATGCAGCGTTATTGGACAAACTGAACGACGGAATAAAGAAAAAACGGCGTCATATGGCGAAGAAAACAGTTCTGTACCATCACGATAACGCACCATCACACACGTCCTTGAAAGCGATGGCCAAATTGGACCAATTACGATTCGAATTGGTTGCTCACCCGCCGTATTCTCCAGATTTGGCCCCCAGCGACTATTATCTGTTCCCAAACCTCAAGCGGTGGCTCCAGGGAAAGAGATTCATATCGAATGAGGAAGCCATCGCAGAAACCGAGGCGTATTTCGAAGGCTTGGACATTTCGTACTACAGAAAGGGCATCGAAATGTTGGAAAATCGCTATACCAAGTGTATCGCACTCGAAGGCAACTATGTTGAGGAATAAATATAACTTTGCCCAAAAAACAACGCTTGTTTTCATTAAAAATCCCAGGACTTTTCAGCCCATGTAGTATAGTGGCGACTCGTAGCGGAGATTTTGGAACTAAATTTCAGAAATAACGAATCTAATAATTCTGTACCCGCTGAAACCCAGGTATTTCTAACATTAAAAGTAACGAGTTTACAGGATTATTAGACCCGGTATTTCTGAAATTTAGTTCCAGAATCTCCGCTACGAATCGCCACTATACTTAACAAGCAACTGAGGTCGTGATATGACTAAATAATGGAGTCAGACGTATTTTGCATCGTAATAAAACATAGGCGAAATGTAACTTTCGCAATAATGATGCTATCGAGATCGTTCAAAAGGCATTTTAAAGCTTGAAGCAAGAACAATCATACCATTGGACTGATCTGATAAAAGTATTTTATTATAACATTTTCCCTTCCTCTTAAGTTTCTTTGATAATAATTTTGCACCAAGTATTTTACAACCAAACTTCTTGGGATTGTTTTTGGAATTCGTCAGGTTTACGCGTATTTAACATGCAAAAATGCGATATAATTTATATAAAAAATTCTAATTTTTCAGTCTTAATTTTCTTGTATCAAAACGTGTGCAACTAATATATTGCTCTATTACTTACCTTTATGCCTACACCTTGTTATTATTACCGTATTTCTAGTATGCCACTAGATTTCACCAGATCCAGCCCCGAGTGCTGCCGGCTTTGGATAATCTTTCTGTCTATCGAAAGAAGCAGTCCGTTTGATGCTTAGTAAGCTTCGTACTATTTTTTATACTTGAATTGATAACGTCATTACGCAGCTGAAAGTGCTTTCAAACATCTGATAAACCCTACGCGGAGCGACACGTGCGTAGTGCCGTCGTAGTGTCTATAATTTGTTATACACTGTGTTCCGCATAGCGAAGTATTTCGATAAAACGACAGTCATACTTGATTAATTTTTTATCATGTTCACTTATGTCTATTGGAAAGCAAAATTGATGCGGACTAATTTGTAAGAAATTAAATTATATATAAAGATAAGAACACAAGACTTATTCTTGCAAATATGTGGGCGGATACTATCCTAATTGTATTTATCAGCATATGTACAGCATTGTTAGGTGAAGGTAAAGCAACAGCCTATTTCAATAAATATATTGTTAAAAGGTTAAATGGTTAGGAGGGTTTATATATGTAATTATATATTTATTTTAACTTATTTAACTTATTTTTATATACATTAAGTATTTTTGTACATTTACATTGAAAATATAGATTTTGTTGGCGTTTTAACATAATTTACTTTATATGATATTAGGACTGACATGGCTAATGGTATATAGAACTGAAAAATATCAAAAGTTGAAAGCTGAAGTAGAAAAGCAGAGTAAGAAGTGTAAGTTTGGAATATATTACTGTTATCATAAGATAGTATATGTATGAAACTTATCTATATAAATTATCTTTATTTGTTAGTGGAAAAGAGGAAGGAAGCTCATGGTGATTCTCTGGATAAGCAACAAAAGAAGAAGATAGAACGTGAAGAGGAAAGATTAAAAAATAATAATCGAGATTTGTCTCTCGTGAAAATGAAATCAATGTTTGCGATTGGATTCGCCTTCACAGCGCTCTTAAGTATGTTCAACAATATATTTGATGGGCGAGTTGTTGCTAGATTGCCATTTGTTCCAATTAGCTGGATACAAGGCTTATCGCATAGAAATCTCTCGGGCGATGATTATACAGAATGCTCATTTATATTTTTGTACATATTGTGCACCATGAGTATCAGACAAGTAAGTTTATTAAATATTAATATATTGCTTCGAATTTATTGAAATATGTGTGTAAAAGTGTGTGTAAAATATTAATTGTATGCTTATGGTTCTTCGTTAGAACATCCAGAAGATGCTTGGGTTTGCACCATCCAGGACTGCGAGCAAACAAAGTGGAAGTATCTTTGGACCTCCTCCTCAGCAATTTAAATAAATTCAGATTCGCAGAATTCCAACTGGTGTTTACAGAGATTTTTGCACACCTCATTCTTAATTCTGAACGCTTATTAGCTACCGATCATCTCTTATTTTATATCCTACGTTAAAATGTTTAAAGAAACACATTTAAACAGAGTTCTTAGGTTTTTTTTATCGTCTTCCATCTCTAAATAATATACGAAATACAAATCGAGTATCGGTATTAACACTTTGCGTTATTCGTAAAAACGCACGTTAAGTAAAATTGTTTCGTTTTATTTGTTAAATATTTTTTTAACTAACATATTTAATAATTAGAAATCATATAATAAGAGAAGATAGTCTAATAAAAATTAAAAACATGAGCTTGAATAATATCGCTTGAATGTGAAATCTCGAGTATATATATATATATATATATATATATATATATGTGTGTGTATGTAATATACCAAATTTCCATCTACAGCACCGTAGTTCATTATATAATAAAGGATACAGTAATTTGCGAGAAATTAGTGGGCAATTTTAAAAAATAGAGTTCTTACTTGTGTATTTTCATAAAGCAGCGCTTATACAACAATCGATGTTATATACAAACGTAACGATTAACCATATACAAAAGAGCGCAACCATTTATCCTGTATGGTAAAAAATTTTTAGATACATTTATATGTATATATTTATAATACTATATACTACATATTATATATATATATATATGCGTGTTGTGTATGTGTGTGTGTGTGCAATGTGTTGAGTATGTATGTATATATACTATATATTTATGCTACACTAGTAACAGTCTGATTTGTGAAGAACTCGTTACACAATTTTTATACATTGTTGAAAATCCATTTGAATAATGTCAGATCGATCGGTTATGATTTTTCCTTCTACTTGTGAATGATGCACGTATGATTCCACCGTGATGTTACCGTTGTAAGTTTCTATCACCTTCGTTACATATTAACAGAACTTAAACTTAAGCCAACCTGCCTCTATCAGAATTACTGATTTATATATATTACGCAATCGTGATATTTACAAGGATTTTACAAGTGGAAATTATTACGACAAAAAGTGTAACGCTTGCCGCGTTACAACTTTTGGTGTCTCATTGCGCGTATCGCTATTGAATATCATTACAATAATAATCGATCCCTATTCCCAGAATTCTATTGCTTTTTCTGCGCGAAAGAAACGCGATATTATATAATGCAATTTGAAATACGTAAAATTCAAATATAATGCGCGTGCGTGTGCGTGTGTGTGTCAGTCAGATAATCCACTTAGAATATAGTAACGGGATCGTTAAGAACTTTTTTTTTCGGCTATATAATTTCGTGTGTGTATTAATTCCGAGGCAGTTATACAACCGTAATTTTTTCGGCAGTGACCACACTTATGCAGGAAGTAAACAACGCAGGAAATAAAATGCGAGAGCGTGACGATCTTCTGTTCTGCGGCGACGCAATTTCGAGTGTGGCGAGTAGTCGAAGATAAAAATAAACGAAAGGTAGAATTTTTTAAACATTTAATTCCCCGCATTGTTCGCAAGGACACTCTTCTGCTGTCCAGCAGCCGACGAATCTCACATGATCACGTAATATTCTTTCTCTCTTCTTTCTCTTTTTCTCTCTTCGTTACGCATTCATACTTGATGACATAGAATGTCGCGACAAGTATAAAACACCCTGCGCGCGCACGCACTCATTCACGCTAAGAAAATGCAACTCTATTTACAAGAACTCCCCGTGTTCTTGCCGATTTTGTTCAATAAACACCGGGGAAGAATCTTTCTACTTACTTTACATACCGTACAATGAGACTTACACGCTAAAACAATTGCACATCGAGATTTATTATAAGGAATAACTTAGGTACACGAATCAGTCCGTCTCGCCGTCTCCGAGGGACGAGGCCGAATTATCGTATCGTAATAGCGACCGCGATTACAATGATATATTATCCCATAGAACCTTGTAGAACGTCTAAAGGAGACCACAAGTTCCCATAGAAACATAATTACATAGAATATGGCGTGTTCCCGGAAATCCCCTGTGTACCATGGCCTTCCGTATGTTTCACGTCGGTTTCAGCGACTCTCTACGGATATCTTCTCTCGAGATGAAACGACTGCTCGCGTCGCCGTCTCGTGAGGAGATTTTGTACGATATTATGCGTCATCATTCACTATACCCTCCCGCGAAGACCCCGAATTCCGGGTCTTACATGACGGGTGGTCTTCTGACGACATGGCCGAGTCGCTCGTGCACTGTGCTGTCTCTACACCGTTGAATTTCAACGGTTTCCGAAATCTCCACCGCGAGGATCGACGCCTCTTCATCGTCGACAGGACGACGACACGTGACGGCGGGTTAGATCCTTGCACAGTTACGCGTTACGTCATTTCGAAACAGGACGCAGTCGCCTGGATCCTCGTCTCCTACGCCTTAGAACGGCGGGCAATTCACGCCTGGGTGGAGGTACTGGCACTTCTCGCCCACCCGGCAGTAACCGTTCTTGGAAAATTGCCGGCACACCGGCGGCTGCTTGCCGCTCCCTCGCCAGCCGCCACCACCGCCGCCTCTCCAACCACCCCTACCGGGCCCACCGCCGCGATACCATCCGGGAGCGCCCCGGCCACGGTTGTGCATGGGTACTCCCCTAGGCCCTGGGAAATTCGGCCCGGGTGGGTACATCGGCCCGGGTGGTCCCTGGAAATTGTTCGGATTCATATTGTTGAAACCACCCATGTCATCCGGGCCCATCATGTAGCCCTCTTGCTGCTGATTGTACATAGGCGGTGGACCCATCATGCCAGGTGGGACCATCGGTCCACCCTCCATCCCTTGAGCGAAACCGGCCGACATGTTCGCCATGGGATTCATACTGACGTCGGGCACCACGACCTTGCCGTCTCCCGTTCTCCAGCCGCCACCGCCGGCCGGCATCGGTCCCGTCATGTCTTGGCCCATGGGACCCATGTGCGTAGGAGTCATCATCTGTTGCGGCATCTGCGGCATGGGGCCCATCGTCGGCTGCGGTCCCATAGATGTCATCATCGGCTGCTGGTTGTGAGGGAATGTCGGGTAATGGAACGTCGTGACTGCCGGCGGTTGGGGCGTCAGCTGCGGCTTCGGCTCGGGCCACGGTACCGACGTGAAGTCCTTCTCGCTCTCCTTATTACCCGTGAGGTCATCCAACGGTATCACCTTCGGGTCGGTCACCACGTGGTGCCGCTCTTCGTCCGGCTCGGCGGCGGAATCCGGAATCCTGCGGGAATTCAAGAACGGTCGGGAATTAGAAGGCCATCTTCGTGACTCCCGAAGTGTCCCCCCCCCCCCCCCCCCGGTCGGTACGGCAAATTGTACAGTCGGTAGATGAAAATTTGCGACGCGCTTTCTTCTTCGATGAATCTCGCAACGCACCAGCCCTCGTGGCCAATAGGGAAATCTGTTCGCTGAGAATTCGCTAGGAAAGGAATTCTCCTGCTGGGCGCGGGACGCGTTGCGAAACTCATTGGAGAAAATCGCAACTTTTGATCTGCTGACTGTACCGACACCGAGACTCGCTTCAGTAAAATCAAACACGAATTAGAATTAGGTAGAAATAAAACGAGGTAGAATTAACTTCAAGTGTCGATCGAGACGCAAAGGCAACGTAATTCGATAAAGAAGATGTGCATCTGCTCAACTCCAGCGAATAACGCGAAACAAATACATATAGAAGGATTCTTATTGTCGCAGAATGTACTCAAAATGTTGGCGAAATTATGAAGTCGTTTCGGTAAACGTGTGATACGTACATGCTTCGGTTAAAGTAAAGCGCTTGGAGAATGCCTTTCTCGCGGGCGTACTGGATGTCCTTCTCCCTGCTGTCCTTCCCAGGCTCTACTAACGGAGGAGGAAGATCGATAGGAATTAGAGGCTTCCACCTTGTTCTTTCCTCCATTAAATCTTCGTTATCTAATAAAAAGAAAGCCACTGTTAGTTTTATAAATTGTATGTGTGTGTGTGTGTGTTTTAATAAATAAATGTAAGTAATTAAACGCAACCGAAGTTAATAATTGCACCATACATTTATAAAGTAATATATTTAATAATTCCTCATGATATTATTATAAGGATAATAATATCATGAAGAATTATTAAATATATTATATTGTGGTCTCCGTCACACTGATCTAAAAGAGACTCTTGTAACAATTCTCTTGCCATTTAGAACAGATGTTTAAGTTAAATATGTATTTTAAAAGTGCAACTCCATTATTTCGTTCTTGTTATTTCGAAATATTATATAAATCTGCGCCGACAGGCTGCAGGACAATGGCAGAGAATGTGTGTTCTATCGTCTCTAGCTCCTTGATACAAAGAATGAGTATACAAGAGTCGACATAAGTGTGTACTCTGCTGTATTCCTTTTTGTCCACGTAAGTGATCCTTTGTCCGATTCATGATGCACATATGGGTATATGTAAAATTCAAGTGTCAATTAAATAGTACGTACTTAATTTTCTGGCCATCTGGAATGCTTCCCTCTCGTTCTGCTTCTCCATCTGCTTCATGTCGGTAAACGTTTTCGTCACATTGACTCTCTCCGTTTCATCTAACTCGAAGTAACGTATCGATTCCAGATCCGTCTTCCATTTTAGGACTTTCTTAGGTCCTTTGCGTTTCTGAAGTAATAAAACACTTCTAAGCCCGTCTACGTATCGTATTTCGGAGTAAGAACTAACATTGTCCCTCTTCGACGAATCCGAGACTACCGAAGATGCATCTTCTGGCGACTCGGAATCCTTCGTATCTTCCACATCTTCTTCGGGCGTCGGTGCTGAAGAGAAAAATAAATGAGTATTATAGTAAATAAAATAAACGTATGATATTACATAGTCACGGCACAAACGTCTCAAAGATGTTTTGGAGAGACGTCCTTCGAACGACTGTGAAAAGTCCCGCTTGTTTTAGACTCTTTTAGATGTCTTAAAAATATTTCTGAGACGTTTGTACTACCTGTATATATATGATCGTCTCTGTGCACAATATGTATATTTTTAAGAGAAGTGTTTTCAAAAAATCAAAATGTTTTTCACGCTTAACTGACGTTTAAATTAATACACTTACTGTTACTTCCGTCGTCGTCGTCTCGATTGTCCTTGTCATCATCCATCGCCAGATCTCTATCCTTTTTCAAATCTTCCTCGCTACTCTCCTTTTCCCTTTGTTCCTTGTCCTCTTCTATTTCCAAAGTATCTTGATAAAACTATAAAAGAGAAGAATTCATTTCTCATATTTGTTATTAATAGCAATTCTCATATTTCCACGAATACTAAGAGACATAAAAATTAACGTGAAGTGCATTCTGCTTTGATAAGATCTTAAACTCGAATTCATAACTAAATAATAATGTTGCAAGAGTTTCGATAAATAATGTGATTCTCTCAAACGGATACACTTGTCGATCGACTTGAAATCGCGTTTTCTTCTTTAACAAATAATACACGCATCGCGGAAATGTATCTTACCTTGAAATTCGGTTTAAGAGCAACCGGCGACTTATCTTCTGGATTCGAGGGCGAAGCAGGTGGTGGTGTGCTCTCGCGATTTTCGGCAGTAATGGTTTCCTGCTTCTTAGGTTCCGAGGAACCGTCCTTCGATATGGAAACTCTGCGCTTGCGTTTCCTTTGTTCCTTGCTCTTCGTAGATGCCGTGAGAGCGTCCATGAACATATCGCTCTCTTGCAGCACCATCGCTGGAAACAGCAAGCAATTGAGGAATTGAAATTATTATTGTACTATGTCCTATTATGAGCAAATGATAAAATATGTCAATATTGGGAGATCCCTATACTCAGGATTGAGAAATAACGCGTCGCTTGTTATGCTTATAATTTTAATAATAATTTGTAACTGTTATATAATAATAATGAATATAATAATTATTTTACACACAAATGATAGACCAAATAAAAGTGATGATATATTAATAACGTTATCATTATGAGAGAAGAATCATTATTACGTAATCACGCCTGCTGAGGACGCATGTAGAATGGGCAATAGCGAATTAGAAAAAATTTTTTTAATTTGACGGAAATAAAGTAACGGAAATTGTAACAATGTGTTACTTCTTGTGTAACGATAACGGTAAAAAGTTGTTTTTAAAAACTAACTTTCCCAATCCTGTTAATATTACACGAATTTAAAAGAAGAAAATACGAAAAGACTTAATATATAAAACTAAAGATCCAGTTGGCTCTGGGAAATAATTCTGAAAAACAAGAGATGCTTGGTTATTATAAAAGTTGGCAATATTCTTCCCCGAATTTTGACACAACGTAGTCACGAAGTTATCACGATTCGTTGGCTGTTTGGTATATACCTAGAAAATATTAAGATTCGTCGTAAAGTCGAAAATATAAATTGCACAATAATTCGATCGCTTCCGTTTTCCAATAGCTGCACGGAAGCTTCGCATCACATCAGAGGACAACGATAATTTGTCTGTTGTGATAAAATCAGCGTTATTTGTTTCAATACATCCTGCAAGAAAAAAATATTGATCAATTCCAAACAACTTCCCGTATTTTGTATTCTGCATTCGTCCTAAAACAGCTAAAAATAATTAAACTATGATTCAGCAGGTAACGACAACGTTATTATTTCAAAGTTTCCAATAACATATGTGATAAACTATGTGAAGAAATGATATAAGCGTCACACAAATACGGACGTTTTGAAAAATAATAATTTAATATATATATATATATATTTACCATCTATCATTTTAGACATTTAGTATAGTTTTATATTAAAAACTGCTAACTGTGTATTGTGTATATCACTAAACTTCTACTTTTTATATAATAGATTATTTATTAGAAATCTACATGCTTTTTTAAATGGTAATTAAACAACTTCAGAATACCTAATGAAAAGAGATGAATATAAGCATCATTTCAGATTTTAAATTTTGCCTTTGTAAACTTTTATTATACTTCAAATCTATAGTATGCGATTATTTTTATAATGATAATAGATATGATAATGTAACTGTAGAATAAAAACGGGCAATAAAGTGGGCAAATAAATATGTAATATTATGCAAATCAACACCTCTGACATATATAATTAATCAATTATATTCTATAACGTTATAAAAAATTGTATAAATTATATATATTATAATCATATTTGCGTCATTTGCATTCATTAATATTACGACATATTAAAAAGAGATATTTAAAACAAATTAATATTCTAAGAAAGATATACATTCGTTTAAATCATTATAATTATGTCGCCAAATGTCTTTAAATGCAAAAAAATATTAGGTATTATTTACAAAATGATTGTTTTTATTACAAATAAAATAATTTCTATATTTATTCGTATAAATAAATATATATGTTCTATACACTAAATAATCATCATTATTATCACTGACACACATACACACACATACACACGCACAGCTGTATAAATTATTATTGCAAATTAAATAATTGAAATAAAATCATATATTGAGGATAATAATGTAAAAAAATGCATAACAAAAAAATATTAAAATAATTGTTTACTCAACAACTACATATACTACAGATTAAAAAATTAATTTAGACGCTAACTTTTAATTTTTTAAATTGATTTTTAACGTTACTTTTATATATTGTAGAGATATTTTATGTGCGGAAAGAAACATCTCAATACCGTAATTTACATATGTGATAAAAATAACTGACATAATTTCTCCTACAGTCATATAATTTAACGAACAAACAATTGCAAAAATTTGATTTGACTGAATCATAATAATGTGATATATGCGTCAATGGAACAAACTTATGGATAATTCATGTACATAAATTTTCTTGAACACATAAAATCGTTGTTCCATTCTACACAAATAACACGTAAACGATTTTAATCAAGGAAGAGTATACGGGTTGCATTATACGATTCGTTTTATTTCCACTGAGAAATTGATCTATAGTAAAAAAAATATGACATTCATTTGCTTCCTAGATTCCTCACTTCTGTTCTTGTAGAGTACGTTTTCAGTTTTAACACCTTCCATTATCTTGTGTTATTTATCAGCAATTATGCGATGATGTGCTATAAGATAATATTTATAATCTCGCAAGTGTCTTACGAGTTAAAATTCAAAACAGCGGTCTCGTCGATAACAAACATATTTATAAACGTTATTACTTCATACATATATACACCTCTTTTATGTACTGCATACAAATTATTGCATACATTTGCCTAAATATAATAACATTTATATCTCTGTAATACCTACATTTTTCAATTTTAAATATATCGATTGCATCGATATATTCGGATTTTCGACTACGATTTGTATTTCTATCATTTCATATGAATTTTCTGTACGATAAATAATCAATATAATAAATAAACTGTATAATAAAAAATGAATAAACCGATAACAAGAAATAACTAAGATAAACTTTTCTTTAATCTCTCGTTTAAGAAAGCTGACCTAACGCGTGTATCTGAAACGAGACCGCTGCTAAATTACTATTTACACGCTCCCGCGTTTTTTATTGATTCCAACAGATCCTTAGTATAAAATTTGCAAAATCGGGGATAGGAACTTAGTTTTATTACTCTTTAAATTGATAAGAGAATTGTATCAAGCAAAATATATTTATACTTTTATAAAACTTTACTCTCGTGATTTTCCCAAAGACATAATCAATATAGCGGGATTCTTTTCCTTTTTTTTTCCTTTAATATCCGGGGAAGACGCGAAAGAATATTCTTCTTACAGGCACACGCAAGAGAACACAATCTAATGTTAAACAAATAAATAAATGTTATAGATAGGATCAGCAATGGATGTCTTTTTCATATAGATATCTATATAAATACAGAATATCTCTTCTTACACACACATCGATCGTATCGTAAACTTTCGCATCCTTGCACGCGGCCCAGGGACCGTGTGGTAATAATTACACATAATGTACAATCATTCACATAAAATAAATGATCGCGTGCAAGCAAATAGAATGTTCCTCTTGACTTTGACAGCGTGCATGGCGCGGACGCCCCCGTCAGAAAGAGAAGTGTCAAGTCCACGAGGTTGCGCGAGACCGATGCGCGCCGAACGGTTAGTACGCGCCGATAGCGCGCGGGACGTAAACTGAGGTGGCACACGGCCGACGGGCCACGTGCGTCGCCATAAAACGGTTGCAAAAACATCGACCTCCGCGCGAGGATACACGTGAGAGCGCGTGGTAACGCGCATCTCTCGATTCGAATTCTGTCTCTTCGCCGGCGGATTAATCGGCGGCCGGCCCATTCCGAGCGCAAAGTCGGACGCGAGGAGAAGCGATCGTCGTCACTGTCATTTCGTCCTCGTCGTCGTCGTCGGTGCACAATCGGTGTCGTGTTTTTGTCCCCACGCTCCGTATTTTATCCGTATTCTATTTTCGTCCCGGCACGCGCGCGTCCGAACTTCGACTTCTCAATATCGCCCGCGAGATTTCTACATTTTCCGAGGTCGCGCGCGAGGTCACGGATCAGTGCGTCGTCGCCTCGAAATTCGTCGCGAGAACGTGCGTCATTCGACGTCAATCCGAGCGGAGCGCGTTCCAAAAGGGAAAAATATCGATTATCTCAAGCGAGACGTTCAAGCAAGACAATTCGGCAAGCAAGACACCTCCTATCAAAAAAAAAAATACCACGTCGCCGAAGCGGCGAATTCGATCGTCAAGGAAGTAAGATTCGAGATAATCGGTCTCGCGCACGAGCTTTGCGATATTGCGGAAAATTATGTCGAGAATCCATCACGTTCTCGAGCTCGACAAATTTTGGAGCGCGATCTCTCCGCTCCCTCCGATCACTGTCCCATCGTCTTTAGTTTCAATTAAGACGCGATCATTGGAAGCGAGGAAGTAGTCTCTTCGGCGGGTCGGTTGTGAACACGTCGGTTACAAGCTGTAAAGGGGGTTTGCTGGTCCTTAAAGGCCTTCCTGCTTGAGGACGTCGGCGTGCAGCTTCAGAATTCGTACACTTTCAGTGGTACTTTCAATCCACGGGGTCCACGTGTCATTCAGTGAAAAATCGTAGTGTTGCTTCTCTACGCACGATATATACCCTAACTTTTTGCGAATCTCTTCTTTCACTCAACCATTTGTGCTTTTCTTTGCGCTCCCCCTCCCCCCCTCACTCTCTCTCTCTCTCTCTCTCTCNCTCTCTCTCTCTCTCTCTCTCTCTCTCTCTCTCTCTCTCTTCCTCTCTATTAAAGGTGTCACTTGCCCCACGCAAATTTCAATGCTCTCTGATATATGCGTAAACATATCACAAAAGACGCGACAATGAGAATCGCATTTTGTTCGTCGACATGTCTCGAACGGCATGTTCATGTTTCAATGGCAACAAATCTGCAAAAATGTCTCTGTTATGTAAGTAAAGAAAAAAATGATAAGCCTGCTGTCCTCGTTAAAACCTCGTTAAAACCTCGTTATTCACTTTGAAGGACGCGAATTTCAAGAATGCCAGTAAAACTACAATTTCTTTTCTTATCGGTTACTTTTTGTACTCTGCATTTACGTTAGAAAAAAAAAAGAACAATTACCGAGAGGATGGAAATCTGGATGGGCCTACGATACACGATTATTTTTGCTTCGTCTTAAAAGCATTTTGTAGCGAGCAAGAAGTATGTAGTATAGCAGAAACCCAAGAGTTAAATATTCCAGATTTCTGATAAAATTTATTTAAAATGTTTAAGTAGGGTGTACATGTATAAAGGGAAGAAATATTGGACAGACAAGACTTTGTGTTTTTTTGTTGCCTTACCTAGTTAGAGATTAGAATTATCCCTGTGTGATGGCTCGATATCGATGCGTCACCCTCTCACACCGACGAGTGCGCCGGCGAGGACACTTCTGACACGAATGTTTCAACGAGAAAAATCTACCGGTCTTATTTTCTCCCGGATCGCGTATGTATGTATGTATACATGTATGTATACACGTATATGACTCTCTCACTCTCTCTCTCTCTCTCTCTTTCTTTCTCTCATCGTGGCACAAAATTAGAAGAATCGCGCACGAACACGGGCATTATAAATGAATATACTTTGTCGAAGATTACCTGCTGAATCTTCTTAATATATGAAAAACGCTCGTAGCGGAGTGTTCCGATCCGATAATGTTCTTTGCTCTTCGTTCTTCATTAATGAGATGTGCTAATTTTCGACGATCCGCGTGAAATCCGTTAATTCTCCCATGCAGCAACGATCGTTACATCGGCTTATTATATCTTCTACAAGACACTAATAATAACTTTTTGGGGAAAGTAGAGAGGGTATAACTATTAAAGGGTATTATGCTAGGGAGATCTGGAAGAAATAATAAGTTAAAGAGATCACAGACAAAATAAGGGCCCGACGTGGGGCCGTAATACCAAAAGTGATGAATAAAGACTGTCGACAATATTCGCAATATGTAAAAACATCGCACAATAAATACTGGATCTGCTTGCGCTTCTCCTGGTAACCATCCATCTGCAAACTCAATATTACAGAGTTAGTAATGGTATATATGCAATGCAGCATGCTAATGTACAAAGCTAAGCAGTCATTATCTTTTGGCATCATTGATAGAACTTAGATCTTGTACAATGCGTATGTTGAAAGGTAATGATGATAAAACAGAAAAATAATATTATTTCTGATTACAAAAATTGATCAAAGAAAGTATCATATCATGTATCACACAAATATTATAATAAAAACAATGTAACAATCTTTAAGGTGATATAAATGTTATGAAAAAATTTGCAAATTCCAATTTAGATATGTGTAATTAATATATTATAAATTATTCAAAATTATACTTTATAATAAAAATAAAAATTGCATATAAGTGATACGATATAAGTGCGATAATAAATGTACTATAAAAATGAATTAATTAGATAATTGCAAAGATAATTTAGCACTTAAGACAAAATAAAATTTTTATGTAAATTCAACATTCGTATTTATAACAAAGCAATAAATTATATATTATGTGCTACCTTTACACAATGTATCCTTTTTTTTTAAGTAATACTGCTGTGAAATCTATTATTTTGTATTTACTAAAATTATTTGCTCTTTTTGTACAAACATGTATAATCTTTTTTAATAAATATCTTCAAAGAGATATTTGCAAATCGTTATCTGTACTATTCTGGTCAAGTTCCATACTGAACACAAAATTTGACGCAAGCCTCTATTATGTTTTTAATTACCCAAATTTTCTCCGGTTTAAAAATCTCTGGAATTCATAGACTGCTTGATCCATGAACATTAGCAATATGTTTATTTTTAGATTAAAACAAAAGTAATATTATCTATAGTCTGTAAGAATACTTTATACATAGAATAGTATAGTATATAGAAACATTAAGAACAAGATTTTATGTGATAGGATACCAATATACTTACGTTTTGGTTTTGGTGGTATCAGCTTGATCCCGCCTTTCTTCTCCTCCGCCGGTGACGTTGGCGAATCCAGCGACAGCTTCGCGCGCTTCTCTACCAGCGGGACGGCATCTCTTATCGGCGATGGCCTCTTCAAAACGGGCAATTTTTGCGGTATGATTTTCTTGTCAACGACAGGATTCGGCTTCTTCGACCTCGGGGGCGGTGGCTTTACCTCTTCTTCCAGACCCGTGGATCGGAATTTCGAATTGAACGTCTTCACAGTTTTCGGCCGGGTCGAGTCCTGATTATTCTTTCTAACTTCAATGGACATCGATATGACCTTCTTCTCGGGCACCGTGACGATCTTCTTCGAAGAGTCCGTCGCCTTCTCTTTATTCTCCTTCGAGCCATCCCGCGAATCAGTCGAAGACTTCCTCCCGTTCGTGTCGCTCGACCTCTCGTCCTCCGATCGTTTCTTCGGTATCTTGCCAAATTTGGAGCTCAGCGCCTGACCCTGTACTTTCTCCAAGGTCGCCTTGTCCTTCTCCGCCTGATCCTTCTTCAGCTTCTCCTTCTCCCGTTCTTTATCCCGCTCAGATTTATTCTTGCTCGAACTGTGTTTACTGGACGAGCTGGAGTGATGCTTGTCTTTGTCCTTGGAAGACCTGTCCTTGCTGGAGCTGGAGCTTTTCGAGCTGCTACTACTGGAACCGGAGCGATGACTGCTGGACTTGTGAGAGCTGGTGCGATGGGTACCGGAACTCGAGCTGTGCTTAGAAGAACTCTTGGACGATGAGCCATGATGATGACTACTACTTTTTTTGTCAGAGCTGCCGCCGGACTTCTTCTCGTCCTTTTTATGAGAGTCTCTATTCTCCTTATCACTAGACTTACTGCTATCACTATTAACAATGTCCTTAGAGTCCTTATTGTCCTTAACACTATCGGCATCGTGATTGTCCTTAGAACTAACTACAGTCGGTTTCACTTCACTGGAAATGTGTTCCGAATTGTCAGACTGTCTCGTCTCTGCCGCGTCCTCCTGACCACTAGTACTACTAGCACTGTCACTTTGCTGCGTTTTCTCCTCGAGTTCCTCCGCTTCCTCTTTCTTCGCCTCCTGCTTCGCGGAAATCGCGGCCACGTCCGTGATATTTCCGTTAACCTCTATAGCAGTACTAGACGTGTTTAGAACGCTGTTTATATTCGCGGGATCTGTCTCTACTTTCGCGAGGACCTGATTACCATCGCGAATGGTGATCTTGTAGACCGGGACCGACGACTGCGAAGATACAACAACAATTTGCTTTTTGCTCTGTTGCGTCGCCTGTTGCTGTATCTGCGCTTGTTGGCTCTTCCCGACGACTTGTACTTGCACTGTTTGCGGCTGTAGCCTCTCCTGTTGCTGCTGTTCCTGATCTTGTTGGGTTTGGTGTACCGTGGTACTTCCGGCGGACTGTTGCGCAAGCTTCAGGTCCTGCACGTGGACGGTCGCGTTCTCGACAGCGTCCGACGCGTTTTGCTGATCGCCGGAATAATGCTGCTGTTGCGATGTAGGAGCGGTGTGTCCTCCTCCAGCTGCACTCGCCTGCACCGGCACCGTCATTATTTGAGCCGGTACAGAGTTCGGCGCCGCCTCGCCCTTCACGATCTTCAGCCATTGCTCCACAAGTCGACTGGCCAATATTCGTACTCCTTGATGACTACCCTCTTTCGACAAACCTTTGATCAACTTCGGACAGTTATTGCTCTTCAGCCGTTCAATGTCCACTGGGCAGAGTAAAAGGAGTTCCAGCAATTCCTGGATGAGGGCCCAGTTTTTGGCAAGAATGCCGTCCGTTAGCCACGTGTGAATCAGATTCCACCCTCCGGCGGTCATAAATCTGCATAGTTGAAAATTATAATCAAATGTAAAATATTGGATTATATACTTTATTGTATATAAATATTATGTATATGTACTGTATTTCCTATCATTCTATTTTCTATTCTAGATCTTGTGGTAATGTGCCACAGCGAGGACTTAATATTATACTACAATGTAGCAATGAAAAACAGCTGTATCACGATTGAGTTTCAAAGTCACCTTCATGTGTAGAAACACAAGAATTATTTTTAGATATTAAAACTGATATTAACAATGAGGAAATTATATACTTTTATATCTGTGTACTTCTACACTTATCTTGAAGATTTCATTTTTTTTTTTCATACAAATTTGATAAATTATATTTGTCTGAGAAATCACAAGTTTCTTTTTTTCTTTTAATTAGCTTATATATTAAGAGTCATATTAAAAGTTTGTATAATAGAAGTGTAAGACTCGTATCAGTAAAAACGGCCCATTGATAAGGGCCGTCTAATGGTTCTAAGCCTTCTTTTATTTTCTCTAGCATGCTTTGTTTCTTTCACACAAATATACAAGAAAATACATATACTTGTGCATTTTTACATGCTAAGTGACAAATTTGTGTAAGCTTCAGAATGACAAGAATATTAGGGAAGACTAGTTGGGTTTTTGAAATTTTGGGGAAAATTGAAATTTTTTGGTAAAACTATCTTTATCATTAAGCCAATCAAGATGATACATATTGATATTTATTCATTAAATTTAAACAAAACACTTACTGGCTGAGCAAATCCGTATTTGTGGTCTTTAATATTTGTATATAAATGCATTTTGAAACAAGTTTCTTGGAAAACTTTGTCATTAGATTAGCTAACCGATGAACTTCTTCTTTACTTTTTATCCCTCCTGTTGGACCCAATAAAACACTGAGACATCTCAGTAAGGATAAAGGATCTATGCGTGGCTGAAAAGATACATGAAAAGACACTCTTAATATAATCACTATATAGAAACAAAGTATATGTTTTTCTTGCAACTTTAGAATTCAATTAAAAAAAAATTACTAATAAAGGAATATAAATAATGAATAGACAAATATTTTGCTATATTTTATATAATTACACTAGAGATAGTATAGCTCATAAGAACCAACTAATTCTAAAGTTAGCAAACATACTTTGTTTATATGGTGATTATAATTATAATTACAACAATTATATGGCACATTTCAAATATCACTCAACCATTTATATGGTTTGACACATTTCCAATTTTATGTAATTTTCCACAAATATTATATAATATTAGATTATCGAAATATTATATTTGAAATATTCAAGTATGACGACTAGACAATTGATATTAACATTAATATAAAAAAGATATCATATATTCTTTCTCAACTTTCAAAGCTGAAATATGGGTAGAATGCTGAAAAGGACAAGTTCTTGCTATTGGATTAAAAAAAAATGCATTTTCATAAACTCAAGTAAAATCAAACTTTTTCTATACATGTTTAAGATTACTCTTTGTGTAAGATTATTCCTTTGAGTATTAATAGAATATTCTATTAAATTATCTTAATCATTATATGCCGAATTATGGCATTCATCGAAATTTCAAAAATTCGTAGAAATTTCAATAAAAAACGAATTCATGGAACCGACATCGCGCGCATTCCCGTCTCGCGTGCGATAACGGTGAGTCGAGCGCTCGGAGAACGTGTGTTAGAAATTACAACTTTCGCAACAGCAAAAAATAGAGCACGAGGTCAAAGGAGATGCAAAGGTTATTGATCTCTGGCTACCGCCAAATACTCAGATGGCGCCGCGGCTTGTGTGGCTCACGTATAGGGAAGCGGCCACGCTTTAACGATAAATCAGTCATGTTACTCACCATTTTGTTGATATCGACGATGTTTCAGCACATTCTCTGTACCAGACATAAAATCACCGCGCGTATCTGGAAAAAAACATGAAATATTTGACAATTACGTAGCGCGTCATGCACGGACTTCACGACCGATGCGCATTCAACGCCATATTGCCGAACGGATATCTAACGGTCGGGCACACCGAGAGAGCGAGATCGACGACGACGACAAGAGAGCGGACGCTCGTTTCTCCCCCTGAAATCCCAATTCTGCGTCCTTTGTTCGCGCGCGTTCAATTCGCAATTCTACGATCCTCGACGAGATCAAGCCCTGCTCTGATCCGCGCCCGGGTCTCGCGAGTCTAAAACGCGCAATAGCGGAGGCCCGAACAAACGGCCCGATTATACCTCCGCGAAGGAATTTTCGCATACCTAGCCTGTCTTATGTGGACTATAATTACGCAAATAATCATTCTGTTTGTAATACGAGCGACGCTCGGGGCGGAAGGTCGGGACGGGCCGCGCTCGCCAGGCCGTGCTCGAAAGCGTGCGAGGACGGAAATTCCTCGGTTACGACGAACGATACGGCTCTCCTCACTCGTCAGACTAGCGGAGTCGGAGACACGGCGACCACCGCGCAACGACCGCGCGCACACCTCGTCCGTCCGCCTCGCACCGTCAACCAATCGGAACTACGAACGCCGCTCGACGCAAGCCAATAACGGTCGCGTACCCCACCCGCCCTCGTCTTCCGTAGTGTGACGTAGCTCCGTTCTATTTGCGTACAATGTCGCGAAACTTGCGTTTCACCTACTGCATATATCGTACCTTCGAACCAACACTTTTGTCCCCTATTCTTTTTTTTCTTTTTTTTCGTTTTTTTTTTCAGCACTTTTTCCGATCAAAACTCGCCTCGACAAACTCGACAGAACTCTCTTCTCTTGACATCCGATTGGCACTTTATGATCTCGATTTCCCCTTTCGCTCTCATCATCGCCGCGAACCTCGGCCATGCGAGATCGTTAATTCACATCAATATCAAGTTACGTCACTAAACCTCAAAGTTATCCAGCCGGATACCCCGAGCGTACACGCCCACCCCTCGGGGCGTCAGCAGCTCGAAAGCACGGATGCCCCTTTATTGGTAGTACTTTCTAAGAAATGGAAGTCGGGATTTCCTCGATTCTCGGTAGCGACAGCATCCGGACTATCAACCGACCTCGTTACTCTCGTCGAGAACTCGCGATTCTTTCTCTCTTTTTTTCTCTCTCTCTCTCTCTCTCTCTCGTATTTTTTGTTTGTTGGAAAATAGGAAATCCACTCACATCTGATAAAAATTAAATCCTTTTTATGGAAAACAAATGTTCACTGTGTGTGGTGCATAAGAAACGGAACATTTCCTATACATGACAACGACGTGGCCCTACGACTCGTTCGTTCGATGAATTCTGCCGCTGCGCATCGATAAACGCTACGAGAGTCCCTTTAGCAATCCGTTCTTATTTCGTCGTAGATTTGCCATCTGCAATGAAATGTTGTTTAGGAACGATCGCCACTACTGCCGGGCTCGTTCTCTCCTAGTAGTTCGCTCTATCCTTGTACGAATTTATCCTCTTAACTTGTACGAGACAATGCTTACCCTAACTGCGTAAAATCTGCTCCACGTATGAACCGGAAGTGGAGAACATGGTGTATCGTGCTCACTGCGAGAGTCAAATGCGACACCAATTCCTCGTATTAAAACCTGCGCCACATGATACGCTTTCTCGTGTTGGTTCGCGCATGTGATGCGTGTATCGCAAAAATTACTAGAAATCCCCTATTAATTTTCTCAAGATTCTAATGATAAATAATAACTGTTTCAGTTTTGTAGTTTACAGAACGAGCAGGTGAGCCAGCAGAAAAAATTTCCAGTACTGCTCAATTTTAAATTATTGAACAGAATATACTCGTCTCGTTTTAACTCATTGCACCAGTTCAGCAGTGCTGCTATAAAGAACAGACCATATGAAGCTACGTTAACGTCCTCCCTCCTCTTCTTTCATAAAAATATATTTTTCTCTTTGTTCTTTGATAAAAATATGTAATTTTGCTCGAATAAATTTAATATTATATTACACTTTATATTACTCATATATTATAACGTTAAATAAATATAATTTAGATGATTTTTTGACTTTATGACGTAGACGAAACATTTAGGTTGCGTTCTGAGATTTACTGTCGGTACTAAAAATCTATATTTTGTGTCACGTATATATTATAGATTTTCATTACTGTCAGTGAATTTCGGAACGCAGCCTTTTATACGTATCGAGTCAATAATATTATTTTCAATGTAAGTGAAATAAGATAATTAAATTCAAAAAATACAGCAAACGTCTTTTTTTATTTGATAAGTTTGTTATCATATGTTATAACACAATACGTTTATGTTTAATAATCACGTGAAATATTTAGGTTTTTGCATGATTCGACTGTGACTAATGCATTAGTCAAATGCCACACACTTTGCTCATGAGTAACATAATTATGCCATAAAAAATATATACCAGTTCCTCTCGCGTGAATAATACCTACTCCATAATTCAAATTCACGAACTATTTAATTTTTATCATATCGTTACCATTAAAGATTTGAGGTTATTTAATCCGTATATGATCGGGCATGGTCGTACATGTATTTGTAGAAAACAGTACGTAATTATATATCGCTCGAGTTGACAATTTGTTTTCGCAGTTATTTTACCAAACATGTCTATCCTAAATACGCTGCATCGAGTGGGAATGTTAGAACGAGCGAGTTTATTTCACAAAGTAAGCAAGCAAAATAGTAGGTAGTAAGATGTAAAACAATCTTTCCTAGGAATAAATTATTTGCAGCTCAATGTAGCAAGATCCATTACATGTTCACTCGCACGTCTTTCGGAAAATTCTAAAGAGCAGAATATTTCGGAGGAAGGTACAAATGCGTTAAACACCAAACTCATAATTACACGCAAGCAGGTTTCAGTCGAGACCAGCATCAAGTACATGATAAGTGATGGTGAGTGATTGTTGATGCATGCTTTAACATTTTGACACGATTATTTTGTAAATACAATTGTTCACAAAATCTAGCTTACAAGCAGACTTACGGAAACAATCCAGTGTGGAAATTATATAGAAGAAATCATAAAGGAGCACTTCCTCCTAAGAAGACACGAGAAATGTGTATAGTAAGTGTGCAAATTTATGTAATATATGTTATATTTGATACAATGTATCTAATAACATTCTGTAAAATTTAGAGAGGTAATGTCATCTGTGGAAATCCCTGTCCCCTATGTAGAGACGAGTATCTTGTCCTCGATTATAAAAACATCAAATTACTGGAACAGTTTATTAATGCATATAATGGAGATACTATAAGTTACACGTAAGTATGACACGTAAATTTTATCATTTTGATAGTTTCGTATCGATACTGTAAATACATGGACTTTGATATAGATCTACGTATAATTTATTTAAATATATCCGTAGCAAGACAGGTATTTGCCAAAAAAAGTACAAGGATCTTTTAGTTGAGTTAGCTAGAGCTAAGGATTACGGTACTATCACATTTGATGTTCCTATAAGACAGTACGATTATTCTGAATGGCAACCAAAGCATTAAGCTCTAACAATTAACGCCATTACTTTTCCCCTCCTTCAATCATGGATGTAACTGAGAGCCGTGTGGAAAAAATGGAATGCACATACGCTGTGGTGGGAGGCGGAATCGCCGGAGTATCGTGCGCCGAAGGATTGAGCTTCCTTGATCCAGAGGAGAGCATAATTTTGATCACCGCCAGCCCTTTGGTGAAAGCTGTGACGAATGTAGTGCCGCTCGGCAAAACGTTGATGCATTTCGACGTGGAGGAAAAAAGCGTCGTAACTTTGGCTGATGAGCACAAGATGTTGCGAGTTATCCAGGATACCGTGGTGAAGATCGACACGGTCGAGAAGCTAATGGAGACTCGCAACGGGAAGATCGTAAGTTTCAAAATGCTGTGCCTCTGTACCGGCGCGAGGCCCAAATTGATAGCGGAGAGGAACGACTTCGTCGTAGGTATTCGCGATACCGAGTCCGTACTGCAATTCTCCCGCAAACTGAGAAATGCCAGAAGAGCCGTCGTAGTTGGTAACGGGGGAATCGCTACCGAGATCGTGCACGAGGTGAAAGGCGTCGAGATGGTCTGGGTGATCAAGGACAAACACATTTCCGCGACGTTCGTCGATCCCGGGGCCGCCGAATTCTTCTTGAGCGGGATATCCCGGTCCGATAAATCGGAGGACCTCAGCACGGATGCGCAACCGACCAAGAGAATGAGGTACGTAGTGTCGGACAGCACACCGATTGAGAACGGAGCCGCACTCGGTCCAGATTGGCACAGCAGCTTCGACATGAGCGGCGGTGCGCTTCTCCAGTCCACAAACGTGCACGTTGAGTACGAATGCGAAGTGTCAAGGCTACTTAGCCCCGACGAACGGAATGAACCCGATTCCAAGGAAGAATGGCCGATCTACGCACAACTGACGAATGGCAAGATCGTCGGCTGCGATCTTATTATCTCGGCGACGGGTGTCGTTCCAAATTCCGACATATGCGGCTTGGAAAATCTCGAGAGGGCCGAGGACGCTGGATTGTCGGTGGATTGGAAGCTGGAGACTTCGCAGAGGGATGTCTATGCCGCTGGAGACGTGTGTACCGCGGATTGGCCGAAAGCGAGACACTGGTTTCAGATGCGACTGTGGACGCAGGCACACCAGATGGGTCGTTACGCCGCAAAGTCGATGGTTTCGCGCTCAAAGGGTGAAGATTTCCTGCAGGACTTCTGCTTCGAACTCTTCACCCACGTGACCAAATTCTTCAACTACAAGGTTGTCCTGCTCGGTCTGTACAACGGGCAGACCCTGGGAAAAAATTACGAGATACTCCTGCGAATCACCAAAGAACAAGAGTATGTTAAAATCGTTCTACAGGACGGCAAGATGCAGGGCGCAGTGCTCATCGGAGAAACGAACTTGGAGGAGATGTGCGAGAATCTGATACTTAATCAGCTGGACCTGAGTGTGTACGGAGAGGATCTCTTGAATCCTGACATCGATATTGAAGATTATTTCGATTAACGAAATATTCGTTATTTCTCTTTTCGTTAATGTGCATCCATTTTTTCTCTGTAAATCCCGCAGTACTGAATGTGTACAATAAAATTTCACTTAGTGCTGTGCATTATCAGCTTGGGTTATTTGGCCTACAAAGATTTATTGTCACTTATGGCACAATATAGATACAAATAACTTTACAAATCCTCATAGTCCTTAGTTTCACAGTCTTGTAAATGTAAATTTGAGTTGCGTGAAAAATTAAAAAAAAATTAAGCTCTAATATTGAAATCGGAGGTCTTAAAGCTCTCGTGCTGTTGTAACAAATTTTCGCGTGTATCGTTAATCAAATTTACATACATAGAATATACAATTCGCATGTTATAAATTATATTATGCAGTCTCTTTTGATTCGTTGCTAACCATGTATATCATGTGCATGAATTCCTCGGTATATTCTAAAATCTGACTACCGAGCCTCTTGATTTAATTTTTTAAGTTTGATAAAGAGACCGGGCAAAGTAAAAAATGAAATAAAACAAGCAAAATCATAAAATGATGCAAAATACAAACGTGTCTTCTAAGGAATATTTTGAAATAGTTTGTTACTGGTATAATTCCAGTGTATGTGTGTGTATGTGTGTGTGTGTGCCTATCTGTCCATTTGAGCCCAAATTTTGATATTAAATAAATAAATATTTTATATAGAGGTTATTGATTATCAAAAATTGAGCTCACCAAAGTGATAACGGTTTTAATTTTCGAATTAAAATATATTAAAACGTATAAATTAATAAAATGCTTGGTAAGAATTTGCTTGCATCTATTATACGATGTGTCATTATAATATTATCATACGATACTTTCCTTACGGAATGTTTTTTGATAGCGGCGTTTAAAAATAACTATCCTAAATAACGATTATTCCTTTCTCTTTCGCTGGTTTCACAGACTCACTGATTTACCGTTTTATCGAACTTCACGTTCTTTTGAGCATTCACGGCTCTTACGTCAGACACAGCGTTTCGCAAGTTCGACTTCGTGGGCGATGTATTTTGATTTAAATTTATAACATCGCTCTCCGTCTCGTTCGTCTTACTTGCGCTGTCTATTGAATTTGTACTTTCTTCCTTGCACTCTGTTAGATTCTCCTTCTGGAAGATATTCTTCACGTCGTTCGTCACGTCAATGACGGTTTCGTCAGCGCTGCTCGTCGAACTTGTGCTCGTCTCCTCGCACTCATTGTGTTCTCTATTTCGGAAGATGTTCTTTAAGGTTTCGACAACATCTTGCATTTTAGTTAACGACTGGACAATCGGCTCAGTGCTATATATTTTGTCCTGACGGCACAGCTTTGTCAACGTTTTCGTGGCCACCTCTATTTGAGTGAGACAGACATTTATGTCCTCCTGTTGATTGTGCGACGTTATGATGGACGTTTGGTCGTGCAAAGTCGCCTCGAGCATGGATCCATCCATGGAAAACTGATGGATACTCTCATTCAGCTGCTTCTTCACAGGCGTTATATTTATCGAGATTCGACTGCCGTTCAAAGAGTCCTCGAACACTTCTGTTTCATCGTAAGGCTCCCAATTACAATCGAAATCTCGTAGCTCCCTCATCGAATCTTCAATATCACAGTTCCTCAAGCGATGAACCCAGTCCAGAAAGTCCATCGATTTCAAGAGTGTTTCCATCATTCGCGTCCTATCGCGGACGCGCACCACCGGCTGCAATTTCTTTCTCACTATTATTTGTTGCTGATCGAATTCCTAGGAGGAAATGGAAACTTTTTAAATTCGAAAAGAAGCGACGCTATGTGTGTACAATTTTATTATATACGTTGGAAGAAAGCCGATATCCATACTCAGTCGTTCGGTTAGAAAAATCATACAATTTGTAAGTTTCGTAACTTAAAGATTCAAATATTTTTTTTTGTTTTGAAAGTTTCTGATCTTCGCAATTTCTACATTTTCTGTAATTGAAAATTAAAGAAGCAGATGTCGGAATTTGGATGTTCGCCTTTCTCCAAAGTACAGATATAATTAATTACACATTATAATTGTTATATAAAAATCTGCGCATGCACAATTTATCGCGAAACAACTCACGTAATCGAATCCGACTTCTTTGCAACGCTGAGTTGCCTCCTTGACAAGTATTTGCATCTCGTGCAAACTAATTCCACCGGCATTTATAGCTTCCTTACTGAGCTTCATCTTAAGCGCGCTCTCGAAATCCGCCGTTTGCTCATTCAGAATATTCTCCAGTTCTTGCAGGAAGTTCGATTTATATGGCGCCAGTTTCGCGTGACTCTGCTCTAATTCTATCTTCTTGATCTTGTTATTCGTCTCCACTTCTGTGACGAGCAATTCTCTCTCCAATTCTAATTCTTTTCTCCTACGATTGATCTGCTCGAGCGCATGCTTCTGCTCTTCCAAAGTGGATCCAAGGTCCTCGATCTTACGCTCGTACGTTGATTTCTGCAAGCCAAGCTGCAATTCCACCTCCTGCTTGGCGTTCTCCAGCTCCTTTATTGCTTTCTGCTTCGATTCCTCCAGTTCCGCTCTTAATCTTCGCGAAGGAAATCATCAGACAAGTGTAAAATGTAATAACTCTTCTTGTATTACGAGAGCGATACACATACTTCTCTTCTTGTATCCGGAGAATTTCCTGATGTGCAAATTCAAAGTCTATTGTTTGTGCGGAAAGCTTGACGTTGCATGGTTTGTCGTACGGGTTCAAGACTTTGAAATAATGATTACCGCCGATGACCAAGCGGTCGCCGTGTTTGAGCATGACTTTTCCAGTTATCATCTGAAACGTGGCAAATGTTTTTATTTCAGTAAAAATTTCGTACGCGCAAGTAATTAACTATTAACCTTGGATTAGTGAAATTAATCGTCAATTTATTTCACCAGCATAACAAACTGAAATTATTTATCCAGAAAGTTAATAAACATACAATGACACTCATTACCTGACCATTGACGTATGTATCACCGTCCATCTCGGGCGTGAGAATCAATTTTCCCTCGTTATTCTCGATGGAGCTGTGAAGAAGTAGATATTAAGCCAAATATTAAGCGATACCAAGCAAACAGATTGACGAAGAGTAGCGGAAAAACAAGAAATAAAAAAAGTTGGTTGTAAGTGCCTGTTAATAAGAATTCGAATACTTAGAAACGATTTTAATGAGCGTTGGACTATCTCGAAATGAATATTCAACTTTTAAAATATGCCGAATGCATAGTCGCAAATTGTTATACAGATGATACGTTAATATATACGATTCAAATGAAGCTCATACATTTTAAACTCGCTATTTACGTATTACAACTTATCCATAAAACCGTGAATTCTTAATGCATCCTGTGCAGCATAATACGATGTTAATGTACTTGTATAGTATAATATAATGTTAAGAGATAAAATTATAAAGTACATAATGTTAAGAGATAAAATTATAAAGTACACGTGCGCGAGTATTATATTTGAAGAAAAATGCTCATGAGGTTATAAGAAATATTAAAATATGCGTCACTCCTCTTCACTGAACAACATTCCACCACATTTACAATCCACCTTGATTAGCTGCCCGACAGTGAGGGAAGAGGTCGTTATACATGCGTCGATATTAAGAACGATGATTTCAACATAAGAAATAAGAAACGATGCAATGCACGTGCTGATAAGTAGAAATGTGAGAAAATATTGCTCCAACGGATATATGCTTAGCAAAAAAGAAAAGTCAACAAACAACAGCGGTACGTTGCATACAGATACGTGGAATTATGAGACAGAACGATAGCACACTTGATAAAAGGGAAAACTCAGCATCGCTATCAACAAAATACACATTTTCCTCTCTCCGTCTCTCTTTCTCTCATTCACGCAATTCTTCCCGGCATGTTTAAGCATCGAAAGCACACACATACACACGTAGTTCATGACTAACCAGTGTAACTCCCTAACAAGAGGCCCATCCAGCATAATATCCAATTTTCTGCGGGCAGTTTCCGGTCCGCTGTTTCTGCCGACATTAACCAGACCTGGAGGTAAAACATACAAAAGCGTGCCGGACAACATTGGGTCGGCCGTAAGGTTTACGAGACAAGGCTGTTTGTCCCGCTCATGAAAATCGATCTCGATCGCAATTCCGCAGCGACGCAAATATTTCAGCTCGGTGCTCTTCCTCTCCTCGGCTTTCTGGCACTTTTCACGCCAGCTCCTGCAATTATACATGGCTGACCAATAAGTATCACCTATATTCGATGTACCTTAACAAATAAATCGCTGGTAAAGCTTGCGAGATTCTTGTATAGATCAATAGAACGATGTCTGACTTCCGCGATTAGCTCCATTTTGCCAATATATTTCAATATCCTGAAAACTTGGATTAATCGGCTAAATCGTCGTATCGAAACAGAAATAATTTAGCATCAACTGGAAATAATGCATACATCCGTAAGATCTTTATTGCGGAGTAATATTTTATACTGTTAAAAAAACTATCGAGAGATCCGCACAGGAACGCTTTTCTTCTCTCTAATTATTAACAGAGAATTATAGCAATTAATAATATCACAATGGAGCTGCTGCGTAGTTGTTGTTGTTAACTCGTTTGTAATTATCTCCCTAAGATACAGAAAGCGTTAGTTTATTATCGCTTACATCTGAGTAGCGGTCAGCTGCTCCTCTGTTTTCTTCAACTGATCCTTCAGTTTGTCAATCTCCTTTTGCTTTCGTTGAACTTCCCTGTCTGACCGATGAGTCGGTTCGACGCAATCGAGCAGCCGACGAGGTATAACTCCAAGTTGCTTCTCGTACCCCTCGCGCACCCCACGTAAACGCTGAACTTCAGCTTTCAATTCGCTACATTCGGGTGAATTAAATTATTAAAAAAAAAACTGCGAGCTGGTCTGCGCCTTGTAATTGTTCGTCTCATTTATTTATTTTCGCGTAGTATTCAGCATGCATATCAAGTTGGGTTATACAGGGAATATCTTACCGTATTAGTCGGTCATGTGGATCCTCGTTGATACGAATCCGATTGACTATTGCTCTGGCCTGGCATGCGTATCGAAGAGTCGCTAGAGTCTCTTCTACGTGGATGCTGGCCGGTGATACCGTCCCGAGCATCGCCGTCCGCGAATTTCCCCCTAGGCTCTCCTGCAAAAGGATTATCTCAATTAGACAATATCTATGCAAACGCATCGAGTAAGTACATCAGTAAGAAATATTTCGCACTTGTGTTAAAATCGGTCTTTGTTAAAATGTTCGTGTTAAATTTCTAGCGTACACATGTATTAATTTGATGTATATTGTGTTTATGCTGTCTTAATATTTTGGGTTGAATCTCGATACTCAATATGTGTAAATGTTGAAATAATACATTTTATACTTCGGTGTCGATTAATGTATTATTGATATTAATTTTGTGTTAATTTTAGACCAAATATTTGTGTTATTTTTCAATATATTCACCTTGTGTTACATTAACACAAAAACTTGCATGGATTAATGTTCTTAAATTTTCGGAAAAATTGTAGAAAAAACAGAGAAGAAAACTGGAAAAAGCCGTCGTTTTGAGAAAAATGCTATTTTTGTTACTTTTCACAAAACACGCAGACGTCCTCAGATCAGATTTCTCGGTCAAGAATTTTTAAGATATTTTATTTCTTGCTATATGCACTTTTTAACTCTCTTTTACATATCTTTCAAAGGTATTATATTAATGATGCTTCATCGACGCTTAAACAGTTTTAAATGAACGTGCGCAACGCTTTGGGTGATAGCGCGACAAGCTATTATTCTTCACAAATATAGTTGGAAAGAAAAAGAAAGAAGAGAGAAAATTTCCTGAATGACTGATAATAAGTATTGTTTCTTTGTGATTGTAAGAAATATTTTGTTATCGTTACAATAAATCGGAAAAGAAAAACAAATGTGGGTGTCTGCTTATTTTTCCTTGTTCTCAACAATGCTGTAACAACACTAAAATTTCCATGTTTCTTCAAGCCTTGGGAAAAACAGTAAAAAACTTGTTTTTTTCCCGAAATTTTCCAGATTTTTTACGAACCTTTGCAACGCCAGAGTGGACCGTTTGGGACACATGTGAAATATGTTAAATTTAACGTAAAATTTTTTACTGTGTATTATAAAAGCCCTCGACAAAAAGTACATTTATCTTATAACATTCAATCTTTCACAAAATACGCATTTTTTTGCAAACGCTACGTTATCAAAACAAGTGCAACAAATTCAGCAAAGTGTAAAAATATTTGAGTGTAAACGCTTTCGCGCTCAATTTGATCTGTAGTATTTCGAGCACCGCAAACTATGTGCTTATTATGTCCTTCGTTATTGTCGTTTCTAATTACAGCAGTTTAATTAACGCAGTTTGTACAAGTGAAAAAGCATAGTGTAATAATAAATACGTTAAACGTTGAGAGCGGCGATCGCAATCTAATCACTTATGAATTATATCGGTATCTTTATTATCTGTGTTATCGTTGATCATTCGCGAGCCACTTCTTTAAAAGACGTAAAACAGATGGATGATAAAATTTCAAGGACTACATTCTTCCTCTATATTTCTTTTTTCCCGGTGATTGAGATATTCGAGGGACTTCCATTTAAATTCTAATCTACCACAGTTGTACTTCACACGATACGACTCGTGACTTTTAAGATATAACACTACAGATAAGTAAGTCCTATCATATGCTACTTTTCACGGTTCAATGTTAAAATGGTTCTTATTTTTCACTCACACGTACTTTATTAAAGCCAGAAAATTGTTTTTCAAACTCTTTGGGGAATTCTTAAGTATGCTTAAAACTATATAAAAAATATGTTATATGAACGAGAACTCCGAAATTTCTTTAAAAATTTACTTAAATACTGAAAAAACTATGTTAATTGCTGGAATTCTTTCTAGATCTCTTTTAAATCTTTAAATCATTTGAAATCTTGCATCGGATGTCAAGAAGACACGTGCGAAACAAAGTGAAACGCAGCGTGAACCTGGCGTCGTCTCAGTTTGCCCGAATCGATTTTTTCTACTTTAATGAGCAGAGCTATTTGTTTAAATTGTGAGGAACTCTATAACTGTTAAAAAGGAAGCCAGAAGCACTAGACAAAAAATTTCTAATCGGCCCACTAACAGCAGAATAAATTAAGCTGATCACGTTGCGTGGTTCGCCCCGTACATACATATATACGTGTAAGACGTGTATCATGTATCGTGTAACATATATCGTAAGATCAATTAGCGAACGTGTCAATTATAATCACTTTATCGCCATCAAGATGCATGTACATCCGTCGTACGCATCAATTTTATCAGTATATCGTCGGATCTTAATGAAATTTCTGTTTTCGCGTACAGAGCGTGCGATACTGCGAAGATTGATCTAGAAAAAAAAAAGAAGAAAAAAAAACATACGCCGGATAATAAAAATTTAATCCAATATTTCGGCGAAATGCCCCCATTGCCCGGTAGACGTAATTTTTGCGTAAGATTAATATTTTCACTTGCGCGAGAAAATATATGTATTTCTTGCAAAAAAGCACACATTACGACAGAAAGCAGATACATCTGTTTACTTCTCTCACATATATGTGTAATGTGTACTTTTGATACGATTATTAACCCTTGCAAGAAAAAGTGGAGTTGCGGAATATCAACAGAAAGACGTCGCGAGTGACATGAAACATGAATATACGTATTCTGTTTGATTAAAAAGAGCAAAAAAATCATATGAGACAATAAACGAGGACATACTTTTCAAAAATATAAGACAAAAGTATCAATGTCTGGACACACACTTAACTGTGAACATTTTTGTTATTTTAATTCTTCAAAACGAATGCTCGACCTTTACAACATAAAATATTTGCGTATACTCATTGCATGTATATACATTCTGCGTTTAAAGTTTGAACATTTGTATTTAAAAGCCAAAAGAACAAGTGTGTCCAGAGTTAGGTACGTATGTAGACATCGGTCTTTTTGCCTTAATAATACACAACGTAATCGTCTTACTGGGATCATGAATGACCCTTCTGCTTTTCCTTGCAAGGTTAATTTAAATTACAGCCGAAATTGCATTTCCGTTTTATATTTTACACCGGGACGTCTTCGCGCTTCGGAACTCAAGCCGGACGCATAGTATTAAAATATCCGCGTGTCGCTGATAGTCCTAATCTTTTATCTCTCGTCCTCTCGTCTCCGAGACCTGTAACCTCCGCGAAACCAAATCAGCCGAGAAACTTCGGAAAACAATGCGGCAACACCTATCTTCAGGACGCACCTGGACGCCGCGCGCGAAATACGGCGTAGATCGCGGAGGCGGCGCACGCGCCGGTACGCACGTACTCATGTGCGCGCGCAGCGCGCGGCTCGTCGCGCGATGCGCAGGCGCGACACCTTTTGCGAGTAGCGCGCGATTCAAGAGAACGCGGCGAAGGTGATTGGTGGAACGGAAGGTGGGGCATCTCCGCCGCGAGAGAAACGAGCCTACGTTTGTTCCTGAAGGACAGAAAGATGCGTTACCAAAGTACGCGATGAAGAAGGGGTCGAAGAGAGAGCGAAGTGAGCGAACGAGCAAGCGAGAGCGAGAAAAAGAGAGAGAGAGAGAGAGAGAACCGGAGCAGAGGACGCGGAGTGGGGAAGCAGATAAACATTATTACGCGCGATTGGCGTCCACGCGTCCTTAGTCGAAAGCAAAACACCGTTCAGTAAAACTGAAGCTTCTTGCTAGACGCACTCGCTAACATTTCCATCAAGAGGAAGAACTGCGTTTTCTTTCTGCCGCCGAAGAGAGGGAGAGATAGCAGCTACGTGAGACGCTCACGTCACAGCGACCATCATCCTCTCGACGCCGCTTCTTCAGCTCGCAGCACACTAACTACGAGAACTCGTTGATCAGCAACGAATGCACATTGCTGCATCGGCATTGAAGCGTCGCCGATTCTTTCTTCCTGTAAGGGCACGCCGTGGCTTAAAATAGACCGAGAAAGAGAGCGAAAGGGAGAGAAGGACAGGAAGAAGCCAAGAGGCGGGCGAGACGGCAGGCTGCGAGAGAGAGAGAGAGAGAGAGAGAAAGAGAGAGCAACAACAGGTTTAACGTCGAGCCGCCGATAAGCGGGGAAAATTAGCGACAGGATTTCTTCACACGGCGAGCGGCGTTCCGACTCACTAACGCGACAGCAGATCGTCGATCCTCTTCCTCCGTGCGGAGAAATTCCAAAATTTTGCCCGCGGGAAGAAGAGAGTAGTGATGCCCAAGTCGCGCGTGAGTCGTCGATGAGAAACGCGCAACGGGTCGCCGTTAATTAACGCCTGCCACCTGTTGATAAGAGAGCAACAATGGATCTCGTCTACATGCCAGAGGTGTTCATTTACGGATCCTTCAGGAGCCCACAATACCGCGACTACGAGCTGTCCTGGAACAAGGAGTATCTCCATAATAGTGAGTAGAGCGACAATGATAATTGACGGCGAGCGAGGTATAACTAAAAAAAAAAAAAAAAAGAGGTCACGCACAGTGATGAAATCCGCGATAAAAACAGAAGGACCGATAAGAGCCGAAACGGTAGATATCTCGCGATACATACAGAGAAAATGAAGAGAGAGGCATTCATTCAGCCTCGATTTTCTCTCTCTCTCTCTCTCTCTCTCTCTCTCTCTCTCTCTCTCTCTCTCTCTCTCTTTCTTATAAAACTTCTATTATCTTCCGTGTTCCGTGTTCTTGTTCGACAAACTCCTCTGATTTATAAATATCTTTTTATCTCCGCGCATTAATTCCCCTTTATTCCTCAGATAATGTAAACAAACTACATAAAACGTTTTCTCACAGCGGTTATTTTCTTAGTATGTGCGGAATTGTCTCGGAGGAGATAATCGGTCCGTTCTTTTCAGCTCAAAAACTGGCTGCACCAGTTCGAGAAATTTACGCACACCGAAACGCGAAATCTACGTACGCTTCGTACGCTTCAATGTGTGTGTGTGTAATTTTCTTCAACTAGTGCAGCTAGTTCAGCTAAAAAGAACAGACGAAAATATGGTCGGTGGCGGGAGGATCGCGACGCTTCTCAATTTGACGAGTTTCGGAATGAACGGGGATCGTTTGGTCGCGATGGTCCTCACGATTTGAAACATAATTTTCCGTCCGTTTTAAAAGACGGAAGCAAGCGTAGAAGGGATAAACCCGTCCCCAACTCTTGGGCCGCTCCGAATGACGTTTCAGCTGACGATGTTTCTTTGGCTCTTCACCGCACGTGCTATTCTTTTATCGGCGTCCCTCTGCTCTCTATCGTAAACTGATAATGAAATATACGCGTTTAAAGTAGCATCGAATCGGTGGTAGTAAGTGATAATTGACGTGCACATGGCGCTTCTGCAAATTACACCTATTATTTATTCACCGCAAGGAAAACGTTTCTTTGGATGTATATACAAGGTGGACTCGAGATTGCGATCGCGTCTCTCCTCAAACGTCTAAAATTTCTCGAGAGCAATCTGAACGTGATTGTGATCCGAACGAGAATCTCTCTCGACACATCCACAATCTCTGTGAGATAAGATTGAAGCGGGAAAATAACTTTAGAGCTGTTAATTAGTCGCGAGGTCTCAGTCTTCAATTGACTCTGGCAAGAAATTATCTTCTTTGTTGCAAAACAGGCTCTTAAAATTTGAAGACTGTATAATAAGAAGTTGGGTCATATATTTCTCTAATTAGCAGATTAAAAGAATCATGAATAATGTCGTGCGGAATTCTTTCCGACAGTTGACTTTGAAGCCGACGAGGTAATTACAGTTAAAACTACTGCGTTTCACACTCGGTATATTAGAGAGATCAAAGCGATAATAAACGTAGCCTCATAAAAACATTAGATACGTCACAGAGAAGATTAGTAATCTGCCTGCTCGTATGGTCTTCGTAAGTCTTGTGCGAAACGTGGATAAACAGAGAACACACTGAAATTTAATTCTATAATCACTATGCTAATTATTCGGGGTCAGATAAGCAAATTTTTTCTAAAAAATTTTAAACGTACTTTTATGCACACTTTTACACAAACGTAAAACGTAGTAAATATATTTCATGATAACATCTCATGATATTTATTATTCCATATTTGTAAGTACTTAAAATACGTTTAAAGTGATTTAAAAATCTTATTTAAAAAAAATTAAATTATTCAAAAAGAATTTATAAAGAAAAAAGAAAAATATGTTCAAATTATTTAAAGATTATATATATAAATATTGGATCAAATGGGAATAGTCTCGAAACGTCTTTTCACGGAATGTTTGCCAGAAATTATTTTCTCAATTAGAATGAAAATGGAAGCTGCGAAAACCATTATTTTGTTGCACGGATAGATACTGCGGAAATTCTCATCGGAAGTTGCGAGAAAATTGCAGATACTGTGATCGCTCGTTGGTTCTATCGTGACGCGTGCACGCAAGTTATAATACGTCCTATCAGTACGGTCAAAATGCACTTGAATACATAAGTACGCGTTCACATGAAGTAAAAGTTCGCAGAGCAGCTACGAGTCAAACAATAGAGAGCTACCTTTGCACAGCATAAAATTGCGCCGTATCTTTTACTCCGCGAGATACATGTATCACGAGAGACCCGACAAGAGGCAGAGTAACATTATTGCAAGACAAAAATAACAAACACACTGTTGTTTAAAATAAAACAGTCTTAATAGCAGTATCAAAGATTCATTTATTCTGCATAAGAGTGATAAAGGATTGCCTTAATTACTTTTTCTTTACTATATCGAAAACTTTAGTCGACATTCATTTTATAAGTTTTAACGGAAATAAGAGAAATGCACATTAATCTCTCTCCCAGCTGCATTTTTTTTTGCGATTGAAAATTAGTTTCCGTAGATCCGTACTGCGCGCTGCAATTACATACAGCTGGAATTTAAATGCGTCGCTGATTACAATCGTATCACCGTATGCATGTCTGAATAAATCAAGAATATTGACGACGCCACACGTGTTTATACCTATGCATTCCTCAAGCTGATACCAGGTTCGAAAGAAATGCGTCAGCGGCTCGTCGATATGCTTCAGTACATCGTATAAAAGCACTGCGTCCATGTAGGCGACCGAATATTCAATTCCCGCCGTATTATCATAAATTATCATATATATTACACTGTATCGTTAGCGCCCAGATATTTAAATATACCACGTTCTGAATAAACTCTACCACGTTCCGAATAAACACTGTAGCAAAAATAACGTTATCACAAGTCTCGTATCCACAACTATCCCGTATCTGATATATCATTTGCAAATCGCGTTCAGTCGTAATACCTAAACGTGCTCACACAACCATATGGTACTTATAACCCCGCGCTACTTTTCCCGATAAACAATTTTTTTCGAAACGTAGCGATTTATCCCGAGTAAATACCCGAGTGTTCGTTAGTCGTCATTGATAAAATAGAAAAAAAAATAGACGTCATTTCTCTCTCTCTCTCTCTCTCTTTACGTCAGAGAAAAGCAAGTGGTATTTTACTATCTAACATCTAAACGCATCTCAGTCTCTGTTTACGCGTATTAAGCAAATAAGAGTTATATTACGCCTTATCAATAGCGACTCCGAATGTTCATTTACGAAATATGTGCGTGTGTCTATATTTATAGTCTCTCTCTCTCTCTCTCTCTCTCTCTCTCTCTCTCTCTCTCGCAGGCAGTGTTTTTCCCATCATCCGGAGAGAAAAACAAGTGCTTTACTGAAAACAGATCTTTTCGATTCACCCGTTTAAGTCGCGCGAGTTTTGTCTTACCGCGCAATAAAAGTATACATTATCACGCTCCAGTTAACTACGCAACGATCAGATAAAATTATGTATTATTGCTGCGATATATTAGATATCGCGATTGCTCTAGAGAAAAATTCACATTTCCGTGTAATTTGATTAAACGATGATTATGTGTGGTAGAGATTATATAACATAAGTATTCCTTGTCGAAGATATCACAGTATTCGTTAACAATATAGATTTGATGTATATGAAGCGATTATAACGTATATGAAACGTATATTATCCGTTTTATATTAAAAAATCGGCGATAAAATCTTCGTTCTAAAATTGGAAATTGCGCGTCTAGAAGAGAGTTTAACTTTGTGATAATTTATTAAAAAATAAGAAGCATAAATATTTATAATGAAGAAATGTACACGGTGAAAATATTCTAATGAAAATTGCCACGAAAATTTTGTAATATTGAACCATATCGAAATTATGATTGAAATTATAATGTGTGTGTGTTGTAATCTTCAGTGATGCATACAATGAAGTACGTCACTAAAAAGATTACAACGTACTTCATAATTTCAGTTCCGATATGGTCCAACATTACAAAATTTGGATAGTAATTTTTACTACATTATTTTCTCCATGTAACGCAAAGAAAATTTTGTCATATATAATTATAATTTATATTATGTTTTAATATTTTTATTATTAGAATATTATAATAATATATGTAATAATTTTATTATTAAAATAAAAATTAACATATTAATAAAATTTTAATTGAAAATAAGATTTTAATGGGATATTCATTTTACTATCGTGATGTATGAGAAATTACGTCATTCGATTTTGGTTGTTCTGACATAGGTGAGTCTTCGTCATACGCAACTCTACGTTCTTACGGTACACGCGTGCCTATTTTTAGCTACTTTTTCTTTAGGCGACTATATACTCCATCTGACCCGAATCGCGTTTTAAGTCGAGAAAATGATCTTTCGATGCACGCCGTTTGCGTTTATTTCTCCTCTTCCTCCTTCTCGTTGATTTATTGCATATCAACGTTGAAATTGTTTTTTCTTCTTTAGTCACGTGATAATTCTAGCTTGCGCGACCGGTTGGTTGCAGGCGGGTCAGCCGTATTTCGACTAACTCCGGTTACGTTACAGCCTGCCCACAATAATAAACGGAGATGCTGTTTTTTTTTATTTTATTTATCGGAAGATATCGTGTAAAATGTATCTCTTGTCTCTCCTCATGAATCATTGAGTTAATCATTATTCAAACACGACTCGGAAATCGTGCCGATATTTGTTTGCAATATATTTGCCGAAGGCTGTTCAATCATACATCTGAGTTTTTTCCATATAGAACAATTTCCATCACTTAAAGATTTGCAATCGTCCGACGCTACGGGTGAACGTGTGCAAGATTGCACATCGGGACTTCTCGGTTGGAAGTTTTTTCTTAATTAACATGCTGAACACCGTAACGGTCATCACGTGTCGCGATGGTTGTGATTGTATCGTCGAAACATGTGGCCGATCGTACATTTTACATATGTATTCAATGAAAAATTAACAAGTGTGCTAATTAACCAATTGCTAATATATTCATATACACGTACAAAAATTTCACCCGTTTAATATCATATTTGAAATGCTTAAAAATTAAATACATCTTAACGTTTAAAATTAGGCTTTCATAAAGCTGATCCAAACATTCAAACATGTGTTTTAACCGAGCCATATTTAATTTATGACAGATAAATCGTCGTTAATGCATATCGGAAGATATGTTGTTTGAGCAATCGCAAATTTCGGAAAAACAGGTCAAAATAACTGTAATATTTAAATATTTCATATTACATTTTAATAATTTTTAATAATTTATATATATTTATATCTGCGAGAGAATTTAAATGAAGGATATTACGTTTCTATTTTTTTCCACAGAACAATTTTCCCCAACAATTATTGGGGAGCCTCGAATATATAAATATGATTTCAAATCCGGGACAACTATATGCGGTGACGCACAACGATATTAAATGGTTCGATTTCCCCGGGCGGTTTGCGGATTCGAAAGCAGTTTTTCTCGCAAAGTACTACGAATTTTTATTTGTCGCTCTCGTCGACTTGTCATAAGATATCACACTGTAAATATTCATGTCAACAGAATAACTAACTTTGAACCGGTCGTTGTATCAAAGAATAAATAAACCGGTTTGACCGGCGAGTTTTACATAACTTGTAAAATGCGCAAATTCCCTGGATGTGGCGATCTCAATCGAATCGGAGGGAGAAAATGATCAGTCCGTGCTTTACCTTGTGTCGAATAGTTCACGTGGATACACACACATATAGCAAGAATATGCTAACATATATTTTAGAAAATATACGTCCCATCGGGTTAGATCGTAGATGCAAATGCTGCCGAGCTATCGAACCTCCTATTTATCATTTGTTAGTTTGTTACTTTACATTTCTTCCGTGAAAGTAAATATTTAGGCGTGTTAGGCGCGAAGTTTACTCGCCGCACGAAAATATGGTATATTTACAATTTATCTTCGCGATCACACGCACGTTCTCTGATCTAAGAATCTAAACGTGGCATTTGTAAACGAAGTTATGCATTACGGTAAATTTCCATAGGCATTAGTTTTGTCGGTAATAAGCGGTTAGTAAGACACATGGCAACTCGTTCTGCATTGTTGTTCAGGAAAGTCAAGCCAGACCCAATGGCAACGATATCCTTCGGAACAACCCGAGCAAGTAACGAAAGAGACCTGTCACTTGTGTCGAGAAACGAAAAGGAGAAGTTTAGCAGCTTACATAAGAAGTAAATCGCGCAGCGATTCCAATAACGGAATCCACGAAGAAGAAGAGGAGGAGGAGGAGCAAGAAGAAAAGGTAACAGCAGGAAAGGGAAGAGATGAAGTGGTTGATAAGAAAGCGATAAATGTCGAACAAAATAAATCGGCGAAAGCATCCGCGCAGGATCGAAAGTAATTTCCTTAAAAAGGGAGAATTAGTTTTTAAGAAGCATTACGTATAAGAGTATGCGCAGACAAGGAATACTTTAACTTTAGTATCGAGTAACTTAGAATTTAATTAACATTTTGCGTTTCACCATCATTGAAACTACCTCTGTTACCGAAAAGTACCGAAGGTACGTGTCAGTAAAAAAGAATAGAGTTTCTTTCGTAATGTTCTGTTTTACAGTCTTACGGTTGCGCACGCTGTACTGTTGCAAAGAGGATCCCATTACCCTTGCTTCTTTTAAAAGAGAATAATTATTTTATGAACAAAAAAAAGATGAAACGCGCCTTTAAAAATGTGGATCAAATGAATCTGATGAGTACAAATATAATCAAGATTTACACTGAAAGTGTATCGTTCTAAGCGAACATTAAATCATTGCGATTGCTACCAAAATTACATCATTAGGATAAAAGTATATATGCACATAAAATATCGCCATATTTGAAAGTACAAATTCCGATTGTCGAAACAATTGTTTTTGTTCTCACGGATTCATTGAGACTAGTATTGTCGAAAGTCAATCGCGACAAAAGTATTTATATCGTCTAAATGCACAATGTACAATTTACGCGCAATAATATATATACATATATATTTAAATATATTTTTTTAATAGCATGCATATTGTGTTAAAGCGATGTTGAAATAATTTTTATAACGAAAAATATAATAGCGTGTATGCGCTTAGATATTTTCCGGTGAAAATTATTTTTAAGACATGCCTAATGTACAAAAACACATGCCGGGTACGCTTTATAGACAAATAAGAAGCTTTACCGTTAATTTTACTTGCGTCCTAGTCGTTAAATAAATGTCTCCATTAAATAATAATGTAAATACGCTCCAACACGAAGAGATGGGAAAATATCCGAATTTGAAAAGATGTATTTGGTTATGAAATTTTCGTTTTTACATCCATGAAATGTCTGTTTTTACAAAAAAAGACTGTTTACTACGATATCAGGTAAATGTAAAAAAATCGTATCAATACATGCGTTGTGCAAATTACTTAGAAGAGCATATGATTATAACTAAAATTTTTAGATTTTACCTGTCTGTATCATATGATGAATGTAAAAGTAAAAGAGCCATAGTAAACAGTCAGAAAAAAGCCGCAAATGCCGAGCGAAATAAACCGTGAGAGCATTTCGCGACAAGGAGGAGCGAAAATAATTGTTTCGATGAAAGAAAAATTCTATCTAAGAAGCATTACGTATAAATACATACATAAAGCTAACTTGAGTAATTTTAATTAATTTTTCGTTTCACCACCATTGGATCTACTTCTCAATTTAAAAGTCAGACATTTCGTTATAACGAATAATTCACGATTCAATATAACGAATGTTTTATAATTCATTGCTTGATGTACACTACATAAGACTGAATACATGATTGTATATTATAAGATGTATAGTTAAGATAGTCTAAATATATCTAACATCGCGCGAAATCGCACTCTATAAGATAGTGTACTTTGATCCCAGAGGTAATATTATCATTGAAAACACGGTTATAAATATTGTAAACAAATATCAGGTAAAAATTAAGTTGTTATGCTTATTTTGTTGCATTATGATGTAATATTATTAGTAATTAAGATATTCAGGTTATTGTATCATCATATACCATGTAACACGAAGCATGTTATTTTCATAATTTTTGCTTTATATGCTTGTATTTGGGTAATACTGTAGTTGTTTGGAAATATTAAACAAAAGAAACAGGTGTTTAATAATGATAATATAAGTTTAAAATATATAGACGCCAATTATTTTCTTTAATTATTCCAAGCATGGGAGCGACTCACTTTTTCCTATTTCAAAACATTTCACTTTTTTTTATTTTATTATTTTATTTTTGTATTATTACTTATTTAATTTATTATTATTTATATTTATTATTACTTATATTTATTATTATATACTTATATTTTTTGTATTGTCATTTTATTTTTAAACCATCCCTATGTCTGTTATTCTCTGTATTTCTCCAATACTAAAGAATCTACTATTAAGTCTCAAGTTACAATCGGTGGTCATATATTTAATCTTTTTTTGTATAATTTCATAATCGTTAAAAAGTATAGATTTATCGAATTAAAAGTTCCGTATTTCATCCTCGGATTCTTACTCTTCATCAAGATGTACATTCGTTGAATATAAATTTCACTTGCACTTATAACGCGCAGTTCGTGAGTGAACAAAATAGTACTTACCTTTAGCAGCCACGTCAACACCGACTCACGATACGGCACGAAACCCTGCTTACGATTGCTCGTGTTCTCCGTGAGTGATGCGATTACTTTCCCCAAGGTGAGCAAGGATTTATTGATAGATACACCTTCCTGTTAAATAGATCAATTTTTCAAACGTTAATTATTTCTCAACGCGTAGTTCAAATGAAATTGTGTTAGAAACGGACCCTCAACCTATCACCGGTTGCAGAGGTTTGACTCAACCTCTCGCTGCCAGCTAAATCGACCAAATTAATTTTGCTACGACGATTAGCATTAAGTGATTTGCTATCCAACTTCTTGTCCGAGTGCGATTGCGATAATATAATACTGAAGATACTGTGAGACCTTGAGCTCTTCTCGTTCATACCATTTGCAGCTGTAGCTCTCTGAGAGTTTCCCACTTTAAGCCAAGCCTGAAAAATATGTGTGTTGTAGTGAAAAAATATTAATATAATATTCTGTTAAAAGAATATTCTAAAAATCTCTCTCCTCTATGAATAAATCTCAGTTAAAAGATAGGGAAGCTGGGAAGTTTAATTTATCTTAATCAGATAAGATCATATTCTAAAAAAAGGAAAGCAGATTTTTTAACAGACAACAAAAATTATAATTAAAAAACAATTGACTATGAAGTGACTGTGAAGTTATAGAAATACCTGTAAATCTTTGTAATTTTGAACACAGTGTTGGCTCAAATCTACAACGTAAGGACCTATATCGGGGTGCTCCCTCACTTTAAGAGGAGCCTTTTTCGCCCCGCTAGTCGTACTCGCTAAGAGGTCGTGTATCTTCTCATTGTATATCTCAAAATAACTGATCTCTACGGTAGTCTCAATCTGCACATTATTACACGCTCGTGTAAATATTTCCTGGCAGAATCTCGGTATGATACCGACTTTCTCATCAAATGGCATCGTGCCGAACTGTGTGGATTCTGTGCCCATTAAGCTGTAACTCTTTCCAGATCCTGTCTGTCCATAAGCGAACAAGCAGACATTGTAGCCTTCGAAAGCATTTTGTACTAAAGGTAACACCATATTGTGAAACACAACTTCCTGGCTGGCGTGACCGGGTGTATGCGGATCGGAATAGGAAACAAAGCAGTGATCATATATAAAGGTGTGATGTGCTGACTCACATTCTACAATGACATTCTGGCCATTCCCTTGCACAACTGATGTAACTTTTGGGTCATTCAATTCCCTAAAAATATATTCAGATATTGTAAACAACTAAATATTGTTTATTGATATAACACATATTGACATAATAGGTATTAAAAACAAAATAGAAAGCAAAAGAACCTTGTTTTTACCAAACCAAAATTAATCTTGATCTTGATTAGAACATGACATAAATGTGATAAAAATTGAAATAATAAATATGATAAGAATAGCAAATATGATAAGAATTAAAATAACAACAAAAAAACAAAATAGAAAGCAAAAGAACCTTGTTTTTACTAAATCAAAATTAATCTTGATCTTTATTGGAACATGACATAAATATGATAAGAGTTGAAATAGTAAATATGATAAGAATATCAAATATAATAAAAATTCAAATATCTTTCGCCACTATCAGTTAGTTACATCAAAACACTAGTTTAATATAAATATTTACCTCGGATAGGAGTAAGATAACTTACAATGTGAGAGAAAAATTTGTGTACCCATCATCGATAAGTTATTTTAAATAAAAATATTAAGAAACCTTTATTTTTTAATTAATATCAAAAACAATTTAACATGATAAGTATTACAGCAGAATTTTTTATGTTATTATTGCCTTGTATCATACTCACTTGGAATTCAAGGGTCTTATACGTATTCCCACAGTGAGATTACTGCTTTCACCTTCATATATTGTTTGCTCCCCTACTGTTATATCATCAATTTTGCAGCATGGTGTTTCCATATGAACTGTGTTGAAACAGTCTGGTGTACTTTGTGATAAAGCTTGATCACTAAAGTAACGCTTTACAGGTGTTCTTGAAGCAGGTAAAATATTGAATCTTGTACTGCTGCTAGGTGTATTGCTTGGCCTTAAATGTTTGGGTGTGCAAAACTGTATAACCGATGTCTTATCAATGTGCAAACCAGTTGTGTGCTTCCTGACAGGAGTCCTCAATTTTTCATCGGATATATTATTGTAGACTGTATTTTCTTGCTTTGCTGTATTAATAGATTTGGGATACGATAGTTCCATATTATTGGACTTGTTTGAAAATCCTATAATATCTGTTATTTCATGTTTTGATGTTTTTTTCGTGGAACATTGGACCCTTTTATTTGTACTTTGACTTTTGGCTGGTACAGATGGCTGATTAGATAGGAAGGAAGGACACAAATTCTTTCTACTGTAATACAAAAATTATTATTTTGTTTATAACTACTTATTATAAAAGCAATGTAAGCTTGTAAAAATATTTAGGAATATATAATAAGAAAAAAGAATATGTACAGATACATATAAAATTCTATAAAATATGAAATAAATTTGCTGTTTAAAAATAAGAAATATATATTTTATGAGATAAAAAACATGTATATATTCCTAAAGATATGGAAAATATATTATTTTATAGTTAATATTATATATAAGTAAAAATTGTATTATTTACTTTTGCCACTATTCTATAACATGCCTCGCTATAATTTTTGCTTTGACGTTAAATAAAAATTTTTAACCGTCAAGCGATACGCGCAACGGTCAGTTAAACTATTGTCAAGTGGAATTGCTTACGTTTTCAATTCAGGAACGGCGTTTTCCTTGTTAGAACTGATCGGAGAAGTTGAGAAAATAGCCTCGCAATGTCCATGTCCCGTGGGCTTCAAAGTATTATGAGACATTTCAAGAAATATCGTAAAAATGTCTTTGGTGAATATTCTTGTAACAAAATTTAATTTCTGCGATCTAACTTTACTAAGCCCGGGTTTTTAGTCGTGGAATAGGAGAATACATGAAAAGAAAATGGAAGATATTACCAAGGATTGCTTCGTTTGATGTTTTGATTGGCTCAGAGCCATTTAATTGGTTACTTGTCATCTTAAGATAATGCGTAGCCAATAAAATAGTCATGTTCTAGTGCAGTCGCAAAAATGTATGCATCAGAGAGTTCACTGTTGAGTATATTTATAAAGAACAGAGCTGAATTTACATCGGCATACGTGCGATAGAGGTCGTCCGAGTTGATGTCAACGGCAAGCCTGACCGATGTGGGTGTGAGGTTAGTCGGGTATACGTGGTTGCATGACGTACTTTGTTGGATAAAACTTAAGTCACGTTATACTTCCGTGCAGGCACGTATGTCAACGTTATATCAGCGAAGAAGCATATCTCGTTCGTGTCAGCGAAACCACAAGAGTTCACAATGACAGTGATGATTAACCAACGAACTGCCACGCACAACAAATGGATCCCGAGGATAATATTTGCCGCGTTCTTCACGCTCATCATACTGGATATGCCGACTGTTTGTAGATTTCACGAACACAGCGAGTCGCCGAGCTACAAGTACTCCAAGGAAGCTAACGAAGTCTACGCGAATCGACAGCAACAGCAACACGTACATCGTGAACAACACGAGCACAGTCATGACGACCATCATCACGATCATCATGGCCATAAACACCCTTCCGCACCGCAGACAAATATTCATCACAAGGATCACAATGATATAATTGTAAGAGCTGTTAGTTCAACCTTAATTATATCCGCCGCGCCTTTCTTCATATTATTTCTCGTACCACTGGACAACACAAAGCAACGTGAGTCGTTGCTGAAGATCTTACTAAGTTTCGCATCCGGTGGTCTACTGGGAGATGCGTTTCTTCATTTGATCCCTCATGCACTCGTCCCGCATTCGCATGATTCTTCAGAAAAAGAACATTCCCATTCGCATGTCCACAGCCACGACGATGGCGACGAATCCGAGCATCACAAACACGACATGTCCGTCGGTTTGTGTGTATTACTGGGGATAATAGTATTTCTAGTGGTAGAGAAGGCGGTGCGTATCATCAAAGGTGATCATTGTCATTCGCATGTTCACTCTGCTCCTCAAAGAGAATTGGAAAAGAAGGAGGATGGCTCATCAGAAAAGAAGGAGAAAAAGGGAAACAGCGGTAAAGCAGTTACCAAAACACAGGAGACAGCTGGATCTGACATAAAGATTGCTGGCTATTTGAACCTAGTTGCGGACTTCCTGCATAACTTTACTGATGGCCTGGCTATAGGGGCTAGTTACATGGCAGGAAATAGTATCGGTTATGTAACAACATTCACGATTTTGTTACACGAGATCCCACATGAAATCGGCGATTTTGCCATTTTGATACAAAGTGGATACAGTAAAAGGAAGGTAAAATAAATCAATAATAAGAGTATTAAAAGCTATATTTGCTTTCATCAGGCTGGTCATTTACAGTTATTCATTGTTTACTGTCACTTTAAAACTTGATTTATAGAAAACCTGAGAAAAGAAAAACTCTTAATGATTTCATTTGCAGGCTATGATGTTGCAGTTGACAACTGCTATAGGAGCTTTGTTAGGAACATTTGTTTCATTGTTGGCAGAAGGAATGGGTAAGAGATGGTTATAAGATTAGATTAAATGTGTCTGTTTTTAGTTTACATCCCATCTAATTTTATCCCACACATTCCAGGTGATCTCGCAACAAAGTGGATTCTCCCGTTCACAGCGGGAGGTTTTATTTATATCGCCACTGTCTCTGTAATACCAGAACTTTTGACCGCCACTAAACTTTGGCAGTCGGTGAAAGAAATCTTCGCGCTTCTTCTCGGAGTATACATGATGGTTCTTATAGCAAACTATGAATAGAGACGTTTTCTATAGAATAATATTGTGGATCCCTTGGAAGAAAATTTCGGTTAAATGGATTGTTACAAAAGATTAGTATATTTTTTGCAAGATAATTGCATATCTTCTTTTTTTGTGTTTTAAAAGAAAAGGTATGCTATTTTAATTTCTTCCAGAAACAAATACCAGTGAAATGAATACCATCACTTTATTGCCTACTGTATCTTTACGATTAATAGTTGCATTTATATTTTAGTCAGATAAACAAATGAATAAGATCACGAAAATAAGTATCTTATAAAAAAGAAAAGTAACACGAATCTCTGTACATCCTTTATTTTTACATCGGAAAACATGTCTCTTAGAATGACATCTAAACGAATATATTAGATGTATGTGTGTATGTGCAAGAGGTTTTTTTGTACATTATGAAAATAAATGCGCGAAAAAAAGGAGAAACTTTTGCACACATCTAGTAAAAATGACCAGAGTTTACATTAAAAGACAATGCTATTACATTAGCTATATTCTGCAGCTAAAATAAGTTGTCATAAAGTATGTAAACTGAGTACGATTCGTGTTTAATAATCTAAGAATGTATTTTTACATAGAGCGATATAACTGCGCACATGTATTTGTTCCTATCTTATATACTTATCTTAATTAACAATGTATTCGGATTCATTTACCCTATGTGTATAGAATATTATTTGGATAATTTATTATATATTTGATGGAAAAATTAGGTATAAATATAAGTTATTACTTGCATAATTTTATACAATTATAGTCAGATTAAATCTAAAATATAATTCAATTGTAATTATATACATTTTATNNNATGTATGTATGTGCACATATATTGCCTACACAGTACTTAGTTGCGACTTCCAATTATTAAAATAGAAATAAAGTGAAAAAGTTTATGTATTACACGTGAAATAACAATTTTGAATTGCTGTGCTTATATAACAAAATGTAATAACTTTAAAATAAGTACCGAAGGCATACAAGTAACCATCGCGCATGTAACTTCGGTATGCAATTTGCATAATATTACAAGATTACAGACAAATATTACAAGAGTGAAATATGTCTATTTCTTGTATATCAATAATTACAATTTTCACTAGGTACTAAACATAAATAGATAATTATAAAAGACTGAACTTTCTTGCAATTTCATATATTATATCTGGGAATATTCAGTTAAATATAAGCATGTCTTTTTAAATGCAAGTACCTTCCAAATATCCTTGTATCTTTCATAATTCCATTACATCCGGATTCTATCACACATGACGAGTATAATTCCATCACGTCTTAGATAACACACACACATATACGCAGAATGTAATGTTTTATTTAAACTTTATAATAAGTGTATTGGAGACATGCAAATAATATACCATAAATGTAAATAACTTTGCAAATACATTCCTATATTTTTTTTTACAATTCTATTACAACTATATGTGAGAATTTACAGTGACAGCAATCTTTTCACTTCCTTGAGGCATTCGTCAGCTTCTTGCATTACATCATTATTTTTTATATTATCAGCTATTTTTCTACCTTGTTGACAAGAATTTTTTGCTTCTTTATACAAGCCTTTCTTCAGAAATATATTTCCTATATTTACATGAATTATGTCCATATGAGGTATATCCGGTACTTTCTCTCCTGAAAATACATAATTCCTTTTTACACTGTTTCGCAGTTAATCATTTATTCATAATTATCGTATCATTACCTATTTCTACTGCAGCAGAATAATATTTTATGGCTTCATCGTATTTCTCTTGTATGTAACAAATATATCCCAAGTTATTGAGTATATCTATAGTATCTTCATGACTAGCGTCAGTCTTTTTCACCATATTCAGGGCACGAAGGATATAGTTGTAAGCTTCAGTATACTGACTCTTTGATATTAACATTTGTCCATACCATTCATAAGTCAACATTTGCGCGTGTAAAGCATCCATATTTTCTGGATCCGTTTCAATATGTGATTGTAAGTGTTCCATACAGAACTTATATCCCAGTTCTGCTTCACTGAATAAAAAAAAACAAAAATCAGATCTATAAGATATTTACAGAAATAGCAAATCTATTACTAATTTCTATTACTTTTGCCGATATAACTGTTTTTACTTTTCAAAAAAAGTCAAATACAAAAAATTATCTCTCTAATCAAATAATTGTTCTTACTCCAGTTGTCCCAATGCTTCCATTACTTTAGCCACTTTTAGACTTATATGAATAATTCTCATGTCATTCTCTAGAGCTCCCTTAGACATCAGCCTTTGCATAACTATCACAAACAAATTCTGTGCTTTGTGATATTCCTGAGTATAGAAGGCTACATTTGCCAGTACATCGTAAATATACGTAATCGCATCATAATGCTGTACAGTTTGCGCTTGATGCAAAGCTATATGCAGCATTTGTTCCGCCTTGTCAAACTTTTCTTGCTATAAGAGAAAAGCAAATATCGCTGAAACATGAGATTCGGAGGAGAATTTATTTTATATTACAATTCCACTTTATAGTAGTAATATATATATATAAGTTACATATAAATGTGTAAAATAAATGTGCAATCAAACAAATATGATAGATTTTGATGCTCAATTCTAACCTGTATTAACAATATTGATCGTTTAAGCACTACGACGATTTTCGAAATTTCATCATCTTCTTCATCATCGAAAAAGTACTTATGTACTAAAGTGGGCAGAAACATGGCAAGGAGATAGGATCTTTTCGTTTCTTGCGATCTGTTATTGCCGTAGCGACGATATTTTTCCGTCAGGCGAAGTTGTACAAGTTGTTTAACGAAGATATTATCCTTACAGGCAAAGTTACGCGAAGTATTCGCCGTCGTACGAATAAAACCGACATGTGACAAAACATTTTTCAACGTGTGAGATATTAAAGTTGACCGGTACATTTTCGAAAAAAAAAAAAAGGAAATATCTCAACACTTTGACAGCAAATGACGGCAAACTGACGAGGAACCTGTCAAATACGGTGTTTCTGATCGCGTCGATGCGCATGCGTCTGAAAACATCTGTTCCTTTTAGTTGCACTTTCCGCACTTTTGATTTTTCGTTCTTCCCCTCGAAGGATGCATGTGACGACGTATTATGCGGTATTTAGTTACCAAGAAGTCTGATTTAATTTCCTTGTAAATGAGAAGAATCTATTAGACGTGCCGTACAAACACATTTACGTTATGAGAACGCAATGATAATTCAGGTTAGACGCATTAGCGCCCGAAAGTCCGATGTAAGTATAGACAAATATACCCAATTGCTCGATTGTCCGCATATTCGATTACAGTTCGAACATTTTGTCCTCGATGTAGTTCGGAACGAATTAACGCGATTCAATGAGGGAACCCAACTTCTGGAGATTAATGAAAAAAAAACAAGTTTCCTCATTGGATCATCGGTTACTTCCCAAGTTACGTCGAGAGAAAAAAAGATCGAACGAGTGTTCACGTTGAAAGCAATTGTACATAGACTCGCCAGCTGATACAAACAAGATCGTAAATATAATTAGAACGCTTGCTATACACGTACGTACATACATGTAACACACACACACACCAATTTACGCGCCATATATCAACGTCAAGCGTGAATTACAAGCGATAAACAGGTGAAATCACCTTCAAAGTCAAGCTTATTCTGCTTGTGTGCAAATCCCTCCCGAGTAAAAATAACCGACGGTCACAGGCCGCGATCGCGTCTGTGCGAGTACGATCTAATCAGAATCTAATTGCGAGGAAAAAAAGGCGCACACGGAGTATCGCGTTCGTGATGAATAAGTTATATGGTGCATACGGCCACATATGTGTGTGTGTGTGCACACGCGCACATACAGTATACGCGACCGGGCGTATTAATATTGTCCGGTGCGCCTGCACTGGATCGGCCGATCTCCTCCCGGCGATGTTCAGGAGACACATTTTCTCATTCACACGGCCAATAATACCGCGCTCGCATTGTTTCATGAAGGAACGGGGAAGCATTGATAGTCGTCGTCGCGTCGTCGTCGCGAGGCCTTCGTGTGAGCGAGCGAGAGAGTGTGTGTGTGTAACGCGCAGCGCCGGACACATTGATATACACCTGCTCGTACATGCATGCGTGTTTGCACACGTCGTGCCTGCGTCGTCGTGCACGACCCCACCTCAGCGTGTCCCACCGCTGTGACGTCCCACCTCTACCCGCCCCGTGTCCCATGTCGTACACCTTGATTTCGTACGTTGCACACCTCTCGGGCTCGCGGGCATGAGACGCATCGGATCGCAGCAGGTATGTGATCTCGACGTTCGACCTCTCCTTTTCCTGTTTTTCGTCGCGTCCCTCGCAAAAATCTCGCCGTCTTCGATCGTCGCTGCGCTGCCTCCCCGTACTTAAGTGCGCGCTTAGCCGAAAATGCTAATGACGCGCGCGCGTCGATTTGTCGTCGTCATGCCTCGCGACGGAGTTTCCGGAGAGTTACGCGCCTCTCCGGAACCGTCGAACGACACACGCGAAAGATCTCCTCGCGCGTCGTTCGATTCCGCATCTCCTTCGTTCCAGAGCGGCGTGGAATTCTTCTCGCCGATGCGTTCCCGAGGCGCGCACTCGAGGCGGTGTCGATGACATCCTCGCGCCTCCGATCCCCCATGTCCGGACACTCCCTGCACTCCCGAGCGAGTAAATCGGCACATATGCGATGTAACGCGTGTCCGGTGGGCGATGAATGCCAAAACTGTCGAGTTAAATGCCGATCGGCGAACCGATCGGGGATCGAGGATACACGACGACGACGGTCGTCTGCGGGAGACCACGTCTCGTTTACCGTTTACGGTTTACCGTTCACCGTCGATAATTGTCATTGATTTATTCGCTGAAAAACTGTCGGCAGAGGCTTATGTAATATACGCGCGCTAATATGACAGCTTTTAATGCCGTGCGTTCCGATGCAAATCGGCATGGCGTCCCTGACTGTTGTCTGTTATCATTGCAGTCATGAATTCCGAAGATACGATCGATAGTGCAGCAGCAGCGGCGGCAGCTAATCCGTCTGGTGTAGCTATGAAAGCGAAAAATTGGGTCCAATTTGAGGAGGAACCGGGTCCAAAGGAAGCTACCGATGTGGAGAGGAAAAGCAGCGGCACACCGGCTGTAATACAGCCCGAGTCGGTAACGGTGAAGGTCGACAAGATCAGCAAAAGTATTGAGCAAGCTGATATTAATGATAAGAAAACTAATGAGTATAGAGGTGCTGTGATAGCAACTGAATCCGTCCAGATTAATTTAGATAGATCAGGTTTAAGCCGTTCCATCACGTCCGACACCCCGGACCTGAAATTACCGTCTGACGCTAGAGCAGCCGAAGCCAAGAGCGCTTCCTTGAAAACTATCGATCTAAGGGACACGTCTAATGGCAGAAGTACATCAAGCAATGTTATCAGTACGTCCATCGGAAACATCAGGCAGGGTTTCGCCAATGGTGATACCATTGTTACTCTCTTGCCGGTGAATACCAGATGGCCATGGATCACCCCAGCCAGATTTAGACCGGAGTTAGTGCCGGAAGAATTAATGGCACAGGGACTAACGGTATGTGATTTCCGTTCATATTATGTTTCATCGTGTATTTTTATATCTCTCATTTGGTAACATAGTGTTCTCTCCATTATCGTGTGATTTATATTTGACGAGAATATAAATTAAGATGTAAATATAGTATGTAACTTCTTTCTATGTATATTTCTTTTTTCTTGGATAATTTTTAATTTTATACTTAATAGAAGATATGATGTTCTCCAGTTATAAGATAAAATGTGGAATACTAAGTTGAGATACTTACAAAATTAAAAGTGATCTTGCTTGAATCTCATCTTTTTTGTTATATTTCAAAGAAACAGAATCGATACTGTAATACAATAGATATATATTGCAGCTCACAGTGGAAGACTATGTCCACATAATGGAATTACTTGTGAATGATGTACGTTTTAACATGTATAACGTATGCTACAAGAGGATTCTCGTTCTCTGGATATTCACCGCCTTTGTTGTATTGCTCGGTCTGCTATTCTCCGGAGTAACTGGTCTTACTTTGTTCGGACTTGGTGTCATGTGGCTGGTCCTGAATGCGGCCGCGATATTTGTCTGTATGTTCATCAAGATAAAGCTCAACCACAATCTCGAGAAGTGTATGGCTCAAGTTAACAAGCATTTATTGAGGCATAAAATATTACTTGGACTAGACGACAGAGGGAAGATCTCATGTCACAAAGTCAATCTGTGTTTTATATACTTTGATACTGCCGACTGTGTTGTAAGTACTACCACTAATATAGTTCTTGTTCGAATCTTTTATTTGAATCCTAACTTTGGTGGATTCGATTTTACCTTCTTCCCGGTAATAATAATATGTGTCGAGTTAATAAATTGCATTATTGTGTATATATATATGTATGCACATGCGGAAATTAATTAATTTCATAGTATTCGTGTCAGGTTTGTTTTCAAAATGAAGACAGCTTCAAATAGTTTGACAATTTACACAATTGTGTACGCTCACACGCACGAGAATAATGCAGTGGTTTGATTTGCGATAGAAAAAGCTACAAGAAATAATAGAAAGAGAAGAACGGGAAGGTAGAGTGATCGGTGGTGGTGACGACGCAAGCGAATTAAGCCGACAACGAGAATTACAGCAGCGTATGGACATTGATGACAGTGACATTGTTATACAAGGCAGCACTACCACGAGAATATCTCGTAAACAGGTAAACCGTTGCCTAATCCTTTTTCCTTCCTCATCTTAGCGTATATATTTTTCTGTACGTTCAAAAGTCTTAAGTTCTCTTTATTATTTCGATTTCTCTCTGTATTTTTCGTTTAAATTTCACTTCTAATTTGCAATATATATTTGAGAGATTTGGATATTTTATATCGGCTGAGATATGTGTTAAGAAGGTGGAAACGGAGCGCTATTGTTCCGCTGTTCGTAGGTATAAACGTGCAAGACGATGCAAAACTTGTGGATTTAGACCTGTTCTTTTTAGTTGCACCGTCGATGGTTAACACTGTGTTCTCTTCCCGCAAAGCGTAAATAATTAGTCTCGTTTTAAATATAGAAAGTAAACACAATTTTACGGATAAGACAAAAATATTCTCGCGCGTGGCCTACTGAACGCGGTTCGCAGTGCACCTATGACTTCCACTTAATATTCGAAGTCTTTCTATCGTAAAATATCGATCGAGTGTGCTAAATTTGCCGTTACCGATTGCGATAAGTTGTATTAAACATTTATTATGCATTGCATTACAATCTACCAGGGTAAGAACGAACAAGTATTCTGCCGTTATGTACAACGTTGGGCGAAGGATTACTTACGTCGACGTTTGGATTGGACGGTTGACGAGGAGGGTGGAAATCCTTCTTCACCTCGTCACTTAGCGTCTGCTCTGTGTCCATGTCAATATATAGAGGAATGGTTACGTAATAAGCCGCGCGTTCAGGGCCGGGATTTTTGTCCTAGATGGAGTAGCTTTCTGAGAGACAGAGGCATTTAAAACGAGCATTGCTCCGATATATATTTTAAAGAAAAATTTATATATCTCAAAGAAGAAATTTATATAAAAATTTATATAAAGAAGAGGAAAGTATACAAAGTTTATATATAGAAGGAGATACTTGCGGTTACGTATGTTTACGCACAGAAGTTATATAATTAATTAATACTTATTTTATTGTTATTGGCAATGCACGGGATCTTCCTTCCAATTTGCTCTAAATACAAGACAATATATAGGATTTTATATATTACAAGAGAGATATCGATATTTTTAAATGTGAGACATTGGACATGTGAAAAAGCAACTTTTATCAAATACCGCTGTCTAATTTTATTAAATTGTAACTTGCGTCATTTTACGTATTTTATATTTTATATTACGTATTATTTTACATAGTTTTAGGAAATTAATTGTAATTTATATTTATGAAAGTGGCCATCTTTTTTAGATACATATATATAGCCAAATCGCACAATATATGATATAGAGGTTTATGAAAAGTATAAACTTTAGATCGAATCAGGTTTTGTTCCGTTAAAAAAGTTCTAAAAACATTTTACTCGTTTAAATTGTGCGTGAATGTGGTTAAAGCCTTTCAATACGTTCGTAGGAAAATTTACGCAGTTACTTTTTTGATATCTCGATCATTGTTTTCTATTATTGTATCTATAGCTTCTTGAGAATAATGTTTACAACTCTTGTGTCATTTATCTCTATTTAATGTTTAACTGTTTTAATGTACTTAATACTTTGCTTAAGAATATTGAAGTATACGAATAATTATATAATATATCATGACAAATGCTCTCAGTTACATACAAAGGTGAAAATTTATACAATTTATACTATATCTTTTGTTTAATTTATATAGTATAATTTATACTATATTGATATATTATGCCGATTTAAATTTTCCATGTTACAGACATGGTAAGCGTGTGCCTTAAATATCGTGTTTCTATCTGATAAATATCTATCTGACATACACAGCAATAATTTCTGTGTGTTTAATGCACAAAAACTATATCACTCGTTGAATTTCAACCTTAATTTTGATAACAGAGCTTATTGGTAGTTTTATATTTTTAAATTGCTATTCGTATTTGACTGCATTCCACATTTATTGCTAAAATAAATTCCAACTTAGCATTCAGTCTGAATATGGTCCTGCTACTTAATAATCTATAAATAATCTAAATAATACAATAATCTTTACTTTGACAATCTATTTTAACATTCCAATAAAAAAAAAGGAAAGTTATTTCAATATAAGAATAATTTCAATATAAGAAAGAAAGGATGGATAAGAAGCCAATTACAGATGTAATGTGCATTTATTTATAATATACTATAAATATGTGCACATTAGATCTGCAATTGGCTCTTATTACCCTTTACTCTTATATTGTTTGATTTTTTATATGATTATATATGATAATTTTATATGATTATATATAAATATTTTTTCCCGGCTTATTATTTTCTTCGGTAATATTTACTTCCGTGTTATTTATATGATGTTGCAAAATGATTGACACAAATATAAAAGCTTATTAACACTCATTAAAATTCTTAAAGTCATGTTTATAGTTTTCATATATTTTGGAAAACATTGTTACGTTCTCGTGTACTAGGCAATTTTCCAGGATTTTGATAATTTATATTTAACTATGATTTGAATCACAAATATATTATGATGGAATTGTATGAAAAATATTTAAAAGACAAATGTACCTCTAAAATGGTGAACATATTTAATTTTGATTAACAATGAATCTCTCTCTCTCTCTCTCTCTCTCTTTCTCTCTCTCTCTCTCTCTCTCTCTTTCATGTCTTTTATATATAAATATGATAAAATTCTTCACGATATCTCATTCAAGTTATCATTAATGGCCATTATAATCGCCATTGTTACACAATTTCACTAAAAACCAATAGATTATAGTATTGTCCATAGAATGTCGTTTAGTTTTACAAATCATGAATTAAATCATTTTTAACTAACGAAAGTTGTGGGATATCTAAAACTCGCTTATTACCACGACAGTTTAAAAAAGAAAATATGCTTATCACTATCACACGTCAAGCCCATGGGAGCTACTGAATGATGATGGTGTGTGTTGACAGGAACGGGCGGAGTTGCTGTTGCTGAGGTATGCGTCTCGTTGGGCACGTCACTTTGTGCGTCGCAGACTTGATCTGGTTATAGACTCACAGGAACGCGACAGAGGCGTCACAGGTCTGTCTGTTCCACCGCGCCATTGTGTCTCCGCCCGTTGCCCCTGTCAATTCATTGAGGACCATCTCAAACACAAGCCCAGAGGCAAGTTGACGTTACGCAAATTCTTTATAATGCCAGACTTCACCTCTAGGTGACCGCCAATGGAATTTCCCTGATATGACTCATGAGAAAATCACCTCTAGAATCTCTTATGATAGAAATCTTAATGAAAACTACATGTTCCTGATGTCTCGAATCGACTTAATACAGTGTGTTCAAATTGTCATGTATTATAACGATGGCTTATTCGACAGGTGTGTTCCTAAAATTGTATTCTCTTAACATAATGAACGATTACAGTGATACAATCTAGAGATGATCGTCCACTTATGTTTTCAGTATTTGTACTTATGTATTTTGCACAATAGTTTCGCGGTGCAACGGGATGATCGTAAATGTGTAAAGGGGAAAAAATTAATAATGAAAAATTGTAGCACTGAAATTTAAATCAAAAATGTAATAAGATCTGATCATCGTGCTACTCTGGATATTTTTGTTAATAAAATATACAGATTTCCTACCTAGTAAAACTTGTTGATCATTACAAATAGAAATTTGTATTATGTTACATTCCACGTGTTAACTGGCAGTATATTGATTGAACAATTGATATATTCATGATGCACTTCACATAAGATCATTAATGCAGCACAAAAGTACATATTTCTTAGAGTGCATTTTTTATTTGTAATCCTATATATATATATATATATACATATATATATATATGACTGCTTTTTATGTGTTATGTATATATTCACACATTATCATTTATATTCAGCTTTGCTTATCCATTATTACATTCTTAAAAATTTGGTCATGCTGCTAGATATTGATGAATTCCTTTAAGCAATATGTCTCATCATCATATGCACCATCATGTCATTGTATTATTTCATATGAAATATTTCATCGCACTTTTCGAGGCCATACAAACGTTAAAAATAGAGAAGAAATTCTGCTTGAATCTACTCTACAGTCACTAATTTGCTTTAGAACAATATTGAGACGATATTGTTCGAAATACGTCATGTCAATTTATGGTAAATGAAATTGTTCACCATTTTGGAAGGTACACGAACAAATCTTTTTAAGATAAGTGCAACTTGCGCGGTTGTATTTAGATGGTATTAATATATATCATTTAGATATATATTAATCACTTAGATATATTATTGTTATTACCAGAATTCGGAAAAGTTCCTTTCTCTTAAAGAATAGTAGTGTAATTAGATAAAGAATGGCATTATCACCTTCGATACACCGTTCGTATCTACTTTACTACTACTTCTGGTTTTAAGAGACGGACATACTTATAGTCTTTATAATTACGTTTGCCATGAATATATAAAATATATGAAACATATATTTTTAACAAAATAAAAAACTGCAATTAAGGAGAGAAAGATGTAATGCAGGATATATTACGCACATATACTATATATATCATTTGAATATTATGAATTTTTATTGAATACGTTTTATTTTTAATTGAGAGAACTGACATATCGAAAAAGACAATAAACGATTAATTGTTAATTCCGCATATTTGAGAAAAATATTTAAATTTCTCTAGAAGCTGAGAGAATTGAGAACGTTATATGGAGATATATATATATACGCATATACGTATATTTGTTTTATTTTCTTTGGTGCAAGTATGTATGTGTAGAACTACTGATTATGAAAAATACTATCGGAAGTAAATGTTACATGGGATAATCCGCTAAACTACGTTATAAGATTATGTTAAAGAAAAAATAAGTGATACAGTATGAACATCACTGTTAACGATTTTAGATGTAATCGATATTAGAGGAAACTTTGAACTTCCATATCCGTTTATGTCCGTCCTAAAAAAATTGGCATAGGTATAAGCGCTAGTTAATATGTAATATATATATACTTTTATATATACTATGTTCACAAAATATACTTATTCCATCCTTACTGCAAAAAAAAAGAAAGAAACTGTATTTGTACAGAGAACCGATGATTTTTATATACAACAAAATGTAAAACACTTTTATATGATTGTTAAAAATGTTGTGGAATAAAGATATATTACATATGTCTATTTTTTTTTTATCGTGTCGTGTTTCCGTACGACACAGTAAAACCACAATGAATGTTATTCTCTCTCTTAATTTTTTTTAATAGCTTATAAAAACTTTGTACTAACTTATATGTAGTACGCATCGGTATGTGACTAACACACTAATTTTGAGGGATTACTTGCATGCAGCCGGACGGAAGATGATGAATCTCGATATATTACCTCATCCGCACATTATCAGCACGTAAAAAAGATAATCTTTAAAATCATGTAAGTATTACACGCCTAATGAGTTACAGAATACATTCACGGGAAGAACTTTGTGTTAACTTTGTTATACAGTCTGTTCCACAAGAAAATGTACGGCAGCATGTCGAGAATACACAATCTAGAGACAGGACTCTAGTACATCAAAGCAAAAAGGTATTGCAGAATTACTTAGTAATGGGTTCATTGTCGTCTTCATTGTCAATTATTGCTTGGCACCTTCTTTGGCATGCTTTTGATTAGTTTTTGAGCATGTTCACGTGGTAGAAAGCGCCTGAGCGTACGTTAATTTTGATCCTCTCGCAGATAAAATTAAGAACACCGGCTCATAACGGCTTAAGATACCTTGCACTCGTCTTGAAAATTTCCACTTTAACGAAAAAGTAACGCTCGGAATGACAACGTAGCATGTAACTTGAGTTCTTCAACGTCATAAAATGGATAACGCTAGGCCGTCTTGTTTTACGGCCATACATTTTCCTTGTGGGTACACAGACTGTATGTTAAAACTGAAGGCATATTTCGACTATGCTATCCATTTTTCAGGTCTCAATACATTATTAAGCTTGGTGGCATTTAACACAGAGGGACGAAAGAAGATCAACTTCCACTTATAGCTGATTTCTTCCTTTCTCTCGCATAACTATATCGAATTTATGAAACAATTCCTATATATTTCATGTATTTTAGCAGAGAAATCTTACCGTGTTTGATTAACTTTATAATTCTACAATTATAAAGGATTCTCCTACCGTCTGGTACGCTCGTGGCTGTTTGTGCATCTAATAATGCTTAAGGAAAACGGAGAGAAAACGTCGTTAACTTATCTAAAATTTGAATGCTGTATTGAGAAGAACATTTCTATGCAAATATTGCTTTTAATTTAATATTTTAATCATCACAAGCGGTTGGTTGGTAATTTTACGTTAGTACTTTCGAAATTTTTCCCTCTTTCAACTTAAAAGAAAAAGATACTATCAGATATGTGTGAATTATGTAGTAAAATATATTACATTTGCATTTTTTGCTTACCATTATTAATGTATACTAACGAACTTACATGACTTTTTCAGGATATCCACCAGGTTTGACATGGTGTGCCTACTTTAACGAACCCGTAGTTCGATTTGATACGTTACCAAATGCGTCCCATTAAGAATAGTATTTTTTTTTTTGCTTTTAATGATCGTGTAACAGTATTAGTTTGCGTTTAGATTTGAATTTACCTGTGGATGAACGAGCTAAATATCAAAAACACTATTATATATACAAAATGAAATAGTTCCCCTTTACAATTATAATTATACACTTTTACATATATCATATAGTTTATACAAAACATCCTTTTTGGTATTTACTTGCGTCATCAATTTTTTGCTCTTGTACACTATATTCTTCTCTTCTCTCTCTCTGGAACATCTACTTAAGCAAAAATTATATTATTACAAGATTTTATAAGACTATATATATTTTTTATCATTTATATATTTTGATACATAGTATATATGTGATTACTGATCCAATTAATTTACCATATTGGATATGTCACACATATACAGAGATACAATGATTTATTAGATTATTATCTGTTGTGAATCACTATCTGTGTGAATCACTAGAAATCTTATTTAGTCTCTTTGCAAATCGTTCGTAGAGATAGTAAAATAATTTTCTGAAACAGTTGTGCGCGATATACAGCACTCAAGTATCGTAACAATAATACAAAGGTAATTTTACTATATATAAGGTACAATTATATGTAAAGGAGCCACTTTTAAACAAGCGGTACCTGGCAATTCTTGTCAAAGAGTTATAGAGAATTTATTGATGAGATGCATATATTTTTCAAATTTATGCGTAAATCTGGGAGAATGTGATTTTTCCACTACACAAAGCAAAAACTAAAAAGCAATAGATTGGATATATATATTCGATGTACTATACAATTGTAATCACAAGGTAATTTTTGCTTAAAAGAATTTTCGATGACTCTTTGACTAGATCAAAATAACTGGATGGTCCATGTTAAATGAGCTGCTCTGTATATAAAACTATAATAAGTAATTTGTAAGTTTTTACACAAGAGGCAGCACAAAATCATTCCATCTTTATGGTATACATTGTTCACCATGATAAATGTGATCAATTAATATGCAGTAGTATTATACTTCAATAAGTAGCGCTAGATATTAAGTTGTTATTGTGCCTTGTCATAAATTTCGTTGAGAAAGCTATATAAGATGTTCCGTATATCATTAAATAATTCGTGTATCAACCATTCGGTACACCTACATATCAATGTTGACAACAGAAAAAAATTATCAAACAAAACTTATTTTGCCATTAAATTTACTATATATCATATACGTGATATTAATTATTTAATGTACCTTGCATATATAGGATACTATTGAGCGTTTCTACCATATTGAGTATTTTAATCATATAATAGAAAGATGACGCAGATAAATTCATAGTAAATATTTATTTAAGGATGTATCTGTAATCATTTTTCAAGGAATGGTAAGTTGTTAATATTAGTTAAAGATTATCTGTGATTAAAATTTTGCATGACATATGTATACCTTGATATAATCTCAAAGATGACAGACAAACCAATATTTAAGATAATATTAATATCATAAAGAGCTTATTATTCGTATGTTATTAAAGCAGCTTCAGCCTGCTTTCTAATGTCGTCTGCTAATCTCCTTATTTCCTCATTATTTGTCTGCAATTGTTGTTCTTCTTTCCTCAAAGTATATTCCAGCTGCTTCAATTGCTGTTTAGTATTTAAATAGGTTTTGACTTTCTTATATATGTCATCAGAATTATTAGTACTTGACAGGCCGTAAGATTCCTTTATACGTAAATCATCTAAAATATTACATTAATGAGAACGTAAATCAATAAGATCTAGATGGGAGAAATACGAATATTAAACATTAAATCTAAGGTTAAATATCTTGCTTGAAGTTTTTCACGTGAGAAATTCTTAAAGTAGTAATTAAATTAAACTGCAAAATCACCTTACTGTGAACTTAATGACTTTATCGATACATTTCTTTTAATCTGAGAATTGCATGTATTTACTTATGATTTTAAACGCCACATCGTCCACGACAGCATTATTCAAATCTTCCAACATATGTTCCTGACTAGGCAAAAGCGGTCTTGGAGGTAAACTGTTCTTCTTATTACTAAACATCGTCGCACTGATAACGGCACAAGAGTAGAAACATCTGCCTCTTCCAATCTCAAGTTGTTGCTGTTGTTGTTTTAGGTTAGGTGTTATTATTTATAGGTTAGGTTCTACCAAGTACAAACGACTAATGTCAAATGAATTTCTATTTCATGAACACAATAGGTAAAACCCAACGATTTATAACTTTCATAAAAATAATAATAATAATGAGATAGCTCGAGGAGTATTTTACAGATTGAAGTTTTCAGACATATTTTTGAATATGAGATTAAGTAATTTTTACATATTTATATGAATATAATGGTCACTTCTGCCCACAGGACACGGCAAGAAGCAACGTGGCAGCCATTGAACTTTATGATGACCTTGTAGATCCAGATACAAAATAAAGGCCTAGAACAAAACTGATGAAAATTTTAACGAAATATTTATTATATTATAAAAAGTGAAATCAATTTTCTTACTAAGTTTATCTTACCTGATTAAAATTAAATTACAGATGTATTTGTACTTACACAGTAATAAGGAATATCAAGGAATTCAAATACATACACACGATAAAAAAAATGTAATTGTATGCATATTAATGCTTCCACTCATTTGCAAGAAGACAGTTTTCACACTGTGACGTTTCCATGACACAAAACACAATATTTATTATAAATTAGCGTAAAGTATTACAGGGCAATGGTCACTGCCATAAACCTGCTTCCTTATGATGTTATCGCACACTTTATTCTTGACCCGTTCTGACACCAAGAAATAATCGAGTCGCCTGTATATGACAAAAATTTTGTATAAATAATATGAACCATTTCTCTAACGCACCATTATATTTTTAATATAAAGTCCGTGAGAATAAACTCATCATAATTGCAAAACTACAAATCGAATATTACGTGAAAGTTTAGCTCCAGCTTTTATTTATGCTCCATATGATTTTAATAAAAACAACACTTACCATCCAACATCTTTATTGCGTGCATTAGAAAGATACGACCAGAATGTATACGCGCCTTCCATATCGGGATACAATGCTCTGAATGTGTCAACAAATCCACCGGCCAAAAAATCGGTCATACCATCTCGCTCTTCTTTGGTAAATCCGGCGTTTTTGGTGTTCGTTTTTGGATTTTTCAAATCTAGAAAAAAATAATTGCTAATTTATCTTTTTTATTCTATAATGATCGTTATTACCTTATCTGAACAATATATATATAATCTGGAAATATGAAGTTAAACTCGACATGATAATAATACCTATTTCTTGATGAGCCACATTCATATCACCGCATATAATAACGGGTTTCTTTTGATCCAAATCGTCAATGTGTTTTTTAAATATTTTATTCCATTCCAGTCGTTTTGGCAGTGTTACTAGCTTCTGTCCGGCATTTGGTACATCTGTAATATTTTATTACTATATTAGCCTCTTAGAAGTAAATTCGTGTCTACGTTATATAAACACATTGGATTCTGGAATATATCGAACTTTCCAAACTACAGAAATAAACATTTTAGATATTACACAATAGTATAAATGTAATATATTATTTTATGTTACTTATTGATATATAACTTACAAACATTGACCATGAAAAATTCTGGAAATTCAGCAGTAATTATTCTACCCTCACTGTCAAAGTCAGAATTGCTTAAACCATACTTAACAGAAATTGGCTTTTCCTTGCAGAACAATGCAACTCCGCAGTAACCTGACTTCTTACCTATTGAGAAATATCTATTAACGACATTATTCATACAATATGGATTTTTTTAAGTATATCTTACTGTCAAGAAAATAATGATGATATCCTGATAATTTGACATCATCCGGCAATTTATCCTTGTCACATTTTGTCTCTTGCAGAGCTACTATATCTGCGTCCTCTCTGACGATGTAATTTATACCATTTTTCTAAAAAAAGAACATGTATTATTGCTCAAATATCGATATAAATGAAATTATTACAAATTTGATGTTTCTGTTAAGAAAAATTCACATACTTTAATAACGGCTCTGATCCCGGAAACATTCCAGGTGCAAATTTTCAAGTTATATTTTTTCCCTTCCTTATTCGACTTCATACATTCAAAATCTATTTCGTCCAAATTTGTATCGGTTTTATTTTGCATCTGTTTAGGTTCATCCTTTGCTTTCTTTGTAGCAACTGACTTGGTTTCGCTGTTTGCTTTTTTGGACTCCTTTGGTTCAGTTTTTGCTTTCTTCGGTGCAGGTTCACCACTTGCATCATTTTCTCGCTTCTTTCTTGAAGTTTCTTTTACATCTGTCTTCTTTTCAGATTTAGCTTTAGAGGAATCAGCCTAATTTAAAGAAAAATTAATAAAAATAACTTTTTCACAAGCTACATAATAATATTAACACTTTACATAAATACTACTATTAAACAAAATTAAAGAAAAAAATTTAGTAACATTATAGTCTTTTATATATTTTGTATGCAGAAGAATTCATGTTTCTTAATGTATCTGTGACACAAACAATAACAATTATTGTTATACTTCAATATATAAAATCAAATATTCTACAATAATATATTCATTACCTTCGTTTTTGCAGTACGCTTTGGTGGCATATTAAGACGTTGTTCTTTGTGAAAAGTAGATGCTGCAAAAATACATAAATATAAATATTTCAGCAGACACAATAATTAACAAATTGTAGTTATTACTAGATAATTTCATAATTCATAAAAATTGGAAAAATTTAATTGTTATTCTAATTCTTAAACATAAAATAAAGAAATATAGAATGTATGTAGTGATTAAACATATAAGTACTCAACTTGATTAAAAAATCTTTATAAACGTCATATATAATACTCCTAATTTATGATTTTTATGCATATAAAGAACAATTTTCTTTCATGGTTCACATTCAATTGATAATTACATAGCCTAATAGTATTTGATCGCATTTATTGATATTTGGTTTCTTAACTTACAAATCCACTCTCTTCAACAAACTATGAGTAAACAATATTAGCTCACTATTTTGCGATACAAATTGCGATATTTCTTTCACAAATCCGAATAATTCTATATTCACATACGTGACTACAAGGAACTGGATTAGGTGGTCAATGGAGTTTTGTCTATGCACGTTAACTGCGACTTTAAATTTAGTGCCATTTATTCGCGGACATAACGGTTACAACACTTCATTTTGGTGAGTTTCACAACGTGTTCGATATCCAATAGAAAGATACATCACGTAGGGAGAAACATCTTGGCAGCTAAAGCAACTGAACTACATATTAATACTGGAATATGCGCAAGCATGACGAAAGGAAGAAAATCATTCGATCCGTTTGATGATGTAAATGCTTCGAAACAACGGATGGACCAATCGCAGTCTGTCTTTGAGCGTTCCGAATCGTTTGCAGCTTCAAGTGGATTCAAGATGATGTACTAATACCATCTTGGATGTGTTCAGAAATATTCGATGGGTACAATAGCGTTTATTAATTATGCTCTATTTTGATTGGTCAACTAAATACTATTCTACCCGTCAAGTACGATTTCTGAACGCAGCCTTAACTCGCGGTGATAATTCAAAAGCCAAAACAAGTAAAATTTAATTTTTTTATACTAAACTATGTTGCATTTCTTGTTACACATGATTCCTTATATCAATTATAAAATTATTATTTTACAATTTAATAATATAATAAACGATTTTAATAAAGTCCAAAAATCTGTTTAGCAAGATCTCTTCTAAGCTATCCATATATTTACTTCTCTTTTTGAAAAACACACACAGGCGCGTGCTATTTATCTGTTTATTACAAAGAACAAAAAGACCCAATTCGTCTAACTGAATAGACATCAAATACGAATGTATCAACAAAAAGTCATGTCTTTATTACAGCGATCGAAAAAATTTGACTGAACAAAGCACCCACGTTAATCCTCCATCCTTATGCATTTTTGTTTATTCAATGATACTTATCCGATATTATCTTTAATTTTCTGCAGTTTTCCTCGAAATTATTGTAACAAACATTTCACACAACACGTAAAATTAATCACACATTAAAATATATAACCTCACGAATTGTAACCTTAAAATCTGATGAAAACTGTCACTCGATTCCGGCAATGACGGCTGCAAACACGAGTCAAAACGCCGGCTGCTACGCGGCACCAACCAATCAGCATCGCGGAAAAGAGGCTTCGACATTTCGAGATATCCGATACAATCGATACATATTCGAGTTCGAGCGACGTGCCTTTTTTATAAATGGAAATGGCATTTAACGCGCGATAAACTTATTAAGGAAATAATTAATATGTTCATTTATACGTCATCGTTAGTCTGGGGAGGTAAGTAAGCGTAAAACGTGAGTGACGTGAAATTGTACTCGCAAAAAAAAAGAAATGGCAACCGCCCGTAATCACGTCGTATCGCACGAGCGATTGTCATTTTCTCGAAAGGGAGAGCTCTCGACGGAGTATCGCATTTACCCGTGCAAAGCCTCGTATGATATCGCACGCCGGAAGTTAGATGTGGTGATTGCCGAACATCTGTCACCAAGCGAATACTAGCTCCGTTCCGAAAACCGCGATACTGTCATGGCACCCGTTCTCTTAATTTTTTGAGGGGTGCACACACACACACACACACACGCACGAATTCGCATCGTGTTGCGTACGGTGATTTTTGTATAGGACGAACCATCATCCGCGTAGACTCGGTGAGTGTGATTTTCATCGCCAGGCCGGCGGTGAATTCTTGTTTACTTGTTACACGTATGCGCCAAGTATGGTGCTCTTCTAGGACAAGCCCTTCGGCGAAAACCTTTTATTTCGCTGAAACAACGTTAATAGCGAACTCGGCGGATATCGTGCCAGTATGAATTCGCGAAAGTGAACGGTTTCTCCGGATCCGTGGGTGTTTGTGCGAATGTTACGGGCAGTTGTGTGATAAAAATTACAAGGATGATCTTTTTCACGGTGGTGTTTTGGGGAAAGTGAGATTCGTTGTATGGTTAAGTCAAGGACTTGTGTATCTCCCTGATGAATATCGCGTGCTCGATCGATATAAATATAAACTTAAAACAGATTTGCACGAAATATATATACTTGTCGTTTGTCTTTGTAATTTGTACTTGTATTAATCCACTTACGAGTGTCACTTGGAGTTAAGATTGTTTATATATTACTTTTTTATTCTGCTTATAAAGTCAATATAATGTTGTTGAAAAGGATACTTCGAGAGTAAACAAAAATATAGATAATATCATCATTGATTGTTAATAGTGACACTGATTGTGTGTCTCTTTTTTTAGATAATAAATCATGAGCTCAGGTAGACCGATAAAATGTGTAGTAGTAGGAGATGGAACTGTAGGAAAAACTTGCATGTTAATATCATACACAACAGATAGTTTTCCTGGAGAATATGTACCTACTGTGTAAGTATACATGTCATTATGCATATATTTTTACAATATCTTTACAAATTATACAATATTTGCTTTTTGTAAAAGAATTTTCTATTTTTATAGTCCATATATGTTAAAGGTATAGCTTGTGGCAAGATTTATATCCTTAGTTTGTTTCTTAGACCAATCAAATTGAGCGGCTAATAATAGTATCGGAGTATGAGATGCCTGACTGCTGTGTACAGGAAGTAATTCATTTTAACTCATCTTTTTATATTCTTCCTGTTCTTTATATCCCCACAATTCTATTTTTACTTAGCTTTATACATTAGCAAATGTCAATTAGTTTACATTATTTTACAATCAAACTAAGAATGTCATGATGAAAACGAGCAGTCAGTACCATCGTATTTTTTATATTCCTGATATTTTAAACAAAACATATAACGAATAATATCCATTAGACGAGTAAAAAATAAGAAAAAAAAAGAGAGAATAGAAACGCAAAAAGAAAAATATGGAATATGTGTGATATTTCTTCAGGTTTGACAACTATTCTGCGCCCATGGTCGTTGATGGAATTCCGGTCAGCCTAGGATTATGGGACACAGCAGGACAAGAAGACTATGACAGACTTCGTCCGCTCTCTTATCCTCAGACAGACGTATTTCTCATTTGCTTCTCAGTAACGAGTCCTTCATCATTTGAAAATGTGACCAGTAAATGGTATCCTGAGATAAAACACCACTGCCCAGACGCACCAATGATACTCGTCGGAACTAAAATAGACTTACGAGATGATCGCGAAACGCTTACTGCCTTAGCCGAGCAAGGCCTTAGCGCCATTAAGCGTGAACAGGGACAAAAACTGGCAAATAAGGTCCGTGGAAAACCGTGTCTCTCCTTCCAATTCTCATACATCGAAATTACTTACTAATTATCGAACATAACGAATATTACAACACGCGTTACAGATTCGCGCGGTTAAGTACATGGAGTGCTCCGCTCTCACGCAACGCGGGCTTAAGCAGGTATTTGACGAAGCGGTTCGCGCCGTTCTGAGACCCGAGCCGCAGAAACGTCGGCAAAGAAGATGCATTATGTTATAAACGACGGGAGGAATTGAGGGGAATCAGCTTAGGTAAACACATATATAAAGCAACAGATCAAAATGGACTTGATCACTCGAACGCGAAGAGGAAATATGGATGTTTTAAAGAGAAAATAATAGCGCGTGCATTTTAACGAATTATTCTGGCAGCTATAGAATATACCGCATTACAGAAAGAGTACAATTTATAACTTCCTGGTCTCTCAGTGCGAGTCGTGATGCCGAATCGCGACTGGAAAGTTTAGACAACGAGAAAGTAAGAAAATAGAATAACTGTTTAACAGCATTTGCAGGAGGGAATTCGCTGCAAGCTTGCAAATGTCTTTCCTTAAACTTGTATTTACGGACATATTGCATGAAGGTGAAGAGGAAACTGCGACCACACACGGTAACGCGCGGTCGATACTGTAGTAGAAAATCGCTCATGACAACTTTCTTTTATATCTTATGAGACTTTGTTGAATTTGATGTCGCAGTCCTGCAAATTAATGATAATACAGTATAAATGTGCTGTGATGACTAAAAGCATTAAGTACCCAAAGCTTTACTTATCAGGGCTGCCAGATTTTCGACTTTTTACATTTATGGTATAGTAAGAGCATTGATTTTAGTACATACAACGCGATAGCTACTATACAATCATACTGAAAAGTTTTACACATGTAAAACAACATTATAGAACTTTAAACATACAGTGCCATAGCAACGAAAAATCAAATAAATGTCACAAGCACATTTATAATCAATCAGTTCTAGACAATATATGTGTACATTTTTACGAAAAATTATTCCGAGGGAATTATACGTGTGGGAATTGAAGAAAATGTTTTATATAAATACGAAAAATTGTGAGGTGTATAATGTTTTTACTTTGTACACAAAAGTAGTTTTGTCACAAAAGTATGTTTGTCATTTTCCATCCTCAAAGTCATTTAAGATTATTATTTCTTTTATATTTTCGATAAAATCTGTATGATACATGCATACAGGATACTGCCATAAAATAATGTAACACAACAATGTCATAGTATTCCTCGTATTGCTAGAAACAAATCGTGAGAATTGAACACGAGTCAAATTTAATAATGATACATCGGATACTTTATTGTCTAGAATTGCGATATTCTTTTCGTGCAGTGAAAAGAATAATAATATGCTATGCTTATATATCAGTATTTATTTTATTCTCATGAATCTCTGAGAGGGAAATTTTTTTTTTTTTTTTTTACGATTTTACTGAAACCCTTGATCATATTTATAACGAATGTATTATTATTTTTGTTTGTGCTTGTAACAATTGCGATATTGTACAAGTTGTTGCATTGGTGCAATTTTACTTTTGACATTATTCGATTTTTTTTTTATATAAACCGAGCATCCTTTGCAAAAGTAATAATCAAATCATATGTATATCAGTTGAATAATGACACGAAATGCCAGTGGCAAATAATATACAGTAATGCAAAGTCCACCTAAAAAAAAATTGAAATATAACAAATATAGCACAATGTATTTTCCTAAATACTACAATATATTTCACACTCTTCCATTTATTTGTATGAGAATTATTTACATATAAAAATTACACAACAAATACTATATAGTATGATAATTTAGAAGAATAGATCAGTATCTTGTACAAATAAGTGATCTATTGCTATAAAGCTGCTCATATCATTGTCTCTAATTCATTATCTTATTAACCAATTAATTGTAATTGCGACTGTACTTTTCTATTTCGATTCAGCTAAAGAAAAAAAGAAAGATCAGGTTTTATTGCCATAGATATTATGTGCTTTCTAAGGACTCAATAGTAAGGTAGTGTGATGATAAATGGATATTATCCCCTATTCTTGTGATCATGCTATTTTTTTATATTCAAAAGCTTAGGATAAAAGGAAGATAGGACCTTTGTGCCATATTATTTTCATTTGTGGAACACAGATATTAAATGCAATACTCTTTATACTCAAGAAATAAATTCCCGGATAATTTTTAAATTTACGAAATCGAAAAACTTTTTGCGTTATAATGGCTAAGAATTAGCAGCTGTTGAAGGGTGTAATTCTCTGTTTTATTAAAAAGAAAGGATAATTGTAGAAAGATAGAAAGCATAGACTCTTCTTTCATAATATACGTCATTAACTAATCAATTGGTTGACAAAGAGACGAGTCCTACAATTACTTAGAAATATTCGGCGATTAAAATTATCACTTTGACCGTTGTAGTGTTAAAGCTCTGTAAGAAACGGGCGNACACACACACACACACACACACACACACACACACACACACACACACAGACGAGGTATATTACCGCTTATTAGCTGTACATAATGTAGCATAGAAGCATATTCTAAATTTCAGTCGAGCCTATGTCTTACCAAGACAATTTTGGGTTTTCCCTACTTCTTACATTTTTTTTTATACGTGCGCCAATAAGTCTTATCATGGGATAAACCGATTGAAATCATTAAAATATAGGCGAACAAACAAATGTAATAATATCTGTGCATTGTTCGAGATTTAATGTGTTTGAAATAGAACACAATTAGTCCGATAATTTGATGTAATTTATCTCATAATATTTAATACTTTTACCTTCATAAGCTTACAGTTCACGTAAAAATATTCCCTAAATTAATAACGTACATTTTTTAAATGATTGATTAAATTCAAATCTTTCCTGTTTTTTTCATTGCAACCTAAGATATTTTAAATTTTTCACATATAAATGTATACTTACATGTGTATAATAATGTATTAGTTATGCACAATAATATATTGCAATTATGTATTTTAAAAAGTAACATTATGCATATATATATATCGAGCATCTTTTGTAAGTAGTGCATTTACTTTACAAATTTTAGGTACTTATCACATGTTAGCGCTTTTATGTTTGATATTGCCAATCTGCGAATCTGCAAATAGTGTCGCACTTTAACAGCAGTATTCGATAATTTTTATTCAGTCTGATCTCATGTAGTTTTTGTACATGGCACTTAACATTATATTTCTCTTAGTTTCCGGTCACTCAGGTGTAAACTAAAATTAGTTGAAAAATGTATAACACACGACTAATAACAATAACATTTTACTAACAGGAATTGATTGACATTGGTATATAGTGTGTGTATTATCTCTATCTTTCTTAACAATGACCTCTATAATTTGTATGTGTAACAATATATAATGTAATTTAAATTACACTACTTACAACTTCTGCATTTATATAATGGAGATCGTAAGATGCGAATTACTTTGTAATCTTTCCTCTCTTTTAATAAGATTATTGAGGGATGCTGTAAACCAAAGTTATGTATTACAATTTAAGATAACATCTACATTTTTTATTATGAACTATTGCACATAAGTATACAAAGAATGAATGTACGAAATGTAAAAATATTCTAGTCACCATAAATCTGCTTCTAACGTTTATTTGTGTACGTGAATAATGCTCTAAAATTGCGTATAAACATAAGGTATAATCCTTAAATGGAGCAGTTTAAACGTGTGAATGAGTGAAAAAAAGAAATGAAAATAAAAAGAAAAAGGGATATGAAAGTAAAGATGCAACTTAATATTGTCAATTTAGATAGAATGCAAGACAACCAAACGATGGGAATAGAAGTTCTGTAGAAATTACAAATGTATGTATATGTACTAGAATGTAACGTTAATTATGTGTAATTTATAAACATTCGTCTCTATTTTCATAAAACTTCCATAAAATTTATTATTTATGGATTGAAGAGGCAGCTCAAGAGGGCATATTATCATTTCTGCGAATATGTTAAATCTATGTGTTCGAAGGTTTTATAAAAATAAAGTACTTCTTCTAAAATTACTTTATAATTGAAAAAAGGAAAATGCTGTTTTTTACAAAAAAAGAAAAATGTATAACAGATGTATCTCTAATGTTTAATGCGCTCTTTTGCTGTCGACGTGGTAGCAAAACAGTAAGAAATAGTGGCCTCGAAATTAAAGATTTGATTATCCCATTTTCTTATTAAAAAGTTACAATTAACAATAATAACTACAATGTGAGTAACATGACTACATAAACGCATATTCTATATGGCACTAGGAAGCATTTATTTTTTATTTATATGTATTTTGAAAACAACTTTTTCAAATAAACAATACAATAAAATAACTGCAAAATGGTGTAGTTTATAATATTAATAATTACCTGTATATCTATTCTTTAAGAGGTCTTCGACAAACTGCTTTCTCCTTGATTCTTTTAGAATCAACATGTTTCTTTTATTATGCAACGTTAAAACAATTCTGCTTCTGTGTTAATTTAAAAGCGAAATATGGATGTGAATATGAGAAGCACAGAGAAACCTTCATTTATTAATTCATTAACGACATTAAGATTCTTGCTAGCATGCCTACACTTGCTGACATCCTTAATTCACTCATATTATCTACAGCTTTTCGCGATAAGGAGAGACTTTAATGCATTTCCTGATGGAAATATTGCGTTGAAAACTTTTACTGAAATTCTCTCTCAATTGGCCCCACTTCACTATCATTCCGTCAATGTACACAGTTTTCAGTTAAATTCGGTAAATTTCAACGGTATACTTCAATGTTTCTTATATTCGAACATTGGTTTACTATGAATTTGATAAACAATAAGATGAAAGTTACTGAAGAATTACTGAAATATATAATGATAAATATTCTAAAATCATAATTCTCATCATGAAATTCAATATAATGCTGTGAAGCATAAAATGAAAATTAAAGTATAATTCTGAAAAGTAATAAGAGAGTCTTTGAAATATCAGATATCACGAGGTTTATTGAAAATAAACTGAAAACTACATATATTAATAAAACGGGGTCAATTGGGGAGAGAGTGTTTCAGCAAAACATTCTCATCAGGATATCCAGTTCGTTTAGACCGAATGCTGCAACGCAATGGTTCCTGAAGCAATCGATATCTGCAAATCATCTTGACCGGCCGCCGGGAGGGCACTCGAGTTGTCGTGAGCCGCTCCTGGATCAGTCACATGTTAGACGAAGACTCAGTTCGTCCGCATGCCACCTGGTCTGTCTGTCTGTCTCTATCTATCCTTACCCACTCCACACGTCACAGGAAGGGTAGAAGGGCGACCGTGAAGGGAGAGGGAAGGAATGATGCACGTATCACCGTGATATAGCGTATCGGCGGTGTTCAGCGACCGCGCTGTGTGTCGTATACACGAGGTGGTGTATAAGGTGCAAAGCGTGCGGTGTAAAGACTGCCGCGTAGGCAGCAGGCGAGGTGCGTTGCGATATTCCGCTGGTTATCGCGGCGGTCATCATCGCCATGGCCCGGTTTGCGTGGACCTTCCGAGGTAACGTCAGTCGGCTTCTCACCGATGTACAGATCCTGCAGTGTCTCATCGTGCTAGTTAGTTTCTTCAATCTCTCTCTGTGCCTGTACGAAGATCAAGTCGGCAAATTCGATTGGTAAATAACGCCCGCCGGGGCAACCTCTAAATAATGCAGAGTCCCACGCGTCCGCTTATTAGCGGTGCTCCGGGAGATTTGTGTATACGCAATATTCAAACAGGCGGACTGATCTTGTAATCGTTTCGTGGATTATCGTTTCAGGAGGCAGAATTATGTCGGCAGGATTAAATTCGCTAGTTTCGACACGGTGTCCACGGCGAAGAAGATCATCGTCGCCACCGAGGAAAACGTTATCGCCGCGCTTAATCTGAAGTCTGGTCAGTGGGATTGTTTTACGACTTTTCTTTCGATACTCCGTACACGTTGCTCGTCGTTTTCCACTCGTGGGAGATACACCACATCCTATTCCTGGCTTTTCTTTTCTTAGTTCTTTAGTTTTCGCGCTTCCTTTTTCTTACCTATCGTTACATTATTCGTTATATTATTTCGTATTATTATATTCGTTACATTATTGATAAACCATAGATCAATGTTACAACTGTGGAACATATTATTTTATATATAGATATATATGTATGTGTAAAATGTTGACTCTCTCTTTAATCGATAATTTATTGGTCAGATATAGATATGTCATATATCAAAAATGTTTACATAAATTAATATTATGTACAACAGGTCAAATATTATGGCGGCGAGTATTAGAGAAAGGTTACAGTGGCCATATCAGGACACTGGGAGGTGTTGCGGATGGAGATCTTATATCTGTAAGCGGAGGCGTTCCAGCCATTGTTCGTGCCTGGGATCTGGCAACTGGGCATATACTTAACGAATGGCCAATAGCTGAACCAAATACTGACAGGTTTGTGCAGAATAAAAAGTTATTATTGTAACAATACCGCTCTGTATTCTACTTGTAGAATAATATTAACGGGAAACCTGCAAATACTACTTTCTTCTAAATCTTTAATAATGATATGATTCTGTTGAGTAAAAAAAAATATATATAATATATTACTCAAAAAAGAAAGAAGCAAGATACAGTCTACACTTCCTAAAGCTTTCAAAGCTAAAACATAAAAGATAAATGTAACAATTGCCTGAAGATAAAACATAACCCATTGCTTTTACAGACTTGAGTCTCCGTTTATGTCGTTTTCTACATTGGGCTTATATTCTACTGAAAGGTTTCATTTACTTTTATTCAAAGCACGATTAATAATATGTCTGTACACTTAATGCTGTACACCCGTACACTAATTCATGTTGTTACAAATTGTTGTTTAATCTAATGCTCCAGATTTTTATTAATATAATTATCAACATTATGTTAAGTAATACATATATATATGCATAGAAACTCATAATCTATTATTTTTCCTTTTATAGAAAATTGAAATTTTATGATATTGACTATAAAATTGTGAAAGTTGTGTTTTAATCGAATTTGTTTCTGAAGCACAGATATTGACAAATGCAGTTTTTCATTTTCCAGAATAAAGGATGTAAAATGGCACATCAAAGATGGAACATTGCATCATATACTACCTATTTATAACAGCGGAGTTGAAGTAACATCTTATGATAGCAAGACTGGGGAAAAATTGAAGACTCGAAGAGTCTCTGCACCATTCATAAGTCAAGAGACAGAGTAAGCTCTGATTTAGATTATTTCCTTTACTCTTTCCTGTCGATCTCATAGTATTGCTTAAAATTGTTCTATCCTGATTTATCTAGGTGTGTTCTAGCAGCTCCATATTTGGCATGTTTGAAAGGCGACAGTTCTTTAGCTATCGTATTGTTAGTGCATTTATTCGACACCAATGCACAGCCACAATCAGTTACAATAAATACAATATTCGGGGCTGGCGCGCAAGGACCGTACAAACTAGAATCTGTACTCGGAGAAGAGCCTGTAATTTCCATTAATGCTGATAACGACCAAAGAAAGCGGATATTGGTTATTGGAGAACTCCCAATTCCTATACAGAGAGATATAGCTGGTGATGCAACGCTTCATGTTGTTTCTGTCGATAAGGAGAAAATACTTTTGGAAACAACGTATAAGAATGGAGTAAATACTAAAGCACATATACATTTCCATTTATTTACAAAGAAATTGATCGACACAAACACTAACTGCAAATTATTCCTATTTTATTTGCAGAGGATAGAAATAATGGCTACAAATCTCTTGTCCTCCGCACCACTACCTGACTTATCGACCACCTTCGCTCATGCTTCTATACAGTCTCCAGCCATAATGGCATCGGTTTGTCCGCATCAGACGAAAGGAGTAATGTGCCGTCACTTGTTATCCTCGCAAGATCATAGTGTTGCACTGTTGCAACACAACAAAGTGGTATGGACAAGGGAAGAAGCACTTGCCAGTATTGTGGCCGTTGAAATCATAGAATTGCCTATGTCCGATGGGGATCAAGCTATTGAGACGGAATTTGATCAGAAAGAGAGTGAGTAAAATAACTTGTATTACCGTATGCATAAAAATGCAATATAATATTAATCAAACGAAAGACATACCTCTTTATCTTTCCTTCGTTTTTGGTGAAATGTAACATTTTACATGCAATTTATGTAACAAACACACGTAATACGAACCGTATTTTTCATGAATGAGTAAAATGGTATAGAGAAAATAAGATAACGCGTGTATGATTAAGTATATATAACATTAATGTTGTCGTAACATTGTCTACTGTGTAAAATTCTATTTATGTTTTAAGAAGATATTACTGTTACAGTTTTTACTTTCTCTTACTTAAGTATTGAGTTTTGTTAGATATTATTTAAAAAGGGAGACATTGTGGGAAGCTTGCTGTTTTAATTAATAACACTTTTGAAAAACGACATTGTTCACTGACAATTCACAATTTCCAATAACAATCTATCTGTTAAATTATATTAATTAACTTTCTTTTGTGAATGGCTGCTGGCAGGTATTGATGTAGACAGTTCATGTAAGTAGTGGAGCAGGAAAGCTGATTTTAATGCAGTATTTTGTCTTATTGCTACTTACAAATCTACATTTGCATGGTTTAATTTTATGTAAAAATCCCCCTCGAGATATTAAGAGTTGTAGGATGTACATATATCATATGTGTGCGATTATTTAGTATATACCTCTCGTAAAGTCTTACAAAAATATATTATATTACTATCTGCATGATACTGCAAGAAATAAGATATCCAAGCTGAATATTTATCACTATTCAGTTCAAATGTAACGAAGCATCTCAGGAATAACGATGTAATGATCTCGTCGATATGTGAGAGCAAGCTATGTAAAGTGCATGAAAAGTTTTACATAACATTTAAACATGTTGTGTACATACATGTGTATATATATATATATA